GCAAAGCAGAGAAGAATTTTTATAATTTTGGTTTTCATGAGTTGATCTTCAATGAATGGTAGATCATTGATGTAACTCGTCAATGAGGTCAACGATTGAAATAGAAATTGATTGTTCTTCGTTTGCGATGATAAATAATTCACGGGAAGATTTTCATACAATTGTAAAGTTAACGTTAACACTTGATCAATGACAGGTAATTGATGTTTTTCGATTGATTTTAGTAGTAAGATCAACAGTGATGAAAACGATTCGGTGGCCAGATGAGAGATCTGTTGTTCGGCAAGTTCGACTTCTTTTTTCATTGCTTCGTCAAAGTCCGATTGTTGATCATTTTCCGACGAAGAATCCTCGCTTGGTACTAAATTTGTTGTCTCATCGTTGCGTTTCTTCGCCAACGAATTTTGCAATTGTACTTGTTTTTCATGAAGAACTCGAAGTTCATTGTTCACTTGTTGAGTATAAACAGCAATCGGTGTGAAGACATCAGTGAGTAGATGAGCATAGATTTCATTATTTAGTGTGATTAATTCATTAACTTTTGTTAATAAATGAATTTTGTTTTGAATATTTCGTATCAGCTGTTTTCGAGAATTCAAAACGGCGACATCGTCGTTTGATTCATTGGCAATTTTTTTCGAACACAGAAATACACTATTGTCATTTGTAGTTGGACTGGAATGAATAATCTCAGTGGTTAATGCTAGTGTATCGATTTTGAAAAAGTTTGCCAATTTCTCATCGACACGAGACAAAGTTTCCTCCATAAGTACGTGTAGTCCTAAAAGAGTGCAGAAAATAATCTAGGATAAAATTTCAGTTATGTTTTTGGCTTGCAATGTTTTTCTTTTTGATACATCAAGAGAAAATAACAAACCGTCTACCGGTTGCTTACCGCGTGTATGCACAAGCAAAACACATATTATTTTTCTTTTTCGTGTTCTTTCTAGTTAGATTTTTTTCATCGTGATCATCGTACAGCATAGCATGGCTGCAGGTTTGCCATCAACTAAGTATTACACAGCCTGCAATACGATAGATGAGTCGGTGGTATTGCTCAACATTTTGACATTGTATATGAATCGTAAAAAAATATTTTTTGTTATCTATCGTTCGTTTCACATGTTAAATCAAAGACGCTGAAGACGTGAATGTCAAGATGCTCTTATTCGTTCACCTAGAATTGAATGTATAGGATTTCTGTAAACTTGCATCATACAGTTCGATTTCGAAATGTCTTCATCATAATGCAAACTTGCGTGACGCATCTTGTTTGACGACACGTCGACATTATTTACTCAGAACTGACTCATTGCACCGTCTTGTGTTGAAAAAGAGTTGTTATAAATTGTGCAACACAACATCAGTTCTTTTCATAACTGTTTTTCAAAGCGATATCTTCGCATCGACAAAGAGTTTTCTCCATCATGGCAACAAAATCACAATATTGCAGCAATAATCAACATCTGAATGAACAGGTAGGTTTTCAAGTTTGGATTCTGAATTTTTTTGCCCGCGAACTCCTCCAAATGCGGGTGAATGGAGGTTGTGCCATATCTATGGACGTAAAAAGAATCATTCATTTTTAGCTTTGACGAATTGATTGTCAATCGAAATGTTCGATCGATTCTCATCGTATTATGGAAATAGGAGTTTTTCAAAGAAATCTAATTGGTCATTGTTGTATGTGTAGATTCCAGAAGAATGTTTTCGGCGAATGTTCGACGCTCTCAAGAACTGGGAATCGACAGAAGTTCGCACAGTCCCAGATGTTATGTATCAAGTTCGGTGTGGTTATGATCAATCAGATCCAAGCATCGAATATCAGATAAATTGGTTCATCGATTGTACAGAAACATTTATTCACAACCATCGACATTCGTTCGATACGTACTGTCTAGAAGGAGAATACATTGAAAAGCTATGGGAAATAGTTGAGAACGAGAATACTTATGATCGAGTTTATCAATATCGACGTGATGTAGGTACAATGTTCAATCTACACCAAACCATTTCTGGTTCTTTGCGACATGTGCAAACCAGACGTCATTTTCCTGGCAATAGATTGCATGTTGATACATGTCAATTTCATTCTATATCGTCCGTTGTTGGCTCTGGTGATCGAGTTCTGACATTTTTAGTAAAGAAAAACTGTCTGCCAGCTTCAGACATCTTCGCACTAAGCATGTCACCAGGTATTGATGTTCAAGACAATGCAATTCGACCGGCGACAAGTACTGAACGACAAGCTGTTTATGAGAAACTTCAGCAAGTAATGCGTTCATAAATCTCAAATTTTGACTCGAGTAACTGCGCTGTGTTTTGATTCAATTATATTGCGCAATACGATGAACTCATAATTTTCGCTGTTCTTAAGTTTTTTTTTCTATTCTATATCAAATGTGTAAAATAAAAACTAACCAGACTGTACAGACCAAATATCCTTCGTATAAATTTTTGTATTTGGAAACGTTTCTTCCATTTCGTTTTCAGCATAATTATCTTGGTCTCGAAAGATTTGCAAACGCGATATTTGTTTGCACATCGAAACCAAGCGTTGATCTTCGTAAACATAACTATTAATGACATGTATAGTCGTACCATCAACGATCAGACAACGAAGGTTAGGCGTTAATAAAAGAAGTCAGTATATTCTAAACCATCAGTTGCATCAAAAGATTTCAATATTTTCACTGTTTCCAACTTGATTGAATTCTTTCCATGAAGAACCTTACTGTGGATTTTACATGTATGTGGCGAAATAATCAGTTTGTTTGACATATTTCATAAAATCCAATGAAATATCGGTGTTTGCAAGAAAGAATGATTTGACTTCTTGACGCTCGTAATGGGCCGGAGGTATTCGTAAAGGAAGACTTCGATCATGACATCATATAATCGATTGTGTTCACTAATATGGTGCTGATCGAAACGCTGAAATTAATTTATCCAAACCTACAGATCACAATCATCTTCAGAAGTAATATTGATTTCTTCTTTACCTGCATCGATACTACGAACTTCGTTTGCGTTAATTTTGAAACATAAATTAAAACTGTTTGAGTTATTGAGTAAGTTTGCAATGATCATTGACTGGAAAACATCACCATAGAGCTGTTCCTAATCCGACATATTCAATGTTAACAATTCAACGGATTTTTGAATTGCTTATAAGAATATAACAAAAAACGAGAATATGTCAAATCCAATGATTGAGAGAATAATTCTTTCAAGAACGATGATAAACTCGTTGTTTTACTGAGAATACTGTTGTAGTTGTAAAGATCCTTTCTTTCGACATCGCAGACTTCAACATTGAGACATTCCAACACCGATAAATTCTCCTTTAAAATGAATAAATCGCGCACATGATGTGTTTTTTCATCGAACGAAAAGAGATTTAAGTTTGTTGAAGAAAGTTTTCGTCGAAATACGTTTGAGTATGTTAAAGAAAGATGGTCATCTTCATCCGAAAACATAATCCCAAGGAATCACTTGAAGAGAAAAAGGATATCGATCGATAATGGCTGATTGTTTTGGAAATAAGATTCGTAGCTTTGAATGATTGAATACCAGATCGGTTACGAACGGTTGGACGTGTGAGAAATATTTCTTTAACCACGAATTTCGTGTTTTTTTTTGTAACGCTTACGATACGAAGAAATCGAACGATAAGAGAATTGAAACATTGATTTAGATCATTAAACGACTTAACGATTTCACAAGGTGATAGGTAAGCTAAAACAAAGCTCAATTAATTTGTTCGGTAGTGGCATTAAGTTCGATTTTTCATGAACTTAAGAAAAACAAACGGTATTTCTTTGGTTTTGTTCCTTGAGAAGAACATGATATTACTAGACTCTTTCTGTTCCATGTTTAATCGATAATATTTTTAGAACAGTATATCGTATAGTACTATAGTGTAGAGATGTTTTTGTTAGATCGTTGGCTGTGTATAAGAAATTTCGAAATGTCGGTAGGATGGTACTTGATAGAGAAGACAGTGAGTTCCAAAAAAGTTCGTTAAGAAACTATATACAATTTTAATTTTATCATGGCAATAAGGGTCGCCACTGATTGATATATGTACCGACAGTTTTATTTTAAGGAAATCATGCTAAGAAATATGACAATGAATGAAGTAGAGGAAGTCAGTTGTATTGGACTACTGGATATTAGAGTAGTAGTAGTAGTAGTTGATTGTGCTAGCGCATCACACCAATCGACAATAATTTCATCGAGTGCTACTGCTACTCTAACCGATGTTCTCTGATTCACTGTAAAATAAAGCGAAATGGAACAGTTGCCATCGTGTAAAGGCACTGTCATTGTTTGCCATCCGTTACTATTATCTTGTTCAATGAAAAATAAGGATGCAGCATAGCAACCTCCTGTCGATACATCTAGCCATGTACCATTGTCAGTGCCAGTCGATTTGATGTAATACGTAAATTCTAGGCACATGTTTGTACCATCAGTTTGATGGAATTTTGGAGTATGTATTCGTCCATTGAATTCGTCGGCATATGGATAGTGATCAGGACGCGACCAATAGAGAAATGAACGACCAGAGAAAGGACCGAGATCAGGATAAGCAAGCGTTGAAGGTGATCGAATAGTGAAATTGATTGGCGGTGGTTGAGGATCGACAGGACTGCCATTTTCTATACCACAAGTCGAATTCGATTCAAAATCACAGAAGAAAACATATGCTTCCGTTGCAGAATAGAAAATTAATAAAAAGAACCATGCAGTGAAAGCACAAGTAACGGACGCATATATCATGATGCGAAAGAGTAGACACAAAAAAAGATAAGTATTCGTTCTATGATGACATTGAAACGCTGTTTTTTATCTATAATCATATACGTCGTTGTTTCATCTCCAAAAAAAAAACATTGATATCGAAGAGGTCAAGTCCTTTATTGCTACAACGAGTAAGTTTGTTAAGCTTTAACTAGAATTATTTTATGTTTATTGTTTTATGATAATGGAAAAATTCAAAACATTGAAACAGTAATATATTTTCGTATTCGATTTAAAAACCTTATATAAACTGAGATGGGCAACACCTGTCGGAATCGTTTCTCTAATTCTTGATTTAATCGATCGAACCCCGCCCAATAGTCATCATCTATTTGACATCTATCAAATAATTGACGCAGATCTTCACCATTCATTTGTTCGGTTAATAAAACCATTACATCTAGTTTATTGTCGTAGAGAAAATGTTGTACATGTTGATTCGTCCATAATTCCATTGAACTAATTGTTTTGTAATCTGTATCCGATGAAACGTTTATTTGTTCAAGTTGAGATTTCGATTGAGATAAAAATTCTACTAATCTTTCTTGTTGAATTTCGTCTATCAACAAGCGAACAGATTTGTCAAAGTCATGTTCGACTGAATCTATACGATGTGAATTAGTACAAATCGATCCCAGCCAACCATCAAATACAGTCTGCTTAAGAACGAAAGGAATCAATCGTTTGTTTCGACTTCGTGCATGTTCAACTTCCATTCGACAGTTCGGATCGCTTTTGTATGTTTCAGACACACATAGAAGAACACATTGACAGTCAACAATGGCCTGACATCTTGAACTCGGCATTGATTGTTCGTCGAACGAAATCCGATAATCACAATGCTCCGCTAGATAATTATATAAATTTTTCACCAATGAACTATCGTGATCCTCATCATAACTAATCATTAAATCAAATCGATTGTTTTCTTCCTCATTTTGAGTTTCATCTTCTTCATCTAACTTCCAGAGGAAACCGTCGATGGCCTTTCTAACTCTTCCATAGGCTTCTATTTCACGAATAAATGATACGAATGCAGTCTGATCTTTGATTATTGTCTTTGCTTCTTGATTGAATAACATTAGATGAAGACATTCTAGAGCGATCAATGCCATATCTTTCAATAAACTATTGAGTTCAGCTTCGTCGTTTGGTGTCGCTTCATTTGAAAGTTGAGTTGCATTCAAAGTAGACTCTTTACTCGGTGTTAAATCATTATCGATCTTTTCATTTCCTTCGATTTCAGTTTCCACCGATGAAAATAACGGTTCGACTAATACAATCAATAAATCCAAATTTTCCTTTTCTAAAAAGACACTCTGCACTTGATTGTATTGTAAAAAGCCTACGAAAAAAATACGCTCGATACTTAAGATTAGAAGACGAAACCTCGACATACCCTTCAGACCAATCAATAGCTCAATATCGTAGACTCCATTGTTGCTAAACGAAGACCTATTTCCATTTAAATAATTGATCTTTTTAATATTCTCAATTAGTATATTAATAGTTTCTTTTGTATTTTGTATTTCGCTTTCATTAATTATCGAAACAATAATAACACGAAGAGCAAGTTTCACTGGATGTTGATCATCGATTAGCTGAGCTGCTCGTAGGAGGATGTTTTTGATAACTAAATTGTGTTTGACCATTGTGAAACAATCCCCATCTGTATTGGTGAACATTAGCAGAATCTTGAATATCAACCAAGATATAAATGATGATGTCATTTGTTCGACATCCGCATCCCACCGGAGATCGATTTGCGAATAATCATCAGCGTGTAAATTTTGAAGGAAATTCTCCTTGATTACCAGCGGCAGAGCCGTTTGAATGATGGCTAAGTACTCGTTATTCTGTTTCAAATTACAAAATTCCAGTTCTTGTCTCATAAAATTCTCTGCTAAATTCTCGATCGTTATTTGAATTTGAATCAAACTCGATAAAATATATTTAATTACATGCAATGATAAACTCTCGATGAATTCCTGCAATAAGACTTCATACTTTGGTAACCAAAACTCACAGAACGTGTCACGATGTTTATTATCATAATATCCAATGTCCATCGCTGCATTAAAACCAGTGATCAATAGCCATTGAGAACTCTCATTTAGCGGCGATGTTGTATCAAGTTGACGAAGCGCATGAGTAAACTGTTCGACAACATCGGATGAGATAAAGTAATCGAACACAAGATCGTACAGCTCTTGATTTTGCTCACCGATTTCGTTGTCTTTAGTACATGATAAAGCGAATTTGTCAATAACAGATGTTAATAAAGACATAAGCAATTCGATTTTCGAATCGTTTGTTTTGTATAAGAAAACAAATGTAATAGTGTTATACTGTTCGTTTGTTTATGCTGTTTCGGTTTTATACGCATGAATAACGAGCACGTTGCAGAGAATGAAAATACTATCGCAATCAAAAGATGATTTGTTGCCTGAAAAACAACCTATTTTCAAATAATTTTTACAATATAGCGTGTTTATTACAATACAATGATTGCTTCAAAATGTAAATGCTAAGATAAATACTGTTTATATGAAAAATTTTTGTAGAATATAATAGAATATCCCGATCAATGACCATAGATAGAAATTATTCATCATTCCTTTGTTTGTTTCGTCTTTTACCCCATGTGCTTGAGTGTTGATCGTGTTTCGTTGTGTGCTCATACTTTTTAAAGCTTTCATTGTTTTGACTAGTTCGTCAGTCGTTCGATTGAAATGATTCAATTCTTCGTCATGGTATTGGCCGTAGCGATAGATTCGTAATGTTGGAAAACCATCAATATTATATCGTTTGGAACATCGTGGTTCCGTAATGTTCGTACAATCCAGCTTTGCCAAATAGATTGGATTGTCTAGACTCTTGGATAGCTTCGTTGCTGCTTGTTCGTAATCCGGATGCATTCGACGACAGTGCGAACACCATTTGACATAAAACAGGACCAATAAAACATCATATTGTTGGATTTTCGAATGGAAATTTTCATTTGTGAGAATTATAACATCACCATTTTCGGTCCAACTTGACCCTGAAAGGTCATTTAGAAGCAAAGAATATAAAACGATTGAGAATAAGATACGGTTTCTGTACATATTAAAGACAGAAAAGGCAGATAACTACGTCGAAAACAAATTAGTATGCCTGTGCTCTTTTTATCACGTTGTATATCGTTTATCTATCTCTGTATGATTTCTCTGGAGAAAAAAAAACAGAAAATATTTACCGAATGTGGCGAGAAGAGAGGAAGGAAGAATGCAAAGATATTCTGTTTACATGAATAAGAGATCGCATGTATCCAAGATTTATCTGTTAGCATATAAATAGATTTCTATTTCAATACTAATGCTAAAAGTGTAAACAAAGTCTTCTTCATGGTGACATAATTCGCTCAGAGTTGCTGTACGACTTTGTCATACACGTCTCCCCAAGCATAGTTCGGATCCCACTTCTTTTTCATCTGTCTATACCATCGCGTGTCATAAATAGTTGACCATTGCTCTTGAGAATAGAAGCTGAGCGCATATAACATTTTTCTTCCTCGCAAATTTTTCGCTTCGTTTTCTAATACTTTTGTTGCATTCTTTCCGCCGGATGAGCCCGTCTGCCAACGATATTGATGAGACCATAAACCAAAATTGATAAACAATTGATCTTTATCAGTATAATGAGGACTTAGTTTTTGTGCTGTGGAACTTGATCGTATTGGACAAAGCCATATAGGTTCTATTCTTTCGTCCTTCTCGGTAGACAACTGTCCTGTTTGTAAGAAAGTTAAGAATTGCTTTGATTGAGATATTGGAATGTAGATATCCTGAATAAGTAATGTATCAGCAATGAGAGACGCGCAAGATGCATGAAGACGTTGGTAGAGTGCTGAGGTAGTGAAGAGAGGCGAAAGAAGTGTTCTGCTTATGATGTTGTAACCACCGAATGGAATTAGATTGATGAGCTTTCGAAGATAGAATGGTAAATGTTGGGTTTTATCATCGAATGGATAAAGAGGGTAATATCCCATCCAGAATGCACCTCGGTCGTATCGAAATAAGTAATCTTTCAATGGAATATATTCACAAATTACAGTTTGACGACTACGATCATGAAGTTTTTTCACATGCTGATAATACCAAGGGTCCCACGAACGTGAAAATCGCTGTATACGTTCGCCTTTTGGTATTGAGGATTCATCGATACGTTGTCCCGTGATAACAACCGAATGATCGGAAAAAACAATCGCATCTATATAATCTTCTTCATAATGCTCATAATCGAGAGTCGAAATAAATTCAATTGGTTCCTTTGTCCAATGATAATTACATTGCACGAAACAATTAAATGGTATATCTAATACACGTAACGTTGCACGAGCCAATAATCCAAATGTTCCACAGGAACCTAATGCTCCATAGAAAAGGTCAGAATCTTTCGTCGGACTGCATGTTATCAAGTCTCCGTTACTCAAAACATATGTTGCTTCGATTAAGGAATCAGAAAATTGACCGTGCCGAAAACTTGAACTTTCCAAACCAGCTCCAGCCAATATACCACCAACTGTTAAATTTTTAAATTCCGGAACAACTGTAGGCACGAGATCATATGCTAATAACGCATCTACTAATTCCTCCATAGTGACACCAGGCTCGCATGTAACCGTTCTGGCTGATTTATCAATGGATAGAATCAGATTTGCTGAACCCATATGTACGGAATATGTTCTGTTAGTAATGCTACTCGTGCTAGTATGACGTATCGAGTTTGACGGTGAATGACGTTCATGACGTTGAATTTTGATTTGACTACCATTCGGACGTTTTCGAATTGTTTGAGCTACGTATTCGACATTCAACGATTGTGCTTTTCGAGATTTCATCCTCATTAGTGTTAACAGGTTTTGGTAAAACCATCGAATGTATACACTCACTGCCCATTTTATTGTTAGAAGAAATTCATAGATCTGAGAATGATTTCGCATCTTGCCAAGTACTTCTAACAATAATGAAAGAAGAAAATCTGGTCTTTTTTTACTGATTTATATAAGAGATGTGTTTAGTATCGTCAATTGCGTGCTGTGTTTGTCACATTTTTCTCTTTTCGTTCGTGCTCACATTGCAATGACAAAGAACAGATACAGAAACAAACTGTGCGCGATAAAAAAGAGCGCCTGGATCGTCCAGCAACGTGAATAGTAATCGAAATTCTTTGGTTTTCATCAAAACAAGTATGTCAACTTCAGTTGCGCAGTGACCGATTGTCAAGATTATATAAACCATAATAAAATTATCAACTCAATTGACGTTATATCAAAGAATCTTTTTCCTCTCCGTTAATAATAACATGCTACCGACCAATAATGAGCTTATTCTCTTTCATATGCGATGATGCAAACGAACTTTTTTTTGCGTTCTTTATTATTTGGCGACATAAGGTAACGTGTTGCGCATGAAACGTGTGGGTAAATAGAGAGAAAAGGCAATGTTTTCTCTCACCGGTGTGAGTATAAGAAAGTATTATTTTTTTCATTCATAACGATGTTGTCACGAAACAAAAGAGCAGAAGAAGGACTGAAATCGATAAATTTTTCTGTTTAGAAATCATATATTCAATAATTGAACAAATTAGAAAATTAGTATGTCGATATTTATTATCAGCTGTCTTCTTCTTTCCCTATTGAACGGCATTGACGGCCGATCGCTATTGAAAAGTCATGAAAATCCATCTGATGTTAAACATTTCGAATCTCAACTCGATGATACAATCGGCTTTTGGTCGCCGAGTACCAGCTCAATCGATTGGTGTGAACGAAATTACGTTGTTACTTATTACATAGCTGAATTCTGGAATTGCATATCAAGTTTATTAATGTGTTTATTTTCATTGATTTTAATCGTTCGTGGTTTGTATTACCGAATCGAACGTCGATTTACTTTGCTTAGTTTCTCATTTGGATTAGTTGGGTTTGGTTCTGCTTATTTCCATGGAACATTAACACATTTCGGTCAAATGGCAGATGAACTGCCAATGGTCTATTCAATGATTATTTGGTGGTTTATTCTCTTTCGAATGAATAAACATCATTTGGCGAGCCAACATATATCGCCGATAGATGTATTGATCGTATTTGGAATCGCATACGGTTTCCTGTGTAGTTATATTCATAGTCTGAAAACATTTGTGATAGTTTTTCAAGCTCATTTTACTCTAATGGTCATAGGCGGAATTGTCAAACTAATTTTCCTCTATCGGCAAACACAACATCATACGAACAATATCAAATACTTAATTTTGTGGTACGTTGGCTTATTAATACCAGCTGTGATATGTTGGTTAGTTGATCAGCAGCTCTGTGAGTATTTTAATAGTAAAAATGCATTTAATCCGCAATTACATGCATGGTGGCACGTTTTATGTGCTATTGATGCTTATGTTGGAGTTGTATGTGGCGAAGCTTTACGTCGTTTATCTATTCGATGTAATAAATATGAAGGAAATAAGAAATTATTCAAGCCTCAAGACCACTTACGTATTCGATTTTATCTTGGTTTACCTTTTGTGGATTATTCGACACATCAAGAGAATAAAACTGATTAAAAACTGTTTTTTTTTCATAAATGATTTAGAAGTATATGATGTTTTTTTTCTTATACACATGTTTTGATATAAAACACAGTTTAGCTGATGCATCCCTTAAAAATAAGAAAATATTTGTGAAATTCCCGATATGTGCTAGTCAGAGAAGTAACAATAACATCAGACGGTAAGTATTTATCGATGAAATGAGTGTCTAAATACAAATCTTGAGGGTGAGAACGAGAGACGTTTGTAGCATCAAAGTTAACTGTTTTCAGTACTGCTGCCTTTTAGCCTTAGTCTCACCAGCAGTGTTTTCGACTAAATCATTACTATGAGAATTCGACCTTTTATGACATTATAACAAGCACACATAAAGGTTAAACTTAACCACTAACATCAGAATGAGATGACGAAATAATTCATAGGAACTTATACTTACGTAGCGCATTTATTAAAATTTAATGCTTGAATATTCAAAATATTCTCTTTCTAAGGAAATTAGAAACAAAATGTTCGCAGGTGTACAATTAGACGTGAGTTAATTATATTAATTAGTTTTGATTCAACATCCGAGCGCCTTCTTGGCTCTTGTCCAGTACTTTTCTCGATCAGCCTCTCCTTTTCTTCCTCCGTTTATTCGACGAGTAATCAATCGAAAAGATTGAAGCGTTTTCTTATCGGCAAGTTCATTCAGTCCGTGTTTTGTCCAAAACCAAACAGTTGTGCGAAAACCCACTTCTGGCGTTTTAACTTTCTCATGATGATTAATCAAATCTAAATTTAAAGCTTTACCGGCTGCTCGATAATTAGCGCGACCAGTTAACTGGATTGGACCACGACCTTTGTATCGTTTTCCATCACCTTTTTCTGTGTTACCCAGATCTTTTCGTCCTTCATACGCTGCACCAGATGCCAGTTCTTCCATGTAGAGTAATTCACCACTTTCATGAGCTATTTGTGCGAGAAATGCTGCTTTTCGATTGCAAGTGTTGATCGAGCCCTCGTTCATTGCGGCATTGATATGACTTAGGTATCCTGCATGCTTGCATCGCGGCATAATAGCTTTCAATTGACTTGCAGTGACACCTAAGTAGAATTAATGATACGGTCAGCAGATATTAAATAATAAGCAAAAAAGTTAATCTTACTTGCATCACCGCACGTCGTCGTGAATAGCGATAGGATGATGATGAGAAACAATAAACGACCGATAGGCAGCATGAATCTATTAGAAATGAAAGTATACAACAGGGAGGAATCAATCAAATAGAATGACCTTTTCTTTCAATTTAGATTATAGACTATTTCTATTCGATCATTTCAGGTAAAGATTAGATAGACTTCCTCTTCACTTTTTTTAATCATATTTATTCATGCGCATGAAGCATGTAAAGTTTACTTTGTGATCGGGACAAGAAATTAGTTCTCGGGATTTAGAAAAAGGAACAATACATATAATTTGAATAGAATCGTTTAGCTGATTAAACTACCGCTAATATATTGATGCGTATATGTCGGCCTTACCTTAATAATATCGGAAGATGTTATTAGGAACTGAAGTGTGAGCGCTGAAATTTGTAACAACAAACGCTGGTATACCACACGCGTATACAGTAATATTGCTCACAGTAGATATAAGATCATGGTAATTTTGCACGTGCATAACGTACTCCTTCTCATTTGTAATTTGTCAAAGTTCAGCATTGTTGATGCTACCTCCGACATCGATAGCAAACACACTAGCTATAGAGACACTTAAGAACAGATCCGATTGTGGAGCAACACGTGTACCACAATTACTGTATCCATCAGTTAGAACCAAAACTACTCTCGATCTACCTTCGTCCAATGATCGACATTGTTTGCTACAAATTTCCCTATGACGTGATGTAGTGCATCGCCAGTTGCAGTACAGGAACCATTTATATGACGAATACCCTTTATTTATTTCATCAGATTCTCTTTGGTGAGTTCAGTCATGAGAATGTTATGAAATAGAAAGAGCCGTCTCGACGACTTTCGTAGTTGATTAGCCATATTTGTACTTTTTTTGGTCCGATATCCACCAACCATTGAGAGTATACAAATAACAACTTTTTTTTGCCTCTGCAAATGTTGTTAAATCAACACTACTTGATGAATCCAGAACAATAAAAAGATACATAAGTGTGTGACATTTGTCTTCAGCTGGCTTTTTCAAAAGCTGATGATACACTTAAAACCGAAAGAAAAACAAAAAGACTCATTTTTTGAAAGCGTATGAGGAGTGACAGCTTCCTTTTATAGGGCTACTTGCAAGGGCCTGACTATTTGATTTGAGAGTAAACTCTAGCCTATTTTCTTATTTGATATCTATGTTGATAAAAGATAAAATTAGCACTGTAGATAGCTATCACACATTTCGAGAGTATAAATAAGTCTTTGTAATCATGTCAGTAGCCAACGATGCTTCTCGCCATATTTTACAGTGTCTCTGCGGACTGGTCTTATTTAAGTGTGCCAGCGAACGAAACCTTAGGTTACAGTTCTCATGATTTGTTGGATTTTCTTTTATTTGAAATGGCGATAAGCAAAATATATCGAAACAGCAAACATTGCTGCGAGAACTATGCTGCCAATAACGATCAGTGCGATGTGCCATGATTGCAGAACTAAATAAAAAAAAAAGGATGCTACAAAATACTGTCGTGTTGAATGTGCTCAAAAAGTAGAAGCGTGAACCATCTTTCGATTGAATAGCATGTTAGGAGCAGCATCAGATAAGCTAGATCTATAAAAGCTGATGTTATAGTTAGTCAGAGTACTAATGAAACGTATCGGTGGCAATCTTTAATGGCTGAGAAGAGAAACGAGATGTAAATTCTTCGGATATCATCGGAGGCAAGAAGAAAATCTGCTATCTGTCGAATATGAAATACCGTTATCTGATGTTTCTGGCGTCGTAAAACTCGATGTTAAAGTGTTCTGACTAGTCGGAAACTGTGTTGCTGGAAGATCAGTAGTAGATCGTGTGGTAGCGTTAGACATTTCTGGAGATGCAGTGCTATATGTACTCGGTGATGTAGTCGTTGATGGAATCATTTCAATTGTTGTTGCTGTTATAGAAGTACCATTTTTAATCAAATCAAATGCTGCTAAATTGTATCGATCAAGAATAAGTTTGCCACGGTTTCTTGTTTCAACACTATTGCACAAATCCACATTGCATAGCAAAGTTAGTTTATCATTGTTAATATGGTCACTGTCGGGATTTTCTGGTTGATATCTGTTAAAAAATGCCGTTATACTTGTTAACTCCACTGTAGACAACACACTCAATTCACCAGGATAATTGCAACTATGGTGGGCCCACGTTGTTGTGCCATCAGTTATACTTTCACAAAAGCCGCCATAACATTCCATTTCATCGACTGTACCGTTCTTACAAGTAATTGTTCGATTATCCATTGAACTTACCAAATAGAGCGGTAATAACTCTTGAAGAATCGATTCACTATCAATTAATTGCTGCACAACAACAGATACATACTTATCTGCGCAATAGTCATCTGTGAGACAGGTAAAAATCAGTGTGTTGGTAAATATTCGTCGGTAGAACATCAAATACAATGCTTCATCTACTGAATAATCATAATCGACCGAAGTCATTTCGAAAGTGTCTTCTTCATGAGCAGAAAATGAGATAGAATAAGTGCGGCGTGTATAATTAACATCGATAGTCACTCGACAACCATAGAATGATGAAACACTGCCACAGTTTGATGGAATTGAGACGGTCTGTTGAAACGGCAAAGATGGTATTTTACAATTATTACGACATATACGTGTAGTATTTGCATGTGTCATGTTTTGTGCATTTCCATCGATAAAATTTTGCGAAAAGATGTAGATTATTAAAATAATATTCGTTAATCGTTCGTTTGTCATTGATAGAAAGTGACTTAAATAATTTACGCTTGTAGTTAGCTGATTCTGGCAGCTCTGAATTTTTGTATAATATGTTTGTCAAAAACATCGTCATGAATTGTTTTGTTCTTATCATATTCAAATATTGATTTCGTCTCTGCATGAAAAACATGTCGTATGCATTCTTATCAAAGATCGACAGCCGAGCCGAGCGAGAAAAGAAAAAAAACTTCGTTCTTTATTTAATAGCCGTTGTCTGAGTTTCTTTCGCGGAAATGTTAAAGGATATTGTGTCAGATTTTCTGACGTTGAGGGTGTGGGGTGGATACGAAAATAGTTGAACACTTGAATTCAAGTTTGACGCTACTGATTCAACGTATCCTATTGAAATGAAATGAATCAATTCGGAAAAAATCTCATTTAATCCAAAAGTTCATTGAAATAATATAATATTCGTAATAGCGTTTTTCAGCCAGAACTAATCTGTACGTTTCATCCTGGAATATAACTGTTTCCCGTTACTTTTCTCTCTCCTGCAACAAATTGAAACTTTCTTCCTAACTTAATATGCACAAACACAATACATGTTGACTTTATCTCGACAACTTATATGATATATCATAGTAGTACTTTCCGTTTCTACATGTTCTCTTACAGTATCCATTGATGTTTTTTCTGTTTCTGTTGTACGTATTTATCTATCTATGCATCTGTATATAACATACATCAAATATCATTCTTTCTTGTTATTTTTTTTTTTTTTTTTATATTCAGATTTATTGTCCCTTTATAACTAGGTTGACAATTAATAATAATAAAATGAATAAATAATTAAACACACAACTAATTCAGTAGAATAACAAGAACATATTTTATATAATTAACACTTTTGAATGAAACTATCAAGAAGAACAGGAAGATAGAAATCAGTAATACAGTTTATGAAGTGGCGACCTCTTTATGACTTACATTTTCGAGAGGAATAAAGACAATGACATACATTTGACAACTGAATCGATCATACAGTAAGAGAAAAATAAGTAGAGAGAGAGGAGAGAGAGAAAAAAAAAAGATTCATATTCAAATTTTATATTACATTAACAATTCTATTTCTTACACTTATTTACACACATATATATCCCGTTGATAAGATTATTATTCATTTGCAATATATGCGTGAATTATAGAAGGTATTTATATATAAAGTAACATAAAGAGGAAGAAGAATTTCTGAAGTACCCATATTGCTGATGATGAGTTATTAAAAAGTTGCTTACATCAATTTTGGTATGTTTAGCTCTTTTAGATAAACGGACGAGAAATCTCGTATTTTTTCGTAATCCCATGCTAAGATACCAAGCTCTTTGAGGCACTTTCACATAAAAATATTCATTGAACGTCAATTGATATTGATGAGCTTCTGGAGACTTGTCTAGATGTAAATTAAACTTGTACCAATATTTGTATAGATAGTCATTGAGTGTGAATTCTCGTGTTAAAATGTATACAGTTAGATCATCCCATTGATTAAGATTATAGACTATGCGAAGCCCCGAGCAATAAACATGTTCAATATTTTTTTGTTGAATTTCAGTGAAGAAAAACCAACACGAGAATAGCCAATTGAGATGTGGTAAAGCATATGCAGTAAATAGTTTTCTTCTTAATTTGTATAGAGATATCGGTATTTGTTTAAATAATAAACGTAGCGCATGATAAATTTTTCTGACTTTTCGCAAACGATTGTCGATGTATATTCCCCAACCAAGTTTAGTAGCAATATCTACTCCTAAGTATTTGAATCTTTTTACAAAATCAATTCCAATCCCTTTGTATTTAATTTTAGGATACATTGGAGCTACTACATCATGAACGAGCATGGCCTTTGTTTTGTTAATATTAACTGGAAGTATGTAATCATCAGCATATTTTTGTAATATTTTCATCGTCAGTTCTGCTTGCTTCTCAAGCGCCATTATATTTTTCGAAAATTTTTCTTCCATCGCGCCTTTCATTACGATTGCAAGATCATCAGCAAAAAGGTGGCAGACCATATTCATGAAAAAGGAAGGAAGAAAGTGAACATGAAGACGAAAAAGCGTAGCCGCCAAAACTGATCCTTGAGGAGCTCCAACAAAAATATTGATCTTTTTTGATATTGCTTCACCAACATGTATACACATTGTTCGATTTTCCAACCAAGAAGAAATCCATTTTAGAAGAGGTAGTGGAAAATCAAGTTGACTAAGAGTTGAGAAAAGAGCGGGGTGCCACATTTTATCGAAAGCTGACATGAAGTCAACAAAGATAACTAGTGCCGGTCTATTGTTCGCCGCTGTTGTTAGTCTTAAATCTTCCACTAGTGACAGAATACGTGTTTGCAATCGTCTTTCCGCTGTAAAACCTGATTGTTCGTCGATGAAAATATTTTTATCATTGCACCATTTTAATATACGTGCGTGAATAATTCTCTCGAAGATTTTTCCAATGTTGGATAGAAGTGAAATCGGTCGCAATTTACTTACTTCAGGATATTGACCATCCTTCGATAGACAAATCACCTTCGCATGTTTACTAACCTGAAGAACACCTCCCTTCTCAGCAATTTTATTGAACGCTATAGTGAATATTTGCATATATTCACTTGGTAATTTGCTTAATAGAAACGCCGATAGTCCCTCAGCATCCGTTGATTTCTTTTTTTTCGCTTTTTCAATTGTATTCATTACTTCTTGTAGCGTGATATTCCCAAGAGATACATCTGGTAGTTGAGATACTTTCTCGTATATTTTCATAGCATTTACGTGAACTGCGTTCTTCTTATCAAATGTTGGTTGTTCAAAATGTTTTTCATAGTGTTCGGCAAGTGTATCAGCTATTGCTTGAGGATCTTTCATGAATCCATATGCGGTTGTAAGTCCTTTAAACGGTGGTGCAAACGGATGAAATGTTGGATGTACATATTTCCATATATTGTCGCCTGTTGATATATAAGCTAATTTTTCTTCCATTTTGTTTCGCAAGTAAAGTAATTTCTCCTCGTGATATTTCTTTTTAAAATAAAGATAATTGGCTAATTTTTCTTGTGTTTTAGATCTTCTGTATGTACGTCTCGCGGCATTCTGTTGTCTTGCCAGTTGAACAAGATATGTTGGCCAAGGTGGTCTATATTTTTTGACTGGTAAGTATTCGCTTGCTCTATCCCAAATAGAAGAAAGAAACTTTGAGAAAAGTTCGAAAAACGCATCGGGTTCGAAGTTGTAGACAAGTGAGTTGAAATATGGATAGACACATGTTAAAAAATATGTAAAGATTTTCCAGTTTGTTTTGCGAAAAAAGTTTTTTGTTCCGGCTGAAAGTGGAGATTTTATTAAAACAGGATAGTGGTCAGATGATCCTTCATTTAGAGTTTCTGCTTTCCATTCATTAGCATTGTGAGTAATTCCGAAATCAATGATTGCTTTTGATCGTTTTGATGTCGGTTGGTCTGTATGTATCATCTCGCAACCAGTCTCTTCTAGCCAGTTCTTGAGTTGCGAGCCACTAGCATTATTTTCAGTACAGAGCCAATCTGTATGCTTCGCATTAAAGTCTCCAAATATATAGAATGGTTTATTCTTTATATTATCAAATAGATGTCGTGGAAAAGATTTGTTTGGTGGAACATAGATAGCACCGATTAGTACTGGTTTAGGCTGTATTTCAAGTTCAACCAGAATAAAGTTTTTCTGTTTTTCTACCACTTTGGTTTTGAGAGAATCATGAAACAGCATTGCCACTCCTCCATACGCGTTAGTTCCCTCTTGACTTAACCAATAATAAGAAGTAATTTTTGGTAAATCTTTTATTTTTGATCCGACACCAGTTAATATAAAAACTTGAGGTAAATATGTTGATAAAAGAATATCAAGATCAGCAATATGAGTACTTAGACATTGACAATTATATAGAATGAGAGAAAGATTATCACACGTTACAATAGGTCGCTTTTTATGCCATATTTTAGAGATATTAGATAAAGATGTTCTACTATTCCATTCCTCGAGAATTGTTTTTAAAATTGTCTTTTCGGTATCGCTACCTTGCAAAAGTTCACAGACATTGACATCAACATTCGGTGGATAGAAGTGAAAACTACTGTTCATTTGATAATTGATCGATTGGGTACATACCTCTTATTAACAACTCGTTTTGTTTGTCCATGATGACTTTGAGTTTCTGGTGATGATTGTCTAATGATAACAGTTGGTCGTTGAGTGTGCTTGTCGTAGTAATGACTGATTTGACCAAAGATTCTCTTGTATGCTTCTCTTTGGTATTAATGGATTCATTATTAATGTTTAATATAACATCGCTTATTATTTTAATAGAATCGAGTATTGGAGGTAGTATTTCATTCATATTTGAATACATATCAGACATAACTTCCGACTGTGTTTTTATTTGAAGATTAAATAGTTGCCATTCTTCTGTCATTTTTTGTGTTTGCTTGTCAAATTCCATTTTCATTTGTTTAATTTCATTTTCATGTTCTTTCTTTAGATTGTGTAATTCATTATATAGCTTCTTCATCTCTGAACTCCAGATCGATCCTGTGCTACCTGCTTCATTTGTAGTGGGAGTTAATGATGGCCATGCTACACGATCACCACTATTCATATTGAATATATTCTGTTGATGCACTTCTGGTTGTCTCTTATCAATGTTTTCATTAATCAAGAATTTCTTACTCTTTTGGTCACGAAACTGCTGTGGAATGTAGAATTGCATATGAGGTGGTAATAAGTAAGTATTATTTTTCAATTGCTGTAATAAATTTTGTCTGAATTTGGATATTGTTGAACAGGTATAACTTGTCGCTTCATGATTACCTCCACAATGGTGACATTTTATATTACATGTATAGTGATTATTCCCATCATTTCTGTCTTCACCACATCTTCTACATATATCAATAGTTGCTTTACAATTCTTCTTAATATGACCTGGTGTATTGCATTTATTACATATTAATATTCTTGGTGATGGTAGAAATTCATCGACGCCATATAAATGACCATCAATAACAAATTTACCAGCATTTAATGTTTTATCATGTTCTTCTTTTGATAATAAGTCAACTCTAATATGTCTTGAATGATTTGTAATTGTACCTAACATTTCTTCTAATGCGTATACACTTTTTAATTTTTCTTTAACAATTCGTTCAACATCTTCCATCTTTATTTTATTATCAATAAATTTTAAAATCAAGACGTTTCGAGCTGGTAGTCTTGTAGGTAATACTGGTTCGATTTTAATATTATTAATTATTTCTGGATAATTATTGATATTACACATGAAAATAAATAATTCAATGTATTTCGTGAAACAGAGTAAGTCACCATTCGTATCCATCATGTAATGGTCAAATCCGAGTGAATTAGCATATCGTGGATTTAATTTTTTAAATTCTTGTTCCATTTGTATCAGGAATTCTTTAACAACTAATGATGCATCTTCTTGTGATTTTAATGGTGGAACACACTTAATTTTTATTGGTGAAAAACGCTCTTCAACAGCAAATTTCATTGCATGTCGCGATACATATATTTGTTCATTTTTCAAGCTTTCCCAATGACCTTCGTCATTTCTTTTTTCATACATCTTGCTTATTTTTTCTTTTTCATTATTGCTAGTTACACGTTGAACTTCTTGTGTAGAGACATGTTGATTGCTGTCAACGTTTGACACTTGTTGATATTTTTGTCTTTCCTCTTCTTTTCGTTCTTCATATTTTGATGTTCGTCGTGTTGAATTTTTATTCTCTATTCGATCATGTCTATATGTAGATGATGTTATTGTTCGTCCATGTACAAATGACTCTGTACGTGGTGTTTTGATTCTTCTTCTATTCGATCCTCTTTGTAAGGTCCATTGATTTTCATCGTTTTCGCTTGCAATTTCAGGTGAATAATCCGAATCTTCTTGATTGTTGCTTCTTTTGCTCTGAGTTCTTTTTAATGTTGTTTTATTATTATTGTCGTTTGAATTAATATGACTTTTGCTTCGTTCATAACTTTGTTTCATAATTTCATTATCACACATTCGATCTTTGTCTTCTTTGCTCATATTGGCATAATAATTGTATCTATTCATGAGTATTTGTTTGGTTGATAATAATAATTATTATAATGAATTAATGAATTAATCGATTGAGCGCTTTAATACCTAGAAAGTAAGTAAATACACGTTTGTCACACGATATACGTGTGTCAGAAGAAGAGGAACGATACGTCCGTCTTCTACGTGTACAAGAGAGAAGTGTGATTCTTGTTATTTTCTTCTGGAACATACGTACATATAATTAAATAATATTATAATACTTTTCGAAGGAAAGAAAAAAACAATGGTGGCTAGTCCAATAATTGTTGCTTATTTTGTTGCTTGGTCCATTTATCGTCGTTCATATTTTGTGAACGATATACCAGCAGATAAAATTACACATATAAATTATGCGTTTGCTAATATCAGTTCGGATGGACGTATTGCTATTGGAGATCCATGGGCAGATATAAAAAAACCATTTGAGGGTGATATAGGTAACCAATCATTACAGGGAAATTTTAATCAATTAATTAAACTGAAAGAAAAATATCCACATTTGCGTACACTTATTTCGGTTGGTGGTGGGGTATATAGCATTGTAACATTGTTATCTTTTATTAAATGTTTTATACGGTTTTGCTGTAGACACGATCCGGCAAATTTTCCGATATTGCTGCAAGTCATCGGAGTCGATCAATATTTGCTGCCTCTTGTGTAAAATTTATTCAAAAGTACGGTTTTGACGGTATCGATTTAGATTGGTACGTAAACCAGTATAAATTTAAAAAAAATAAAGATCTTTATCTATCTTTTTATAAAAGGGAATATCCAGTATCTGGGGGTTTAGCGACTAATAGTCGTCGCCCTCAAGATAAACAAAATTACGTTTTTTTACTCAGAGAACTTCGTCATCAGTTAGATGCAGTATCCGATAAAAACTATTTGTTAACTGCGGCGTTCGTCATTGAAAATTTTTGTATAGATTTATACAATTTACATATGTATGTCATTCTTATAGAACTGGAGCTACTGCTAAGACTATCGCAAATATGGATTTACCGGGTATGATTCCTTACCTTGACTGGATCAATGTTATGACATATGATTTCCATGGTGAGCTTTCTAAATACTTTAATGATTTGGTTGATTGAATCATCAAAGTTTTTTAGGAGGCTGGGAAGCAACAACAGGGCATAATGCTCCATTATATAAAAATGATGGTGAGGCAGTAAGTGATATTGCTCCATCATTCATTAAATCAAAATACAACTGTGATGCAGCAATTCAAGCTTATCTCGCAGCGGGAGTACCTTCTGAAAAGGTTCTTCTAGGTTTACCATTGTATGGGCGTGGTTGGCAAGGTCTGTTCGAAGATTAACTTTTTCCTTTCACATAAATCAACCAGTTTAGGAGTAACGAACATAGATCGAGATGGCTTTTCACAACCAGCATCAAGTCAACTTCCGACTGGCACATGGGAAAATGGAGTTTTTGATTATGATCATTTGAAAAAATCTTATATACCATTCTATAATCGTTACTGGGATAACGAATCAAAGGTACCATTTCTCTACAATCCATTGGCTGCTATATGGATTAGTTATGATGATGTAGAATCCATAAATTTTAAGAATAATTATATTAATCAAAATCGATTAGGTGGAGCATTTTTCTGGCAGTTAAGCTCTGATCGACAAGCTGAATTAATTAGTGCAACATTTAATGCATTAAATAAAGATAACCTTTCATCAATAACAACAACAAAGCGTACATCGTTGACTTCTCCTTCATTTGCAAAAATTTGTCCATGGAAACCCAAAGTTCAATACAAAATAGGGCATCGAGTGATGTACAATGGCAAAGTCTATCGATGTATTAAAACACACACATCAGTAGCAAAAAAGACGCCACCATTAAATTGTTCACTTTGGCGTCTCGAAATCGTAAGAGCATTAATGACAACCATCAAACAAGTTAAAACAACGACGACAACAGAGAAGATTACAACAACGATTCAGTTATCTGATCAAAACACTTCTTCTCAATGGACACCATTTAAATTGTATCTAGTAGGAGATCAAGTAATCTATGAAGGAAAATCGTATCGATGTCGACAATCTCATACATCATTATCCGATTGGATGCCACCTGTTGTACCAGCACTTTGGTGGAAAATCTAAACTCGACATTTTTACTATTATTCAATTTTTTTTCATACCACTATAATGTAGTTCTTTTGAATGCTTTAAAAATTATTTCGATACTATTTCCCTTCAGATTCTTTTCTTATTACGAGTGCACTTGACAATGAAAGTGAAGCCATTGTTCAGGATGCTTTGGATCGCACTGCACAAGGTTTTTTTTTCCACTTGTTAACACGAGCCTGAAATATCAATCCATTTATTTCTATACACATAGGTCGAACAACAATCGTCATAGCACATTGTTTATCAACAATACGTCACGCTGATCATATCATTATATTAAAAAACGGAGAAATAGTTGAAGAAGGCAACCATGAATCATTGATACCAGCTAAGAGTATTTATTTCGAACTGGTTCAACAGCGACTTATTCATCAAGCTGACGAAGAAGAAGAATTGACATTTGAACAGCAAGAAATGAGAAAACAATTTCTTTCAGATCAATCACATTTAGATGTGACCAGGGACAGAAGTTCATCGGTCATTAGTACGACACCATCAGTGGTGACAAAACTGTACGGGAAAGAAAGCACAATAGTCAATTATGATGATGCTCAGGTAGATAACAAGATGAAAAGTACAAAGGTGATCGTTGGCATTAAACTATTTTTATATGCTATTAATCACTAATCGTTTAGGAAAAACAAAGCAATCCAATATCGGATATTCTCGAAATGGCCAAACCAGAACGGATATGGATAAGTGTTGGATGCCTTCTTATGTTGATGATTACTGGCGCAATCTGTGTATTGCCTAGTATTTTTCAGGTGAATGTCATGACGGTAAGTGTTTATAGACGACTTACTGTTCAATGTCAATAATAGTCGTTGCGTTCTGTACTATTCTGGTAACAGACGTATCAATGGTACAAGATACTACTGGTGTCGTATTGGGTACTATTTTACAAAATCTAACTGTTTACTGCACTTGTCTCATCGTTGGGTTCATCTATTCAGAAGGAGTTCGATACCAAACAAATCGTAGCTGATCGATGAGTATACCACTTCTTCCAGTTACATAACTAACAATAAAACCAGTGGAATTCTCGCTGAATTCATGACCAGAGCGTTTTCCAAAGAAAGGACTTAATCGACCTATCGTGGTGGCGAACTGTATTCCTGTTACTATAAGAACATCCCTCGTTGACTCACACTGAAAAAAAAGGTGTTTTACCAAACCAAAAAAGCAATCGGTCGGCGGGCACAATCGCTAAACCTCACATGGTTTGGTCGCAAAAAGGTTTCGTATCGACCCTTTACATGATCGATGATAAAAAGGTTTCGCACATCAGGTTTCGTACGAAACCATTCCTGGAAAAAATCTATACAGTGTCGAGTGACTTTCTCAAACGTCGCTACAGTTTTTAAGATGATCTTTGTGACTATTGATAGAAGGTAACTAGATGCAGTTTTTTTTCGGGAAAAATCATGTTGGTACTCTTTGAGTCTTGGGATACAATGAGCTATTGCAAAAAGATTGAATTTCTTATTATTAGGATTTTTGAATTAAAAATTGTGATATTTTGATTGAGGACATTTGTTTTTATTCGCGTTTCAAATAAGATAATAAAATAAGTAGGATTGTAGAGCGCAAAAAAATCTCTACAAAACTTAATAGTTGCTACATTCTAATGGTGAACAATAGGGAACACAGGTTTGTCTAATTTTTCATATTTTCAAAGTTTAGCGAATGACATTATATACTGCGAAAGTTCTTGATTTTCTAAAGGAACCAAAATGTTTTACGTGCCACTAGATATAACTTTTTGAGCTCTGCAAAACCCTATATTCCGTTATTTAAAATCAGGACTTTGAAAAATCGACCATGTCCTGTGCTTCTATTGATTCTACAGATATAAATTTTTTTCTAAGATATCGTAAGTACAGAATTCATTTCATTGTTTCTTTCGTAGGCAGTTTAAATTTTTATTTTCTCAGTGCATGTAAGCTGTTGTACACCAAAAAGAAATTTTTATTTATTTTGAAGTGGACCGCCAGGAGGGTAATATGTCGTAGTGTGTAAAGATTTGTAATTTATTTTAGCCCTTTGACTAGTATCTTATGTGAACAACTTTCTCTGATGAAAGAGAAGTGCACGCTCATGGAGCTACACCTTTATTTATTTCTTCTTCTCAGATATTGTATGATTTCAATACAAAACACATGCTTATATACTCGTCTATTCAACTCAATGAAAGAAAAGAGAATACCAAAGTGCATCAAAATGTACTGAGCAAAGATATGTATAGAGAATAATCTATCCAATAAGAAGAATCGAAAGGACAATAGCTACACGTATAGCGCAACTAACCAAGAGCATTACAAATCCTTGTTCCCACTTACCATGGGAATGAGAATGGGAAGAATAGTGGAAAGGTCGTTCCCACAAGAGATTATTTCCCATATCCCTGATTTCTTATATATATACGTATATATATATATTACTGTTGATCTTCTTTATAGCAATAAATCGAGTATCTTTCTACATATTACTAACATGGGCAACGAACGACTTTCATAAGATCGATAGAATTCTAATTCTTTATATTCTTACATATTTTCTCATTACAGATTATTAGATTGTGAACACTATCTACCAAAGGCACATCAATGAAAAAGATATTTGAAATATGTGGAAGAAATTAGCCTTTTTCATTTCATTTGTATTATTGTCATTCAGTATTGATCAAACTTTTTGTGGACCAATACGGAGAAAAGATCCAAAAAAAATACAAAGTTTAAAGTAAATTATCATTTCTCAGCCAACTAGTTCAATTGATTTGAATTCATTTTTTTTATGCAGTTCACTATGTCGTCTATTGAATTATGGAGAATTTAATGAGCGTGGTATAAAAACATTTACATTAAACAATCCTAATGAACCCATTAAGAAGTATCAAACTGGATATAAAAATCGAGTAGAATACGTTCGTGCAGGTATTATTATTGTTTACAGTATTTTGACTTATCAAATAGAGTATTGGTTTTGAGAGTCAAAATGTTTTGAAATCTCTTGTCTCTCTGACTTATTGCGTTCGTTTGTAAGTGAATATAAATGATCCGAGCATATTATCATTTTGACAAGAAAGTGTGCAGTGTTTTTGCTTTATAAATGCTCGTTTCACTGGCTGATTAAGAGAAATTAATTTGAATAATTTTTCTAATTTATAGTTTTTGATATGCTTTACTTATTTTGTTCTATTCGACATAGTTATTACATTTCAAGCTGTACAAAATAAAGGCTCACCAACAAATGACGCTGCTCGAAAATATGCACGAGAAATGGGAAAATCTACAGATGATGCTGGTCATATTATTGGAAATCAATTGGGTGGTACTGGTCGAAGTCTCTATAATATTTTTCCTCAGAGCCCTAATATCAATCGAGGTGCATGGAGTAGAGAAGAGAAAGAAATTCGTAATTTAGTCTTAACTAACAAACAGCCTATTGAAGTTATTGTTCAACTGTATTATCCAACACCAACAGCAACAAGACCAAACCGTTTTACATACCGGACAGCTTATAACAATACTTGTCGTTCGGCTAATGTCTTCAACCCTTAACAATTTTATCTTGCTATTTTGAAGATTGCAGTTTCTTTTTCTAATTTTTTCATATTTTATCCTTGCTTTTGGTCATCCTATTTTTTCACTAATAGAAATATTAACACGGCTGCATAATATATTCTCTGTTGTTAGTGCTCTGTCGTAAAACTGAGTTGCACGTACACTTATTCTGCAACGGAGCAAATCTCGGATTCGAGTTCTTCGACCTCAGTTACCCTTCGGTCGATCCTTACTCGGCAACAAAATAATTTTTTATTTCCCAATTAGCAATTAGCTGACTGAAATCTCGAAAAACTAAGGACGGATGCGAGGTCCTTGACCTCGATTACTTTAGAAGTGGTTACTTTCTAGTTTGTATGGGAAATTTCATTAATTTAAGAAATGCTGTTCTCTGATTGGATAGGACAGTCAGATAGACAAACTTTAAGCTTTTCGAGTCACGAATTTAACCGCTGTATAACCCTTTCTTTCAGAAAAGGAAATATATATCTACTTATATTTGAATTGATGTTAGGCTGTGAGGGTCCACTTATAATATAAGTCGAATTAGGCAACTCATGCAACCACCCGTCAAAACCTAGTTACGCGACTCCTTTGAACGGCAAGACGTAATATGCGTCTTTGAAATAAAACTGTTTCATGGACTGTTTTCTCTATTCTTTTATTTACCGCTGATAAGCTCAGAGAAGAATGCTTATTATATCAACACAGTTTACATGACTTAGCATTTCTTTTACACTGGTAAAGAAAAGGTCTTATTTTTCATCGTGAGTTTATATTTCATCGACAGTTTCAAGTTGATATTACTCTTCCAGATTATTTCAGTGATAATCAATACTCGACTTGTATGACATCTGATACGGAAGATATTTTCGTTTACGCACCTGACGTGCCAGCGGATATTCCTAACAATGATGTTGAACAAATGCTCCAAAATCGCATTGAGAGGATCGGACGGATGAAAATCAAGAATGTTAAATACTACTCGAAACTCTGTATAGCTGTGATTCGGATGATGAATGAGGATGATAAAATACATCTGATTAGTAATGTGCAGTCAGCTATCCTCGATTCCCAACGTGGCACAAGCATCTTCTTTACCGATCAACTCGAACTTGATGCTTTTATAGTGCTCGATCGAAATGCATCGAAATTTCTTTCTTGTGAACAAGTTACATCTCGTCTCAAAGGAATATTTAAAATAAACGAAATCGTCTGTGAGTTGATATCGGATCAATTCCCCAACGTGTTTCACATTACTCTTAATTCACTCGATGATCTCGTCAAAGTAGCTAATACCAGAGAGATTCAAATCGACAACATTGTTGTGACCATTTATCCACGTGCTGAATGTACTTTTCTAGAGGATTTACCACCATATATTACGAATGCCAAACTTCTATCTGCTATTAGCAGTGAATCTGGTGGCAAAGAACTACCAACAACATCATTATACGTACAGTATAATAACGATACTGGTAATGCCATTGTTTTAACTGCAAAATTCATTAAAACATGGTCCATAGAAAATGTCGTTACAATTGACGGGCGAAAAGTAGCAAAGAAGAAGAAACTTGACTACCGAGTACTTATCTCTCCAGTAGTTCGCGATTTTAATGTCAATCATATCCTGTATCATGAATTATTCGCAAATAAAGTTCTTGCCCACAAACACATCAAAGATCAACTTATTATTCAACTTGATAATATAGAAAGCTACAACAATTGTTTATCCAAAGGATTTCTACGACTAAACGACACAATGTTGGAAATAAAACCATATGCTGTTGTTATCGATGCAGAAACTATGGATATCAATGCTGAGAACTGGTACGAGACAGCAATGTTGAAGATGGAACCGAATATTTTGACATTAATCCATAATCCTCAACATCCAATCTTTCATTATCAGTGGAATGCTCAAAACTGGATTGAACAATTTCGAAAATTAGAATCGGCTGAACAGCGTTCAAAAAATGATGATTTACGTCGAGCTTTGCTACGCGTAACAGTCATGTGGAATACGATCGGTGTTTTACGTAAACAACGTTATACAGTTAATGATGAAGAAATTATACTGAAACCCAAAACTATGAAAACAATTGTTTATGATCATAAATCAAAACTATCGAGCGGATTGAAGATATCAAGCACTAATATTAAAATACCGTATGCATCGACTTCTGTTAAAATAGTTAATGAAGATTGTCTGATCGTTTACCAACGATTGGTTGCCGAAGGACGTCAACCACTACTATTGAATATGGCCAACCAAGTCAGTCCAGGAGGAGGTTATCGACAAGGCGATGGAGCACAAGAAGAGAATCTTTTTCGTCGATCAAATTATTATCAAAGTCTTGACATCGAAGTAGCTGATAAGAATCAATCAGAGCGGCTGCGCACTAATGATAAATGTGAACTTCGATCAATGTCACTAAGCGATACATTCTATCCAATGGACGAATTTGGAGCGATATATACAAGTGGTATTACAGTCTTTCGTCAAACAGAAGCCGTGGGCTATGCATACATGAAATCGCCATTGTCGAATGTTTGTGCTATTGCCATGGCTGCTTATCGAGAACCGAAGTTAAAAACAAACAAAATATTAGAGAATAAGTTTGCCATTCGTACTCGAAAGAAAATTGAAAATATTTTTGCCATTGCATATCATCATAAGCATGACTGTCTCGTTTTATCGGCTCTTGGGTGTGGCGTCTTTAAAAATCCACCTGATCATATTGCTGCTATTTTTGAGTCTGTCATCTTACAATATGCAGGTTTCTTTAGTACTATTTACTTTGCTATTATTGATGATCAAAATATTGGTAATAAAACTAATCCACAAGGAAATTTTCTGCCATTTCACGAGTTACTCGATGGTGTAAGCATGCCATCGCCAACGTTATTCCGTATCAATGCAGCGGTCGGACCAAACCGTATTACTGACAAGTCAGTAGATGGACAATTGATCTTAAGTGATGTTGTCATTTTACACCTTCCACCATGTGATAATGGTGCAAAATGTCGTGATTATCAAAAGCCTGAGCATCGAAATCAATTTTCACATCCGCCTTTGTGTCCACTTGCAAATTTAACGTCTGCTTGTGATCGATTGGATGATCCGTCTCATACGTTCTTGTTCATGCACAATACTAAATGCAAAGATGGTGGTAAATGTGATAACAGTGACACAATGCATATTCTAAACTTTGATCATCCACCCTTTTGCAAATACGAAGGTGACTGTACAAATATTAGTGAAAGCCATTTGGTTGCTTTTCGGCATTTACCTAATTGTCCAGATGGTCCTGGATGTCGGAAAAAGCGAAGAAGGGATGCTGAACATTTAAAAATGTTTCGTCATTGCAAATCCGTCTGTCCTCACGATAACTGTTGCGCTTATTTTCATGACAAGACGCATTTAGACAATACGATACATTCATTTAGCTCGCCTTGTCCGCTAACACCATACATATGTCCTAAGTATATTGAATTCGTTCGATCAAGCGACGCCAAAGGAGTTTCTACAGAAGTAGAAGATCATTGTCTTGAGTATGCGCATGTTTGCTCATACGGCCGACGATGCCGAATCACAGATGAAAGTCATTTGGAAACATCAATTCATATTATCCGGCAACTATGCCCAAAAGGTAGTAACTGCACGAAATTGACTCAAGAATATCATTTAGAATCGTACACGCATCCTGACATACGAGACATTCGTTTATTATGCAACATACCAGGCTACAAATGTTCTGAGCGATTTAACGAAAATCATTTAAAAAACTACCGGCACAACAAAAATCACGATCATTTTTATGTAGCACCGTCTAGTAATCTCAATGTGTCGATTAATTTTGCGCGTAATCAAAGTCAATTAATTACGTCTGTGAATAACTACATTGACAGAATGAACTGGCGAAAGGTCGCTATTTCTCCCGAAATAGTTAATTGGGTACGAGCATTGCAGCCCGTGCATCGATGTCGAGGAGAGATTTTCGAATCAATTCTTGTTCTAGGACATGTTATGAGTCGACGTTTTATGAATTTGCTAAGAAAACAAGAGAACGTAGTCAGAGCAGTACAACAACATAGCCAAGTACGTTCGATACTTCTTCGTCATAGTACTCCGACGGTGAAAAGCGGTGTATGCAAGCTTATTGAGATCGTGGTTGAGGCGGAATTTGTAAAGGAAAATTCAGATGGAACAGGTTCCTTGGATTCTGATTATCAGCAGAAAATTTCGAAGATAGAAAAACGTTTGAAACCACCGCTCAATATCAGAGAAGTTCAAATTATTCAAGAATGGTCACTTAAAATTGCTCAAGCATCGATTATATTGAATAGAGTGCCAACAGGCATCGGATACGACCTCGATGAAAAACTAGGAACCGACCAACATGTGTTCAGCATACTTGGACCACATCTTGGTCATTATTACGGTGAAATTGTCATTACCTTCAAACAGGATATTATGTTTCATCCTGATGCTAATTTTTCCATTCACGCTGGAACTGTTTTCTGTAACGAATCCGCTCATGAAATACGCCCATGGGTGAGAAATCCAGGCACACTAGAGAGACGCATCGAGCAATTCCATAATTCAAAACTTCATTGTTCTGTTCAAGGCTTTGAACATGCAGCAGCTGCCGAACTAGTGGCTGTAACAGGTCTCGATAAAAAATCAATGGAAGTTGACCTTCAAGCTATTCTTCAACAATGGATAAGTGTAGATTCGCATCTAACATTCGAAGCACATTTACCACAACTGATTCCATTGGATTATATCGAGTGTGTCTATATACCCAAGAATATCTTCGAGTCTCTCTCGTCTGAAGCTCAACAAGCAGCGCGAGATGCTTTTAAAGATTCGCTTATGATAAGCTTGTACGAATGTGAAGAGTTCGATTCAGACATTGAACTGGCAGAATACCTTCGTCACAATTATCCAAAATACGTATACGAAGAACTTTGCGAAGCCATCAAACGTCGAATGGCGAATCTGGACGTTTCACGAGGAATAGTAATTACGGTTGCTGCTTCAGAATTCGAAGAACATGTTATTATTCCGATCAGCATTTCTCAAGCCTATCATTTATATTATCGTGACAAAACTCAATCAGAAAGCGGTCATCAAGTGACGTATATATATTGGCAAGCCATGAATGGTGATATGATGTTAACATTGGCTAATGAAAAGATCATTACCGACGAGGAACAATTCGATCTTCGCTGTTTGATTTGCTATATTTCATTGAAGCCGTCAACGACAACAACAACTGATGAATATCGTGAAGCATATTCCTATTTAAATGATGGTTCACCATATCAACATGCAAACAATGTTAACACCAGTCAACTCAAAGCGAAATCAAATGCATTCTATCGTGGATGTAATACAGATGATTACTTTACTCTGTGTCTAAAGATAGATCATGCAGCAGGTCTAGTAACGTTAAGTCATGCCGGGCCCAATAGTCTATATAATCATGAGAAGATTGAATGTCGCTTCAATAAATCTGATTTAGATTTATCAAAACTAGAATACATTCATTTAAGTGCTGGCTATCACGATGTTCCTGTACGAAATCTAACGATTAATTTTGAACCAATCCCTGAATTGCATCCATCGATTGATACAACTTTCAAAATAGATACATCTAGTTTACTTGAAAAACATCTTGTTCCAGTTTCCTATGTTGATCCCAATACGCTTGAAACTAAACGAATTAAAAGAATTCGACCTGTGCGAATTGTACCACCGTCCGATAATCAGACTTTCAGTCTATTAGATCGTGTGGGTCATGCACTATGCTGTAATAACGTTAATGCAGTTGTGCCAGTTGAATTAGATGAGTCAGCTGCTCCAAAACTGAAACCTTGTCCTGATTCTGTTTATTGTTTGCAGCAGAAGTCATCGAGGCATATTAAAGAATATTCTCACCCTTGTAGCTTTTCAGAATTATGTACAAGAAAAGTAAAGGAACCTCACCTGACACACGAACGGCATAATGTTCTGAAATGTGCACAAGACAAAAGTTGTCTGAAAAAAGATGATCCAGTGCATCGGGCAGAGTATCGTCATACTGATTTGCCTGATTATCTTATTCCATGTCAAAAACAAGCGAATTGCTCTGACAAATCACCCAAACATCGGATTAAGTATTTCCATGGTGAAGCTTTACCTTTAATTCGACGTAAACTCGATCCATTATAAAATATTCTATTTTAAATCTACTTTTTTCCTTTCAGGAGATCAACCATTAGAATACGTGCAATCGGAAAGATATCGTCGAAATGTTCGCTAATAGCGCCAAATTCTACCTTTATATTTGATTTTTCTTCGATATATAACACTGCTACTTTTTGCTTGCATTAAAAATATATGATAAAATGACTTACTACCATAAATCACGTGATACTCAAAGGTTTGTAAAAAATAATCTGCATCTTATCAAAATAGAAAGCAAAGGTAAAGAGAAACACATGAATCTTTCTGATCGTAGTATATAGAAAGTGAAAATGTTTTTTAAGTCTTACCAAAATATTTCATTGCTTCTGTTAGCATTTCTCTTCATAAATGACCATTTAATAAGCTCAATACAACTCGATGATGAAATACTTGATAAATTCATCGAAGACGAAATTCAACAAGGTTTTCCCGGAGTTGCCCTCAGCGTGATACAGAACGGTAAAGTATTAAAACAAAAAGTCTATGGTTATAAATTGAAGTACGACGACAATGGAACAGTAATAGATGAACCGCAATTGTTAGCGCTAGAGACTATGTTTGATATGGCTTCATTAACAAAAATGTACGCAACAAATTATGCGTTAATGCACTTAGTCTATCAAGGAAAGTTAAATGTACATGATCCGATTATGAAGTATATTCCTTATTATCGTGGCTGTAATCCAGAACATGAATGTCGTGAAGCAAGGCTAATCAAAGATTTATTGACGCATACAGCTGGATATGCTTCAAGTGTCGAATTTTACAATCCGAAGAGAGTCTCGGCGGATTTATATTCTCAAGATAAGAATAAAACCGAAGAAATCATCGAAACAAAATTAGGCTTTCAACGTCCGAGAGGTGATGATCAAATACCACTTTATTCAGACATTGATTACATGCTATTGGGTCTCGTCATCGAACATATTACTGGTATGCGAATTGATCAATACGTGAAGTCAACTATCTACCAACCATTAGGACTAACTCATACATTATTTAATCCTGTGAACGGTTTCAATTATCAAAAAACTGATTTTGCTGCAACAGAACTTAAGGGCAACACACGGAATAATACTATTGATTTTCCGAATGTCCGCCGATATGTTTTACAAGGACAAGTTCATGACGAAAAGTCGTTCTATTCCATGAATGGTCTTTCAGGGCATGCTGGTTTATTCTCAAATTTACACGACATGACTATTCTTACTCAAGTTATGTTAAACAATGGTACTTATGGAAATGTACAGTTTTGGAATGAAACTGTTCAAGAACTTTTTTTGACACCCTATTCACGTGATCCAACGTACGGTCTAGGATGGCGTTTGAACTATAATCAGACTCTATCCTGGTTCGGTCTTCATGCGACCAAGGAAGCATACGGTCATACAGGATGGACAGGAACATGTACAGTCATTGATCCGAAATGTTCTATTGCTATTATTCTGCTGACAAATAAACGACATACACCATGCATCAATGGTACTTTTGATGGTGAGAAATACGAAAGCGGAAGGTATGGAAAGATAATGACACTAGTCTATGAAGCCATACAATTAGATCAGCAGCAATGTTGTAATATAACACCAATAAATATGGGATGTCGAAACTCACTAGAGAATTTCTCTTCGTTAATTTTATTCTCTATGTGTGTTATCACTTCTCTATTAATTCATTAAATCATTTGAGTAGCACACAGACTCTTCAATTGCGAATAAATCAAAGCATACATTATTACATCAAATTCTTTCATTTCGATCGGAATAGAATGTAAAACATCGAATAATGTGAAAGACTATAAATATCTATATAGTACATTGAACTTAATTAATTGTTAATTTATATTATAATTAATTATGAAAAGGACTAGATTTAATTTCCGGCAAATCCTTATAAATCTGAATGCAACGTTAAAATTGCATTTGGCATATGTCTAGACTGAACTGGTTAGAAAGCGTTTCCTTTTCCTTTCTGCCATCATTTTAAATTCCTAAAAAGTCAAGAACAATGGTTCACAGATAGTCTTTTCTGTAGACGTCTATTCATGATATACAAAACGGCGATCTTTTAGTTGTTTTTAAACAAGTATATACGATCATGTCAATGCAATTTGTGTATTAGGTCGCCGTGTTAATCTTTTCATTAGGAATGATTTCACTGGCTGGGTTAATTGAAACAAAGCAATGATGACCAATGCTAATGATACATCGACAAATAAAAATGCGATTCGATAGTGGTACTTTGGTGGCTTAGTGAAAAAAGTCATCCCAATAAATAATGCATAAGGAAAACCGATCGTTAATAAAATACCAACGACAATCATAATTTGTTGAGCCATTTTTAGATGTCGTTGTGCTCGAAATAATTTCGCAACAGGTACCACACGACATTTCATTCGATGAACATGCTGCAACAGTTTATAATAAATAAACATGATTGCCGACACAGGTACTCCATAGATACATGAAGCGGGATAAACAATGTAGAATGAGGGTACCACAGGTGTTTGACATATCTGATTATCTGCGTTGTAGATAACTTTTCCATTGAAAATAAATACAAATGGAAATATGATTCCAATCAGCCATGTGATACAAATAATCATCAATTGAGATTTGGCTGAATGCCAAAATAAACGAGCCGGATAGACGGCAACGGTGTAGCGATAGAGTGCTTGCACTAAAAACGAATAGTTCACTAGAGCAGCAGCCACATAATCAAAATAGGCCCGGACAATACATTGCGAATCTTCATAATCAATTCTTTTGAGATCATTTTCCAATGTAAAGATTGACATACTGAGCAATACACATGCGAATACAAGTACAGAAAGACATGAATTAGCAACTAACATCATCGGTACTGTATGACATGACCGATCGACGATAATAATGCACAGAAAGATTGTTGAAAGTACAATAGCTACAATAGTACACGTAATCATAAAAATATCGACTGGAATGAACCATGACTGGATGACTGTTTCTAGTGTCATAATAGAAGACGAAGATGGTAGTGGTGATGACATTCTTTTGCGACGAGATGTTCTCAAAGAAGTAGAAAAATAAGAAATAAATTTCGATGAGTGTCCTTCTACTTTTAAAGCATGCGACTGTTTTTCAAGAAGAGAAAAGATTAAATTTATATTAATCGGTACTGCGTTGTTTGAACACACAATCGTAATAGATGGTAAAAACAGAATTGTGGCCACAATGTATTCCCTATTTTCTTTATCGATTACCTAGAGAACAAGAAAATATGAAGTGTTTTATCGACTAGAATAGATGAGTAAACGGGAGACATTTTTTTTGTCACATCAATAAGGCAGTACTAAATTATTACGAGTTCTTTTGTGGCACATAAAATTAATTGCTTTTCTTTCTCCTTTTATGATCTTTCATGTCTATTTTCTCGGGATCTCTCTCTCTCTCTCTCACATTTGATTAGCTGTCATTCTATACAATCATGAAAATATTGAAATGGATGATTCAAGAACTGGCTTATGCTAATCTTGCGTGAGCGAAACTTTATTACGCAGTATTTATTCATCTAATTTCGTCGAAAGCTGATAGTCATGACGGTTCTATTATAATGCTATGCTAAAGTACCAGAAGAAAAATATGGCAACCATTGTCTGTGATTCTCTTTTATGCGATCAGGAGTTTTCATATAATGAAGAATATGCTGTCAAGTAAAAAAGCTTGTTCATTTGAATACTGCTATCATTGAATTTTGGATGTTTATTTTAGCATCTTCGCTCGAGTTTTCTTCCAGTGACTTCCTTTGAAGTGTTCATTGTTTTACGTTATGCTATTAACATTTTCTAATATTTTTTTTTCTTTTTTCTTTTTTCATGCTACACTTGCTGAAGTATAACACACTTTTCTTTCCATTTCTTTTATTTTTCATCTATTATATCACATTTATTGGTTTCCACGCAGAGTCGCTTCCTGTAACATCCATCTTATGTAGAAGAAATGGCGGAAACACCAACTCCACATACCGGCATCGTTCCAATTGCATCCATACAGAATGTAATCGATTCCACCAGGAATCTGCGTTTTTCTGGTGTAGTTACGAGTATTATTCTTGTAACAGCCAGTCTGCCAATTACTAAATTATGTCTTGGCACTCTTTATAAAAAGCAATGTTCAGCACAAACACCAATTCCCATTTGGTTAGTCACATCTGGATTTCGTGGGTTGCTTTGCATTTTTGTCATACTTAGTATAGTATGTACTTCTTTGTCAATAAGACTATGTTTTTGATGACTCGAACCGATTGTCTCTTTACAGTTAGGTTTTGCTATGCTAACAGATCGTTATTGCAGAAAAACATCGTCCAGTTTATTACTGTTCGTGGGCACATTAGTTATAGTCATATCTGCTTTCTTTAATTTTTCATGGTCAATTGTGGTTCGTATGTTTGTTTGAAATTCTTACATGTCTGAGCATCAATTTTATATAGGGTATTTACTGGTCGACATCAATTCGATCCACAGTTCAACATACCGATCCAACACAAACTCAAACATATTGTCATTCGACGCCCTATACATTCGTTATGGCTGTTTCATTATTTCAAGCAATAACTATCTTGATATTTATCGTGATCTGTGTTATCTATATTCGCCGAGCTCTACCAACCATGATTACATATTCGAATAGTCAAGCAGTACATCAAGCACATAAACAGTATAGTCTCTATGTTGCAATCTTCATCTTATCATTCATTTTTCTCACATAAACATCACCTTAACAATTCTTTTCCGTAAATTTTTACTCTTTCTTTTTCTAATTTTAATATATTACAAACTGTCTATATTCATCATATAAATTACACTACAACAACGGTTTCTAAGGTTACAAAGGAAAGAAAATCATTCAACTAGATCAGTTTCTTACAATATAGTGATGTAGGATCGTTATATAAGACAAGGCGTGTTTTGCTTATCTCTTTTTTTTTCAATATATTCCGAAAAGACAAAAATTGACAACACATATATATATCCTAAAATGCATTTTCTTCTACTATTTGTCTTTACAATTTCCTTGTGTGATGGTTGGTCCGTTGGATTGTCATCGTACCGTCTACGAACACAGAGTCTTCGTGATCCAATCGGGATTGACGTAGAAATACCCTCATTGAGTTGGCGTATAAAAATTTCAAAGAACATTCATGGTAAAGATTAGCAAGCTTATGAAATTCGATCTGGTCATCAGCGAGAAGATCTAAACTACAATCCTTTGTGGAATTCTGGAAAAGTTATATCTAATTTCACAGTAGTTCTATGGACAGGACCACGATTAGCTTCGAGAGAAAGAGTTTATTGGCGAGTACGTCTCTGGGATACGGATGAAGATATCTTTGCATGGAGTGAAGTAGCAGTATTTGAAATTGGTTTTCGGCACAGATATGATTGGGATCCGGCAGTTTGGATCGAAAATAAAGATTATATGACTTACTTTCATGCTTTATCAAATATTTCACTAGCTCGAATTCGATAGCAAGCGCAAGATTATGGATAGTAGGTTTAGGACAATTTGTAGTAACGATCAATGGAAAGTCGGTTTCCAATGGTGTTCTGAATCCAGGATATGTTGATTGGAATAAAACGCTCGAATATTCAACTTATGATGTAACGCCTGCTCTTCAAACTGGAGACAATGTTTTAGGTGTAGTTTTGGAGAAAGGTATCTACAAAACAGAGAAACTCTTAGGAGATCGGTACTACAAGTTCATAACTATGCCACACATCCGATGAAATTAATTGCACAATTGCAGTTGAATTATACGAATGGAAGCAGCCAAACGATTGTATCAGACTCGAATCGAGTTGGTATGGTGGTGAAGAATACGATGCCCGGAAAGAATTGCCCGGTTGGGATACGCCAAGCTATGATCATTCAACATAGAAAATAGCAGACGTTTCGAGTATGCCAAATCCTAATGCAACGTATCGTGCTCAAGAGTTTCCTGCGATAGAATTAGTGGAAGATATAAACGCTATTGCTGTCCATGATCAAGGTAATAGTACATATGTTGTTGATTTTGGAGTCAATCATGCCGGTTGGCCAGAATTAACTATGAAAGGTGCTCGTAGCACAACAGTAACGATGCGACCAGGTGAAATACTTTAACCGGATGGAATACCAATTTATGACCGTTATACTTATTCAGGAAATGGCACTGAAAAATATATTCCAACTTTTCGGTACGTCGTTAGTTTTTGATAAACAAAAGTCACCATTAACGAACTATAGTCTGATGTAGATACCATGGATTTCGATATATACAAGTGGAAAACTTGACTGGGGAAATAGCATTATTCTATTACCCTTATACTTATATCAATCTTATAGTGAACGAGCATTATTGGAAGAATTCTATCCAAACATGGCTGCGTTCTTAAATTATCTAACTACATGCGCAAAAAATAATATTGCTTCATATGGTCTTGGAGATTGGAATGCGATCGACCAATCAACACCTGCTGGAGTTATATACAGGCACGTATGGATAATGGATATCGGCGAATAGTTTAGCAATCATTGCAAAAGCTCTCAATAAAATCATGGATGCCAAGAAATATTCAGTATTAGCTTTGAATATCTCATCTGCCTTTCACAAAACATTCTTCAACGCTAGTGCTCATACTTATGCAACTGGCAGTCAAGCAGCCGATGTTTTTGCCTTAGAAATGGGTGCAGTACCTCTTTCAGAGCAGGAAAATATTCTTGCACATCTTACCAATGACATTCGCCAACATAATTACCATACGTCCTGTGGTGAAGTCGCATTGCCATCTTGGTTCCGAATGTTGAGCCACTATGGACATGCTATCGTTCATGGTGCCACGGCACTTACCGAAGATTGGGATGGTCCTCTTCCAACCCGAGGACAACAACTAAGTAGCCAGAATCATTTCATGTTTGGTGCTGTAGACGAATGGCTGACGCGTTCTCTTGCTGGTATACAACAAACGGCAGATTCGGTCGACTATCGTATTCTGTTTATTAAGCCAACAATCGTCGGAAATATTACTTTTGTCAAAGCAAGTTATATGACTACAAGAGGATGGATAAAAACTGAGTGAAATCGATTTGGCGTAGACCTCATTCTAAATATTGAAATTCCAGCTGGATCTGTTGCTTATGTTCACGTGCCTGGCTGGAATGTAACACCAAATTATGGTACTTTAGTTCAGCAGTCTGCGACAACAAACACGACAATATTTAGAATTAAAAGTGGAAATTATGGATTTCAATCAACTACCTTTTTAAATACGCGATAGATTTTTTTATATGCATCAATAACACTACGTATTTATTTGAAAATTAGAAACTTGAACTTCAGTTACAAATATAAAAGAGGAAAGAGTCATCTATAGAAAGATTGTAACAAACAAATAAATGTATTAAATCTATTTTGACGGTTTTCTTAGCGTTTATGATCGTCTGTTCTTAGTCATCCAATCAACACCAAAATCAACTAACAAATGCTGTGGTATTAGTTTGCATTCAGCTAATCCAACTTTCCCTATCTGTGTATTTCCCTCGATGGAATCAAATGCGTTGCCAATATCCATAAAATCGTCAGCACGATAATCATAATCCATCCATTCAATCCACTGACGTTCATTCGTTTCAGAATCCATTACTGCAGCGCTACATCGAAATGTTTTCTCGTTGTTCTTATTAATCTGATATCGATATTCTGATAAATGTAGAGATGTGTTATTTTTATGTTGAACACCTAGTAAGAGCACGTAGCCGTTGTCCATACAAGCATAGAGGCGAGCTAATGGTGATTGTTCGCCACAAGAGTCATAATGATCTTCCGTAATAAGTTTTGCTTTTTCACCAAGAGCAATAACAGAATACAACGGATGTTGACTACGCAAAACACCAGGCCAATGACGAAATGTCTCAGAAACTTTACCCATCTTAAATGTTGGTGTTATATCAGCTTGATAACCAGGCAATGACTGGCGAAAAGCGTCGAACCATTCGGGCGGTATAAACGAGTTAGGTCCATATGTTGGATCCGTATTATCAGAAGTATGAGATGGCATGAGAAGCGTCCCATGAGGACCGAGTAGATCTAATAGTGCTTGTATAACAGCGACTGGCCCACCAGCGATCCAACCTATTTTTGATAACGAACAATGCACTAATAGGGTCATACCAGATGATACACCGAGCTTTCGAAAATCTTCTTTCAATCGTTCAGCTGTTAAACATGTTCCGAACACTTCATGTGTTCTAGCAACCAGGTTACATTCTTTTTTGCTCATTTTTAATCCTTATCGTGACATCAAATGATATTTGTCTTTCACAAACATAAAAGATGCGATGTCATCACGTGGCAGTGGCTTAAGCTTTTTTCTATTTTTCTCATTTTTCTTATCTAGGGTATGAAAGAATAAATGTTAACATTTTGTCATCTTCAACATTTTTTCCTAGTATCACTAAAAAAAAAGTCGTATTTATAAAAAGCATATACGTACGTCATTTTGTTATTGTCACAACAGGTGATCGATAATAGAAAAACAGAAGATATGTAGATGATCTGTTGATGTTCGATAAACTTAATCCCATCACTCTTGAGATAATATCAAAGACAGACAATATTTAATGGTTGTGTATGCTTTGTATAAGTTAACATTCTCGATATTCAAGAATCTTGCCATCGTTTCATCGTATTTATGCACAAGTAACCAGGCTCGTATGTGATTTGAATAGAAACACACCTCCTCGGGACAGTTTCTCAAATGATATACTTTGCGTTCAACATTTAGTACAACGGAAAAGATTTGACATGTTTATCATGAGAAGTGAATTTACTCGAACGCGTAAAAATGATTGATATCACGCTAATGCTCTCGATATCAGTTTCAACAAGATAGAATTAGAGATATTATCCAGGGTACTTCTATGATCAGGTTCTGTTTCATGTAAATATGTATATCAGCATAAATTAAGTACAAAATAGGGTAAAAGCAAGCGGATATCTGATATTTGCAGATAGTATCTAGTTTCTAACAAGATCTGTTTTATAAATTGACCTATTTGAAATAATTGTGTTGTTTTTCAGTGCGCAATATGCATCGTTTCGGGAAACTTCTGCTTCTTGTTGGAATAGTACTGGACTGCTCTGTTCATGTTCAAAGTTTGTCATTGGCAAAAATGAAGAGCGAGACAAACGCACGGCAAAATCAGAAGGATATACCAATTATTGAAGTGCCGGACTTCGTCAACGCAGATCCTAAATACCGTATTGATTGTTCGCCAGACAATGATGAGCATCGAACCTTTTGCCAAATTAATCTTACAAAAAACCGTACGTCAAACTTAAGCGAATCATTATGTACTGCTCGTGGATGTGTCTGGGATACGAATAGCCAAGCAGACAAATCAACATGTTACATACCGAAAGAGAAAGGTGGCTACGAACTTAAACAAGGACCCGATCAAATCTCAAATGCTATGACAGTGTATAGTCTAGGACGACTATCTTCACAATCATCACGATTTTCCATGTTCAATCATGATATTGATAATCTAAAAGTCCAGGTTAGTATTTCTGGTCCTGACATGGTTCGTATGACTATTCGAGATGAAAATGCTGAACGATACGAAGTTCCTGTTCCTCTCCAATGGGCACCATTAGTTCCACCAACATCTGCTCCACCTAAAATTCAGTTTCAAATGACAAAAACAGCCAATAAGCAAATAGGTTTTCGAATTCTGCGCACAGATGATACACAATCTCTCCTATTCGACACAACTTTTTTTGCTAATGGCTTTATATATGATGATCAATTCTTGCAAATAATAACTACCATTCCATCAAGAAATATCTACGGTGTGTTTTCTTTTGTTCTCGCTTGACGGAACCTCGTATTTGTTGTCACTTTCTTTAGGTTTTGGTGAGAATACGCACACTTCGTTTCGACACAATTTGAAAGATTCGAAACGCTATGGAATTTTCGCTCGAGATCAATGGCCAACAGGTGAAAACGAAAATTTATATGGTACACATCCATTCTACATGGTTATCGAACCCAATGGACAAGCATATGGTGTATTCATTTTTAATTCCAATGCGCAAGATTACAGATTTGATGAATTTGATACTGATCAAGCGACGCTGACTTATCGCACAATTGGAGGTATTTTCGATATTTTCGTCTTCGCTGGAACTACTCCTGAACAAGTCATTCGACAATATCAATCAGTGATTGGTAAACCATATTTTCCTCCCTATTGGGGATTTGGATTTCAACTTTGTCGGTATGGTTATAATTCACTTGATAATATGAAGGCAGCGATGTATCGAACACTTAACGCTAGTATTCCTATTGATGTACAGTATGTAGTAAAATATCTTTGTGACTGTCATCTACCTGTTCTATTATTTAGCTACGGCGATATTGATTACTTTCATAATCGACTTGATTTCACTTGGAATCCAGTTGATTTCCAGGGCATCCCAGAATATATCGATTGGTTACACGCAAGTGGCATGAAGTTCATCACTATGATTGATCCTGCGATTGATTCCGAAGCGCCCAACTATCCAGTTTTTGTAGAAGGCCAAAAGGCTGACGTATGGATCAAATGGCCTGAACGTCGAAATTTACAATTTAATGAAACAGGTAATCGTACTATTCTTGGATACGTATGGCCTGATGGTAAAACAGCATTTCCTGACTATTTCTATCCATCGACTAACGAATGGTGGAGAACACAAATCCTTGAGTATCGCAAGAAAATAAAATTTGATGGTATTTGGATTGACATGAAGTAAAATATACGCAATAACTACTATTTTGCATGATTTCATTCTCTCTTGTTGTTCTAGCGAGCCAGCTAATTTCGATACTAACAGAAACAAACCATGGAATTGGAATCGAACAGAACTATGGAATCTGAAATGTCCAGTTGAAGATGAGATTCTAGATAATCCACCCTATAAAACAGCTATATGTGGTGATTATATTTCCGACAAGACTATATGTATGATCTCTGAACAAAGGGACGGTCGTGGAAAGACGTACAATCATTATGATGTACATAATCTATATGGTTGGTCAGAAACAGTAGCAACACTACCAGTTGCTCGTGCTCTCGAGAATAAACGATCAATTGTTATCAGTCGATCAACATTTCCTTCATCAGGCTCAATTAGCGGTCACTGGTTAGGAGACAATACAGCAGACTGGAAACATCTAAAATACAACATTATTGGCATGTTGGAATTTAATTTATTTGGTATGCCATACAATGGCGCCGACATATGCGGCTTCTTTGCAGACACCACCGAAGAAATGTGCCAGCGATGGATGCAACTAGGTACAGCGAAATTGAACTTTTCATAGAGCTAATTCAAATAATTTATCCTAGGAGCATTTAATCCTTTCTTCAGAAACCATAACGGCTACAAGTAAGCTAGTTCTCTATTAGATCACAGCAAAAAAGTATTCTTCTTTAGGTTCGGATATGAAGGGAACGCATTTCGTGATCAGGATCCAGGCGTCTTTTCTGCACCGGCTGTGGCATCCAATCGTCGGGCAGTTGAGTTACGCTACACACTCATACCACATTTATACACATTGTTTCATCGAGTACATGTTTCTGGTGGTACAGTTGTGCGTTCAATGGCGCATGAATTTCCAACTATACCAGAATGTTGGCCACTCGACGAACAGTTCTTATGGGGTTCGTCACTACTCATTGCTCCAGTTATATACGAGAATCATCGCACAAAATATGTGTATCTTCCTCCGAGTGAACGATGGTATGACTTTTATACAGGCGAAGAGATGAGAACACTTGGCAATATCACTGTTCCAGCACCACTTGATTTTCTCCCCTTATACTTACGTGGTGGTGCCATCATACCTCAACAGCAATCAGCAATGAACACAGTGCAATCACGTAAAAATCCACTGTTTTTAACTGTCGCATTAGATAACAATCAGTATGCGCAAGGAAATCTTTTCTGGGACGACGGAGAATCGATTGATACATACGAACACTCCGTTTACAATGACTTTGCTTTCAGTTACAAGTCACAACGTTTATCTATTGAACCGTGGACATACAAATATCCACAAATGGGCAATGACGTGAAATTGGAAGACATCAAAGTCTATGGTATGGACCGAGCACCAAGTCGAATTCTGTGGAATCGACGAGAACTATCTGCAACAACTCAGTGGACATTTGACAGTGCGAAGAATGTTCTATCTATGACTAAGTTAGCATTGGATGTTACGAAGTCACATGCATTCGTTTTTGTTTAATTTTCATTATGACATTTTATGAATACAAATAACTGTCTTGAGTATTTCATTCATAAATGATTTGTTTTTTGGAACCATCATAATAGATAAACATCCCTTTTGGTATCACTCTCGACAAAATAACAAAAAAAAAAGAAAGACATGCATGGACACAGTTCATTAAATTGTGCCTAGACACATTATTTTTGCACAGGAAAAAGATCGAACTAGAAAAAAGGAGAATGCTTCAGTGATGATATCAAAATTAACATATTCGACAGTTCGTTCGAGAAATGTTGTGTACTTGTTTTTCTATTTGTTTTTGATAGAGTTTCAAAAGTAAAACCATCAGAAGAAATTGGCGTATGTAGCTATAACACAGCACACTTTTCTTTTTGAAAAAAAAAGGAGAAAATCTGTTCATCGTATAAGTTTTCATTATTCTTCTAGTCTATTGTAATTTGTTTCGTATTCACTGGTTGTAAACTATATTCTTCATTTTATCATTTTAGATATATAGGATTCGATGTACAATGCAAACTTCTCATTGCTACACGAAACGAATCTTTTCTAAATGCTTTTCTCTTCCATTATGGACATCATTAACTATATTCGTCTTTCTTTGGATCGTGTTATTTACTATCCTGATGAATTCTCGTATATATACAGTCGCCGAACTCTTACAAAGACTCACAGATCATGGTCAATTTCTTTCCCATGACGATTCACTGTCGTTCTCAAAATTCAAATCAGATAAACGTGGATACGTAGCTCTTTTGTACAGTGGCACGGCGAGAAGCTTTAGTGCCAATTTTGAAAGTCATATTATTAACTTAATGGCTGGATGTCCTTATACTGTTCATTTATTTTTACATACCTACACGAATGATAATTACCTTCAACAACAGTTGAATAATTCTGAGTATGCAAATTACTTGTCAGTCAATTCAACTCTTGCTTATTTCGAAGGCTACACGAATTTGGATAATCAACGTGTCTTTTTTCATCATGCAGTTAAAGCGAATGTTTTTGAATATGTACCTTCGGAAACTTTACGCCAAATATATAAAGATACTTATGATATTTCGATTAAACGCTTTCCTAGTCATCCGCCAGTTCCCAGTGTTTATTATATGTGGCATAGTCAACGTCGGAGTGAAGAATTACGTCAAAAATACATGAATGAAACGAAGATTGTTTATAAATGGACATTTCGGATGCGTCATGACGGTGTTTACTATACGAATTGGTGGCAACGAGCATTTAATGTAATCGTGTATAATTCATCGGATCCAACACATAAAAATTTAACTCATGATGTAGCTGATGATTGGGGTATTTATCGCACTCGTCTCTATGATATGGTTTACGAGCCGAGAATACTATTGCGTAATGCATTTTACATTCCTTTTGGTTGGTCTAACGGTGGGTATAACGATCAATTTGCGGCATTGTCATCTGTGAATGCGAATCATTATTTTATGCGTATATTACATGTTGATCGAATGCTAAACGGCTCGATTGTTCATCCTGAAACTTCAATTCGTCTGATTGCTCAATGGAATAATATTATTGTGGATAATATTAGTGGGACGATGTGCTATGATATAGTCCGTGTATTTCCCAGCACTCCGCTACCGACAAACAATCGATCATGTCAATACAAGGGAAGTGGCCAAGAAGATTGTCGAAGATTGTGTCCGAAATTAGAAGAGATTAACAAAAAACTACGAAACGATTTCATTCAGGATCCATCCGCTCTGAAACAGAATGTAACTCTCAACAACAAACAAATACAGAGTCTATTGTTTCAACATATCTCGCGAATGAATAATCAAACTCTTTCGATCAGTATTCAATCATCATCGTTCTATTATTTCTACCGGTATATCAATACCAAAAACATCAATGATCCTTGTTTATCTGAAACATGGTCAAAAGATCAAGGCAATAATTATGAATCATACAGATTCTCATTTGTTTTACGTTCATCTAATTCAAAAATCATAACCCAATACAATAAATTGTTAACATGTGGAACATCGGTACCTATCATTAGTTGAAAAAATATTTGGGTTTCTTTTTTCGTTTCACATTTCTGTTATATTTTCTATGAAAATAGATCGATTTATACAACTGTCAAAACAAAACGACAGCATTATTGAATTATTACATCAGGTTCAACACACTGTTGCTTATCATTCATGGAGAAGTCCGCGGTGCACGAAGGAGAACTGTTTAGCAATTGTTCAGTAGTAAAAATAATCTCGTTTGCTTTTCGTGCACTAATATCTGATCCATAGCGATGTTCGAGTTCTATTCGAAAGTCTTTCACGTATGGCAATGGTGGAAATAGTAACGATTGACGATAGATTTGTAGAATTCCTTCTGAAAAGACTTGGTCTTGCATTTGTCTACGTTCGTTTTGTGCTAGACTTTTGATTGTTGCTAATATTTGAGTCCATCTTTTCGCCAATCGACGATCGACCCATTCATGGAAAGCACCTGTTGGTGTACAAAACTGCGGAGTGAAATTATCAATAAATCGGCAAAGGAAAGAATATGAAACAGCTCGAATATAATGATTGGCATCTAAAATGATGAACTATATCGAAAACACCAAATAATGATAAGTATATACACATACGTGCAAGGTACTGTGGAAATTGTTGCAGTCCAGATGCTTCTGGTTTGATATAGATTCGATCACCAGAGTATTGGCGACTTGTATTATTCGCTAAACTTCTTAGTTTGCCAAATAAAATATGAGAAAAACCATTTGGCATACATCCATGAGCCATGTCGATTCCACTAAAAGATTGTATGTGATCATATTTTTGAAAGTCAAAACTTGAACGTTTTACTAGGCTGGATAGAGATGCCATCGGTCATGCTTGTTGCCACGTTCATGAAAATGCGATGACTCATCGCCACGTAAATAGATGAAGGGTCTGTAAAACGACGTTTTCCGTTGGCGTAAAAAATTAAATAACGATTTAAGTAAATCGATGAAAAAGTACGCCGGACGTCGAAAATAACCGGAACGATGTTCATCACTATGTAATTGATTATTCTTCGCTATCATTAATTGAGTAAAAAAACGTTCAGTTGAGTCATATAGTATAAACATTCCTAAAAGTGCGTCCAGTCAATCGAATTACACCGAACAAGAAAAGAGACATTGTTACCTGATAAAAATTCCACCGGTTTACCGTTTTGAGCAGCTTCTTGGAAGAAGAAATGCATAAGTGAACAAACTGTATGTTCATTGACGTCATTGAAAGAACGATCATTGTGTATTAGATCTAAGAAAAAGCTTCGACCTAACTTAGCTCGTGCTATATTGTACTTGATTGTGGAAGCAGAGGCAGTCTTTGAAGCATTCGATCTCACTTGACGATAAATCCAAATCGCCAATAGAATAAGACAACATTGTACCAGCCATCGTGACCAGAATTTATTTATTTTCATTTTGTACAAAATTTGCATTATAGATACAGTCAACTAAAAGAAAACGAAAAAGTAAACTTATGTTAAAATACTTCTTGGGACGCATAAGCATGATTCATGGTACGACGAACGAACTTAATATAGCAGAGCGTCCTTTGAACTGTAAGACTTGTGGACTTCGATATGTGTAGAAATCATTTCTCTTGTCATATGAAACTAGTCAGCAGTCAATGAGAGGCATTGAGAGAGTTACAATTAAATATTTGCTATACACGTGAATATGGAGAACGAAGAAAAAGAAAGAAAGAAAGAAAGAAATTCGGTGCATATTATTTTCTTTTTTTTCTTTCATAGAGCAGAACGAGAAAAAAGATGGCGATGGTAAATAAAGATTGAATTTATTTTTCTATTTCAAAGACTATGATTCATTCTGATTCACATTCAAGGATGGAGAGAGAGAGCGAGTACGAGATACATCAAATATCGAAAAAGAAAAGGTTAATCTATGTGAAAATGGATTTGAGTTCGAAGTTTTTTTCCCGAATGTTTAAGCTACGACGGGTACGATTTGATTTGTTCGAATTGTTCGTTCACGACATCGATTGAAGTGGATATCGAATAGGACGTATTTCAATTGGCGACGAAATCGATTCGATGCCCAACAGTAGATGTAGAATGACGTCTAAATATCGAAATAGAACGCTCATAACAGAGTTATCTTTATATTTCATACTCACAGCAAAACTCATATACAGGACGGACATAGTGACTGACAATGCAAATTGAACTTGTGCTGAAATAACCGGATAACCAGTCAAATCTAGTGACGCTTGAAGGAGATATGTGATAATGTACGGTATGTTTGTAAATAGCATGACAACAGCTTGTAGGAGTACCATAATGGTCAATTGTTTCTCTAGTGCACGTCGAGCTACAGGTAGTGCACGACGTGCGATATTTTTTACATTATAAAGTGCCAAAACTCCGAAGATGCACGTTATACAAATAGGTAAGAATTTTCCCACTAGAAAACGATTCGCATAGTTGTTAAACTGAATAAAAATTCGGTCTGTGATCACACAGATCGCTTGTTGGTTTGTATTCGATACAATATAATTGTAATAAACTAAAATTGGAATGTTATAAAGAATCCAAATCAATATATTGACTGCCGTTAAACGATGTGCCACTCTAATATCAGCCCATCTCTGCCAGTGCAGCGATGCGCATGTAGCTAAATATTGGTCGATGACTGCTAAACACAAACAAGTCAATGATGTCATTGCACTGACTTGATAAAGATAGAAACGAAATTTACAATAGAATACAGATGTTTTTGACCAATCAATATCGAGTTTGGTGGGAATGACGCGATTGAATAAACTAGATAATAGTTGACAGATGTTGACCGTGGACATAATAGTTAAATAAAATGCACACGAATTCTGTCGGAATGTTCGCAGGCTAAGAAATACAATAATATTCAAAGATTCGCCCAGAATACCTGCGACTACTACACATATGCCGACATAGATAACTATTTGATTTCCGAGATAGTTTAAAAATAATATGTATGATGATGATGACATCAATGGCGAAGATTCGAGCCGTCGATATAAAATGAAATACTCTTTGGGACATCAATTCTTTCTCTTCGACAATTATATCACACGAACAGGATTTTTAGCATCAGTGAACATGGATACAGGCACGCACGTTTATTTTTATATTTATCAGGTACGAAGAAAAAATTTCTTGCCTTGAAGTTTTTTTGCGTGATTATATTATCCTACGTTAATCAAAGCACGCATCAGTTTATTTTTTATTCCATTAAATCTTTTTAATAATTGCAAGGCATGAAATTGAGATCAGTCGAATATTGTTAGACTTGTGGGCTTAGTGATAAAGTTCATTAACAACATATGATACTTGAAGACAGATTGGTACAGTAAAGCTTCACTAGACTCGTTATTTTTAATACTACCTTACAAATTAATAATATCTTGTACTTTCGTATGAATTAACTTATTGAAATTGCGATATGTATGGAAGCACGTTAACATATGTCATGCTTTTATATTGCTTGAAACGATATTGAGATCCCATACAAAAATAAGTAGGTGTCTTATTTGACAATATTTTTGAGTACTTGAAATGAGTACAAAATAAGCGAATATATGTATGTATACATATAGTTCGTTTCTTTAAAGGGTATAATACTGAAGCATGACAACTGCCATGTCATTTGATCAAAACACCAAGGAAATGTCGAATTCGACAATTAGTAAGATAGCAACTGTATTGCCCGTAAATACTGAGAATTTATTAATGTCGACACCAAAGCTACGTCGAAACAATACTTCGATTATCAAGGAGTTTAGTTTTAATACTTCTATGCACGGAATACCGGGTATTGCGCGAAGTGAAAGTCTACTGAATCGTGCCTTTTGGAGCGTTTCATTTCTGATCTTCACTGGTATTATGTTATACTTTGTTGTTCAATCGATTATTACCTATTTCAATTATCCTACACAAACATCGGTAAGTTTCAGTGACGAATGGCCACAAAATTTTCCGGCAGTGACCATCTGCAATAATTCTCCATTTATGTACGATTCATTCATTGGGCCATTTTTAAATTATACTAACTCATTGAATTTAACACATACAAATGATACCACGGTACTTTCCTCTCAACAAGCACGTTATATTCGTGATTTTCTAATCTATAAATTGAATCGAAATGAGTCTGTCACCGATTTCTTCTATCCACTCGAATCAATACTGATCAAATGCATCTTTAATGGTATTAGTTGTTCTGTAAATGATTTCATTCAATTCGTATCTCCTGTATACGGCTCCTGTTATACTTTTAATGCTAAAGTAGATCACATCAACAACGGCACAATACATCAGTGTGGTGACTACGGTGGAGTCGGTCTCTTAGAACTAGGCTTGTACACACACAACCATCAGTATGTTCCATTTGTAAATGACGGTAAAAAGAATGTAATCATTCAATATGGATATTCATATCATTTTTCTTCGTAGATGTAGGTATAGTAGCGCTGGTACATGATAATACAAAACTGCCTGCTATTGATATAATTGGTAGTAAATTAGCACCTGGACGGAAGTATAGACTGAATTATCGTAAGAGAACCAATACGCTCTTACCAACACCTTACACAACGTGTACTGATGAAACTACAGAAAGATTACAAATTATATTTGATCAATACGTTGGAGTGAAATATGACTATGTACAAGAATTATGCTTTCGAGTTACTCTACAAACTTACACGTATGTATATCACTGATCATCTGTTCAAGATTTCCATTTGGTATTTATCTAGGTACGAACAATGCGGATGCATCAGTCCACTTCAATGGGCTTTTCGTTATATTCTTGTTCCCGGTACTAATAGAATCGTTCAAGCTCCTTTATGTAATATATCCGATCCATGTTATACCGAAGCAGCAATTCGAACGCAAGGTCCTAATCCCCCTTCTCCTACTTTCGACCTTAACTGCGGTCTTGAGTGTACTACAAATGAGTTTGTAGTTCGACTATCTTCTTCTTTAGCACCAACATCATGGTACATGGATGAAGTAAAAAGTTTTGTTGAATCATCTTCCATTCGTTTGTCGAAAAATTGGTCAACAAACTGGGCTGCAGAAATTGGCCGGAACTATGTTGGTATAGAAGTCGTCACTGAATCAACTAAAGTTGAAGTCTACACACAACAAGCGTCTCTTAGTCGGGTAGATGTTCTTTCCAACATCGGTGGTCAAACTGGTCTTTGGATTGGTATTAGCTTTCTCTCACTGATGGAAATTGCTGAAATGGTCTTTCGATTGATTCGTTATCAATCCCATAGCATTTGTCGTAAACTTTTCAAATGAACACTGCTTTCCTTTTGTGTTGGATCCACATACTTTGTTAAAAGAAAAAGACATATAAATCTTGATGAATGATTCGTTACGCATTGAGTCGTTTGTTTTTGTTACTTAGTGTATCGCGCTGAAAAAAATATGTACGCTAATAACAGAATTGAAGATGAATGAAATAAAAAGCATCCAAATATTTGCTTTAGTCGTAGGTCCCATAAAACGATTAGACAAACAGAAAAGCAAACTTCTCGAAGCGCCGCTGGCTGAATCATACTTCATTTTCTCAATACATGACAAACTTTTTCAAGAAATAGTACTGCGAATAAATTGTCTTTAAAAAAAGTATTTGTCGTCCTAGCTATGATTCCATCTCTTTCTTTGATCTCTAGATAGTAACACATAGCACCAGAATATTTTACGTTCATAAATGGGAGAACCGTTTTATCCTAGACGCTTGTACTGGAAAGTAATAGTGTTCGTGTCAGCATTACAAAAGAGGGAACGACTGAGAAATGTCATTGTGTAGACTCTGATGAATTACCTGTGCGATGTTCAATACCATATTTTTTTCTTAATTCATATAGTAGCGTCCGATTAAACGGACAACTAATATTACGACCACTGTAGATATATCCTCCTTGTTTCCATTGTTGATCTTCATGTACGAAATCTTCAACCCATAAGTCTAAACATCTATATTCATGGTCTGGCGATCTTGTTGTAACTAATTCACAAAATTGTCGATCAAGTTCACACATTTCAATAAATAGTTGACCATCAGGTGCTAAATTTTCTCGAGGATTCACCGGTATTCTAAAGCCTTGCAAAATGAGTCTACCAGCCTGACGAATCAGTTCGACTATGTGTTCTTTTCTTATCCCTTTCTGCCGTTCATTAATTGGATAGTAGAGACCTTTGAGATACGGCGCACCACTTGTCATATGCTGTTCAAGGAATGAGGTATATGCTTTGGAAGTATCATGAACTCCCTGCGGTCTTATACCTCCAATATTAATTGAAACAGATCCATCAGATAAGAAGGTCTGATACATCTGACCTGTTCCTGGACCTGTTATGTGAATGTCCATTTGATGAAGAAGTTTCAATTGTGCCATAAAATTGCTATCCAATATTTCATATGTTGGCGAGCGAGAATCAATTCGAGTTGCGTTGACTGACAGTGCACTCATATTCTGTGCTTTGATAGACTGATAATAAATGTATGTCACATTGATTAATGGCCATTCTAAATCATCATTTAACTGCTTTTCTGCTTGGTTCATATGTGAATAAGTATAGTTATGAATTTCTTTAATTGCATCGTTGATCGCTTCACGATCGTTTGGAGTAAAACGTTTATTATCGATTACATAAGCTTGTAGAACACTATGCAACGTTCGATGTTCTGCCGAAGATTGATATCGTCGAATCAGAGGAACGAATCCATGTTGTTGATACATTCGATCGCGAAATAATCTCGATGCATCTAATTCAACACCGCCAGCTAATTGTAGATTTGGTTGATTACAGCGTTGACACATAGTTCCACTACCCATAATCATTTCTTCAAAAACATACCATCGATTTGTTGACAGTTTATTAAGAACGTTCTGTTTAACGATGCCAAGTCCAGCGAAACGACTGTAGACATCCTCACTCCAACAGTCGCTACAATCATCAATACCTGCTAAGATGCGAAATGGATGGAGGTGTCGAGGCGAAAATCGTATCATTGCAACATATGCCGGATACAATCCATCGAAAAGTGCATGACCAATATTAAAGTGCCATGGCTGCGAAAAATAAAGTGTAACATAAGGAAACCATTTAGGAAAGATCACATGACGGACAAATAATTCAAGATCAGCATATGTGTCGAATTCGCGTTTATTTGGTGTTAATGACCGAAAATCGAAAGCATTTGTTCGTACGGAATATGTTGGTAAAGATCTTCCTTTAACGATTAGCATTATAAATGTACTATCGACGTAGTAGAGATTCTGAAAGAGACATGATTGGTTGTAAAGCGATCCAACACATTGAACTGTGGATTCTAATGTTTGATTGACATGAATCGATAGCAGATCTTTGAGATTTGTCTGTTCTTTTATTAAGGGTTCTTTCGATTGAAAACGATTTTGTTTGGTTACGATATTCAGACCTCTCTGAATAAGACTACTGCTTTTGAATAGATTAGTTTGCATGGTAGCAACAAGAATAAGTATGAAGCAAATGAACATAAATGGCCGAAGCGAGACATTCGTTGAGAATGTTTGTGATATTTTCTTAAATGACTATAATAAGATATGTGTATAGCAAATTATTCAATATAATTTTCGAAATCTTTTTTACCATATAGATTTACCGTGTTGTTTTTGCTTTCACCTTTGATATACAAGAAGTTGTTCAAACGAAGTTCTGTATACGAAATACGAAGTCTATAACATGAGACAATTCGGTTTTACTGCAAAATTACATCGACTTATCATTGTTGAGATTTAACAGGTCGCACGCCTTAGCATAGAAGAGAACGAAATGTTATGAATCATGCTTGCTGTCGATGGTCTAGAATTAAGAAAATGCATAGATTCCTGCTGCGAAGTAGAAGTAATCTGAATAATCATCTGTCACATTCACATATTTTCATTACCCATATTGTAGGTTGTCAGAATGATTGTAAAACGAAAAACTATGCATAGAAGATTATAGTATGAGATTGTGCAGATTTGTCAATCTATCTTCAAATTGAACAAGTAGCCTAGCAAGGAGCAGATACTTCTGGAGATATTTGCACTACCATATATGACGAGATTCGGCTATCGAAGTTTTATTATTTAGATTTCGAGAAAATGTCGCCAACTTAAATATCGACGCTCCCGTGAAACAGAGTTGTCCATAGGTAACCGATCATACTCAAATAAAATCTAAGGACTTCTACGGCTAATGCATTCACCAAGGTCCTGCTTCCCCGGAAAGTGTGTTACTCATACAAAAAGATGCATTTTTCAAATTGATTTCCTCACATTGTCGGATGATATAGTACGCGAGATTGCGTTTGCGAATGTTTCATTAGTCACTGGTATCATAAAAGAAATAAAAACGGACATAATCACAATGTCAGTCCCCGTTTTGGACTTTCATACTTTATAGCAACACAATATGTTAAATATGGTTTTCATAAAAACCATTCCGTCATAAGAATTTTTTCGACTGTGACTGTCATATCGTACGCCTATAGATTGTTTACAGACTTCATGATTCGTAAATAACTCCAAGTATGCCCTTTGTGTAACAAACTCAGTTCAAACGTGGTTTTTTTGTTGATTTTGTCATTATTCAATTCGTAGCTCACGTCTATTCCGAAGATAGGTGTTTCGTTCACAAGTCACTTTCTAGGTCGATGACGTCTGTAACGACGATTGCAAATAAAACTAGAGACATGTTTTGCAAAAATTATTGGAAAATTTCTCAAGACAAGTCAGTGTACATGGCGACGCAACGATCATTTAACTCAAAAGAAATTTAAATACCTCCTTTACATCTCAAACAAATGAGCGGTTTTTCTATTAATGATAGAGGCATGCTCAAGTTTTATATCGATAAAGACATACCTAGAGAAACACGTTGATATGTATTACTAAGAACCTCACCAAAGAAAAAGCTTACTCTCTGTCAAATAAAAGAAGAAAATAGTGCTGCATGAGCAAATGCAATTCAATAAGTGCATATGTACTAAATTATATGAACATGTTCTTTTATTCATATACATTTCAAATACAAAAAAAAGTAAGAGTAAATTTTTTTTTCTTGATAGATCTTTTTTAACTAATAAATAAATGATGTGATCAAGTTTAAGTGACTATCCACGGAAAATTTAAAAGCAAACACCATTGATAGATACGGTGATACCATTGAACATCACGGTCTCGATGTATGGCAGTAATCTTAAAAGAAACCGCAACGTGATATACCGTTGAAAATTGCGAGTACGAAAATTGGAGTGAGATGTAAATTAATGGTAATATTCGCGAAATGTCGTCTGTCATCATTTATATTTTGCAAACTTCTTATTGTAACATGCTAGTTTTAGATTTTCTCAAAAGCTTCTGTTGTTCTTACTCTCAAGCTTGATATTACCTTTCACAAGTGGTATTTTATTTTTATGCTGATGATGATGATAATACGACTTTATTTGCCTGATACATAAAGTCGCGATTCTACACGAGAACACTAAAAAGATAAGGATTTATGAATTTGCAACGTATAATAAGCCCTTTCTTCCGTTTATCATTGTCATAAAAGGTTTTCTTTGCTGATGACATTTTGAATCTTTTAAGTGAAAGCTCGATTAGAGTTAAATTTATTTCTTTTTTTCATATGAATTAAAAAAGATTATAGAAGACCATTTAAAATAGAAAAAAGAAATGTTTTTATATCAAATTCCAGCAAACTCCATGCATGTACTAGTATTACTGTTTACTTTATGTGCCAACGTGAAATAAATTTAAATTGAAAAGTATTCCACCAATTGAATGATGAGGAAAACGCCTTTTAAGTTATACCAATGTGAAATCTAAATAAACAGTACTTTAACCTAAGACTCTATGTGGAAAAAGCTAATATCATGTAGAATATGTATTGTTTTATTACATGGCTCTTGCTATACGATGACTATTTATAATATTCATAGATAGTAGAAATTCATATGTAATATTAATACGGATCTAATTTTTTCGATTTATAAAGTTTCAATATCTTTTAATCATAGGTATATGTGTTTCAACGTATTGATTTACATATACGTACACTCTAAATTCGAATAGAAATACATAGTTAGACTTTTTATAAGTACTCAATATTGTGGTTTATTAACTAAATATCTCTTATATATAATTTACTTTCTGAGAAAATAGATCATTCATCTGGAGAGCAATCATCATTCATGTTAATTTAAATAAAGGCAGCTTTTTATTTACATACAATTCATAACTAACATGAGTAACTCAGAAAGCTTGATGAATCAGTAGAATAGATAAAAATACCAATAATAATTCAAAGATTTTTTCATCATCGACTGGATAGACTGTCATATTTTATTTTATGGTATAAACATCACTCGATAGTTCAATGAAATAAATGGATGAGAATCACAAGGTAAGGCGTTAGAGTTTATGAAGAGGAATTAAAATAAAATTAGATAGTGGTGTTTAGTGAGTTGACCGAGATGTTAGATTGAGAACACAGAATGAATGTCAAAGATGATATGTCATCTTGGTGACATAGTTTTTTAGGCCGTTAATAACTGCGGGTTCAGGTGGTATGAAAAAATCTAATAAAATGCTCGACCATCGCGGTTCGATTTAACCGCTAAAATGAATGTTGTTCAGCACGTTATCGAAAAATTTTTTCGTAGGTATATCGTGCTTGATCAAATAGGTAATAATATGATAATATCCACGAGACACGTGGGTTGTACTTGATAGTAGAAAGAAAGACGTAATACAATGATGCTGCTCTTTGCTTTTTTGACGTACTTACCTACTAATGTGGGTGGAACGAATTAGAAAATCAACGATGAATAAAATACATATTCGTTATTAGATAAGTAGTAATACGAAAACGATCGATAGTTATATTGTTCTTTCAGATTTTGGGTAAACTAATGCAACTTCTTTGTCCTATTCTTCGAGTATCGAATATCAGCCTCCAGCCAACGAATTCTCATTTGGTTGACATTGAATCAGCTCGAACACAACTCTATCCTGGTGCTCATATAGCCGCTGCGAATCCATACGAACACTTTCATCATGGTATTGTCGTTGATCTAACATCAGCAGACATCTCAGTAATTCACTTTTGGGGTGTGAAAAAACGTGAAGCACGTATTCAAGTAACTACACTTCCAATATTCATCGCCGGTAATATTAAACGTGTAGGAATACGAACTCGCCAGTTGTACATCGTTCAATATCACAATGATACACTCGAAAAACAACAAGAAACTAATCAACGAGCAAAGAGTATGCTCGATAAACCAGATGAATATGAATATAATATATTTCGGTTAAACTGCGAAAGTTTCGCTTACTTCTGTCGTACGGAAAGATGGGAAAGTGAACAAGTCACAATAATGCGAAATCAGCTATTGAACACAATACGGAACATCCGAAACAAGATGAAAAGGCGAAAAAAACAATGCAAAACCAGTTGTCTATCAACTAATAAGACTATACCCATAGGTGTTCCCCTTTCTATTGAAATTTAATCATATGAAAGCAAAGGAACTTAATTAATAAGAAAATGAACTTTATAGTTTTTCAGAATTAATTTAGTTTATCTGCCTTTTGAAGATAAAATCTCACGAAGTACTAATCTGATCTGATATGCTCAAAGCGTTATAAACTTTTTTCCCTTGTATCTACGAATGCGCTTACATATTTTCTTTTTCTTTTCCTTGAAAGAATTTAATATCGTACAGAAATGCACCAGAGTAGACAGTAATGGCGTCACTTTCAACAGCTGTGTACATTATTTCCAGCATTAGACAATATTTTTTATATGGATCGTATGTTGTACTTGCTGGTGGGCTGCTTGGCAATATTCTCAATCTGATCGTATTTTCACAATTGAAGCGTTTTCGAGAGAATCGATGGTCGTTCTATTTCATTGTCGAGTCAATTGTGGGATTAATTTTCATCGCATCGAGCATATCTAATACAACTGCACGTTTAATCATCGGAACTGATTTTGATCAAGTGTCGCTCGTCTGGTGTCGATTGAGACTAATCTTGAATCAAGGAATTGGTTTGACATTATTTTTCATAATACCTTGTGCTGCTGTCGATCAGTTTTTCTCGACAAGTTATCTATTTAATTTAAGAAATTTGTGCACGTTGAAATTAATTCGATCGTTAGTATTCATCACCAGTTGTCTCTGGTACGTTCATAGTATTACTTTTAGTTGTTTTCTCAATATTCGAGCACCTGCTGGCTGTATTATCACAGACGCAAATTTATCGCGTTATTCTGTTTATTTCTTCTATCCGATTTTATACGGTTCTATTCAGATTATCATCGCTTTTCTCTTTAGTTTATTAGCGTTTCGTAATGTTCGTCGTCTTGTCCGTCGGCAAATTCCAATTGATCGCCGTCGAATGGATCAACAAATGACAGCAATGATCTTAACGCGTGTCGCGTTTTTCATTCTATATGCACTACCATATTCGATCTATCGTGTCTATTCTATTGGTGAAGTGCCTGATCAGTCGAACGCTTTAAAGTACGCTATTACACAATTAACTATGCAGATCTGCATACTTTTGTTTACAATGAACTTTTCCGTATGTATGATTTCTTTGATTTTATAGATAAATAATGTGTTTTTTAGGCGAGCTTCTACATTTTTATTATAACGTGTGCACGATATCGAAATCAGGTGAAGTATGTTCTAGTGAAAAGATGTTGGGCAAGATTAAAACGTTGGATTTGCCGTCGAAATAATGGAATTACCCCGTTGAACACACTGACGACAACCTCGAATGATGAACTTGATTAACTCGTTTTTTTCCTCAAAAAACTGTCTGTAAGGGTTTATTATTTTTTCTTTGAAATACAGTCAAAAGAATTACTAATAAAAATGCAGCTGTCCGCTAGAGATGATGTGTTATTAATGAAAGTAAAGTGCATTGTAGTTTGGATTTTCCTTCAAGAAATATGTCATTTCTTAGAGATGATGATTTGTCAAAGATGAGCTTTGTTGTCTGGAGAATATGTGAAACAAAATGAACTTTATTAAAAGAACTTTAATTGAGTTCAGTTCTGACATAAATCTTAATAAAGCATGAAATGTCTCTAAAAATGCGATGATAACTCCGAATGATAGTCTATGAAATAGTTTTAACCTTCTTTGTTTCGGGATCTACTTGAAGTTGAACCATTTTGGGATTTTCGCTGCGAATAAGACCCATGTGATGATAAACACGCGGCTCCATACCTAGCAAATTTGCACTTAAAAGAACTTATTTAAAATAAACAAGTTTTAACATACCATCGGCTTTTAATGTTTCTACTGCTTCATCAACATGCTTTCCAACTAAATGTGCATAGTTTTCACGATGCGATGACATGAGTTTTTCTTTGTAATCTCTTGCTTGATAAATATATAATACTTTCGTCAATTAAGATACAGACGAAACGAATAAATAACGCCGGCTCAGCAGAAACTACCGGAGCATTACTTTGTTTTTTTTTCATAAAACATAATACAAAAATAAGGAAAAAACGAAGTCAGTTATGCATTCATTCGCAATTACGACTCTTGTTTTTCTCGATCGTACAGCACATGTGTACATGATCAAGCTTCATTCTTAAGCTATACTTTTACATATACAGTGGCCCATAAAAAAAATTTCACTATTCAATACTCATTTTTTAATCATCTGTAAATAATCTTTGCAACAGTACGTGATTGTGATGCAAAATTTTATTCGAGAGATAGATAGGCAGATCAAAAAGTGGAAAATATCATCATGCAGTCAAGTTAAACTTTTCATTTATGCATTAAATGAAATGCCAAGCAACATCAGTGTGACCTGCACCTATTTCACCTGCAACGGCCATGAAACCATCGTATGTTAGAGCAATTTCACCTGAAAAAGAAACCATTCTTCAAGGTCTGGATATTATTGTATTAATCTTATTCACCTTCTTTACAACCGAAACAACGGTCCACGAATCGAACGATGATCTCGCCTTTAGGTCCTGTGACAAGAGCTTTCTTTTCACAAACTGGATTGGTGCTTGGAATACCATCTCTAGTGTATGGATCGAACTGAGCTTCATTAAGAGCGGCAGTGTAGATTTTCTGATTGTCTTCGTCTAACGACAGAGCACGACTTATGCCACATGTGCTGTATTCATAACTAGCTTTAGTTTCGTTGTAGTATCGCGCTTGACTTTGAAATTCGCCATCGAGTGAAGCTGGTTGTTTTCGAGACAGAAATCTAGCGAGAGAACAATGAGCAGCGGAAGAACCACAACTTGAATAAAGAAAAAGTTAGTTGAACAAAGCAATTCTTTACATCAACACGTACTAGCCAAATTTTGAACAGCAAAGACCGCCACCGCAACCAGTCGCACCACAGCTACCATAACTGGCGCCTGCACCTCCGCCCGCACCAGCAGCTGCTCCTCCACAATGAGCAGCAGTATTTCCACAACTAAGGAATACAAATAGTACATGAATGAAATTGTAAAGTGAATTTGTTTCGGTTGTATTGCTCACAATCCAAATGAAGAACAACATGATCCTGCTGGGCAGCCTGCTCCACCGCAGCTACCTTGGGCAGCACCGGCGCCATTATAACCGCCTCCAGCCCCAGCCCCAGCAACTGCGCTACCACAGTGTTCTGCAGTAGTGCCACAACTGAACAGATTCAGAAGTCGATGAATTCAGAACGAAAGAAAGATTTCACATACTAGCCGTATTGTGAACAGCACTGTCCAGCTGGACACCCGTAAGTACGGCAATTACCACCAGCAGCTGCTCCAGTTCCAGCTCCGGCTCCAGCACCAGCACCTGCTGCTGCACCGCAATACTGAGAACCACTGCCACAATAACCGTATGCTGAACAACAGAGGCCACCAGCACAACCACTTACCAAACAGTTACCAGCTGGTCAGAAAAGAAAAGATTTCGTCAGTTCTATCACTTCAATTGAAGTCTATTACCGGCGCTGTATACCATAGATAGTAGGAGGACACCTACACCAGCCACAGTAGCTAACATCGTTGTCTATATACGTATATGGTAACGATGAGAGAAAAGTTTCGAATGTAAAATAAATTTCCAGCTATATTTATACTATCCCTCGTCGACGAGCCTTTGTTTTTTTAAATTAACAAACTCGTCTCGTTAAGATATGCTAAGCCACGAATAAATATTCATAAAGACAATGAGTACATCTGAAGAAAATATTCGTTATTGGTAAAATGTCAAGATTTACACAAAAACAGATTAGAAGTAGATTAATAGGATGCCTGATCTATGAATAATAATGTGCGAAGGAAAATCGAGCATAGGCCTTTGCTTTATAATCTTCTACCCTCCATCAACGCATGATATTGCGAGCATTAAATATGCGATTACTAATATATGTTTCTATTTGACCAATAATCGAATAGATCAAAAACGAAAGATAGGAGAGGTACATCTATTTCTTTAATTTTAATTATGATATGACCTGACCTTTTGTTGAGCCTAGATCAAATGAGGACCGCAATTCAGTCGAATGTATTTTATTAATTTTTTGTTAGATAATACGTAGCAGAATTCACATTGATACTTATTTTAATAGAACAATTGCAAGGCGGAAGAACATCACTGTTCTTTTAAGTCATACTCTTATCATTATCAATGTTGAATACGATTCGCTGATATTGATTTATTTTCACAAGAATATACAATATAAATTGATATCTCTTAAGACAGAAAACTGATCTTGTCATACAACTTTAGAATGGATCTCAATGTTTCACTTCAGTTGTCCTTTTAATATAATTTGCTGGTCATATTCATTCTGACTGCTCGCACTAATTTCTGAGAATTGTTCGTAATAAATAATTGCTTTTGCCAATCATTCATACTCATGGATGATGCATGCCTATTAATAATAGACTTTCACAATTAAGTGAGTTAGTTGTGACGATTTTTGCCGGAAGAGATGTGTGTGCTGATGAAATATTATTAATGCCTTACATCAACCAACGTTTATTTCTGTTTGATAGTACTCAAATGACTTGGTGGATTTTTGCAAAAATAACAAGAACATTTGTAAGACGCAAAAATTAAAAAGAATCCTTTCTACAGGTTCTACTTTAAATCAATAGATTTTTTAATCGTATCCCCCGTCATGAATTTCATGTTTTCTCTCAAACGGTCTTGAGCGTTAATCGATTACCATATGCAAAATTTTTTGTGGGATAAAACAAAGATAATCATATCTCACGTGTAATGGCTAATTTTTTCTTTGTATTCAAAACGAGTGATTCTGACTGTGATATAATGATGCTGTCAGAATTAGGATGTATGTGAAAGTAATGAGCTGGTGAGAATAAATTTTGGAATGAAGGTACAACAGATGTGGAACATTGGTTTAGGCGATGGTGAAAACGGGATATCGATAATAGAAAGCCTGAAATTCAGAATTAATCCTATAGTAGAAGAAGTAAAGTTGATAAGTTTTTGCGGCGCAATTTACTTTAGTAGTTGTAATGGTTTTTTATCTGTTGACTTCATCTATATACATCTATATCAGCATCATAACCGTCAGAGAGCGCTGCCTTCTTCTCCCCTTTCTCTATTAAATTCGGCTACTACGATACAAATGTTGAAGATAACAGAAAAGATACAATTGTGTGGAATGTGCAGACCACGCAAGGCGCCGTCATGCCGAAAAGCACGAACAGCATATATCCCATTTCATCACAATGTCTTTATAGATGCCTCTTATCTTCTAAAATTTTCCAACTTGTGAAGCATTCGATAGAGATATTCTTATTTATCTCCTAGATATCCTGCTAAATAATTCATATAAATAAACATTCAAGGACTGAATACATGACACTGACTTAATATTACTCTAATATGTGCATCTTTTACGATTTGAAAGAGACGCAAACATATTATGCCATTATTAGGTATGCATGGCTATACATCTAAACTGCATACGAAATAGTTGTCAACGGTTTTGCTGTTTGTAGTCACATTTTTATAATCTCTCGGTGATATGGCAGCTATGGTGATAGGTCATTAAAGCAGAAACAGACGAAAAAAAAACAATGAGAATAAACACAATTTAAAAGCAGCTTAGGAAGAAAAGAAAAGAAAAGAAAGGTAAAAAAGTGCTGTATGTCAACTATTTGCTTGAATTTTTCTTCTTCCTTTTTTGAAAGACTTAATTCGCAAGAAAAGGAATTTTCGTTGAAAATAACGCGGTGTTCGTGAGACAACTTCTATTATTTTCTGAAACAATCAACGCGCCATATGATGACCGATGTTCAACGTTTTTTTGCTACTGGTGATGAACCTATGGGAAGCCGACCACCTATTCTTGATCTGAAAGATGTTCCTGCACTGCCATTAGAGAAAGCGGTCCACACCCTAAAAGAGCAAATCAAAATCATTCGCAGCATGGCCACCGAAGCGAAGAATAGAACAATGAATCTAGCCGATGGTCTTAGTCATGATGAATCTGCTTCCATCTACCTATATACCATGGAGCATAAACAGCCACAGAACAATGTTTTTATGAGACTTAATAAAGCTCTTTACAACAATAGCCAGGCGTCATTGAACGCATGGTGTACGTATTTGAAACTCTTTATGGCTGCGCTAGACAAACTACCACCCGTCCGCTGCACAGTTTACCGCGCTGGTAAAGGCGATTTAACAGGAAAATACAAAGTGGATTCATTTTGGTGGTGGTGGGGTTTTAATTCTTGCGTTAAGTCCAAAAAGAGTATAGATAGAATTATTGGCTCAAATGGTATTCGAACTGTATTTCGAATTGAGTGCTTCAATGGGAAAGACATATCCAAGCATTCGACTTCGAAGAATAATACTGAGATCTTACTGATGCCTGGTACCCGTTTACGTGTGACTGAAATTACAAAGCTTACAAAAGGAGTAGTCGTAATTCGCTTGAGCGAAGAAACGAACCAAGATGGTGAGAATGCGCCTATTGACACTGCAACATCATCAATACCCGAGACGACGTCTTCGAAAAAAGTTAATATCACAACTTCAAACCAAGCGAATGGTAAGATTTCGTTCCTTCAACAAGGGTGTATAAAACCAATTCTCGTTCTTATCATCTTTTCGATTGTTTTAGATCTGTATGCATCTTCAAACGGTGATCAAGCATGTCAGTTTCGAACAGGTGAGTAACTATAAACGATACGAAATAAGTATGCAACCGCCTCGATCAAATGCTCGCTTTTTAGAACCACGATGCTTTGACTATCAGTATCATGAGAACGGAAATCGATCCATAGTAAAGCCAGATGAACTTGAAATTTACTTACAGCATCCTCCGTCCACTACACAAGCAGATACTATTGATCGCATTTCTGGATCGCTCATTGGAATGGCTTTGGGTGATGCTCTCGGTGCTCATGTCGAATTTCGACCGAGAGACTTCCTCTTGGAGCATCCTGTAACAAACCTTGAGAGCGGTGGAACTTGGGGTCTGGAAAAGGGACAGGTAATTTACTGATAGAAGGGCAGAAAAAATAATCTGAGGTTTTTACTTCACTCTTCATCATCAACATGTATTTTAGTTCACGGATGACACGTCCATGGCTTTGTGTTTAGCTATTTCACTTGTGGCTCGTCATGATTTTGTCATGTACGATCAATTAGTACGCTACAAATGGTGGTTTCAGCATGGTTATATGTCATCAACCGGATCTTGCTTTGATATTGGCACGGCCACTAAACAAGCTATATTGGAGTTTGAACAACGTCAGAAAGAATTTGCAAAGTCTCACAACATACCTCTTAATCGAATAGACTATCTTTCTGATCCTTATCTACTCTCGGCATTCGACGCCAGATGCAGTCAAGATGGTGTAGCTGGTAATGGCGCTTTGATGCGATTGGCTCCCGTACCCTTGTTTTTCTATAAATATCCCGAATGTGCTGTCGAGTTGTCTGGTTTAAGTGGTCTAATTACTCATGGTGATCGGAAAGCTTACGATGCTTGTCGCTATTATGGCGCTCTTATTGTTGCAGCTGTTCGAGGCGAAACTAAGAACGCATTGACCGATAATAATTTCTATTATAATCACGAACAATGGTTTAATGGTGTTAAACTTTGTCCAGAAATTATGGAAATTGCTAGAGGTTCATACAAACGAGAAGGGGGATACGATGAGGGCATTCGAGGCAAAGGGTACATTGTCAGTGCACTTGAAGCTGCTCTGTGGGCTTTTTATTATGATAGCAATTCGTTCAAAGTCGGTGCGTTATCTGCAGTTAACCTTGGTGACGACACTGATACGACAGCTGCTATTTATGGTCAATTGGCAGGTGCATTCTATGGTTATCATAGTCTACCTCGTGAGTGGGTACAGCAAGTTTATGCTAGAAAATTTATCCTTTGTCTGAGCGATTGGATTATTTACGAAGGCAATCAATGGGGTCCGAAAAGATCGATGGTCAATCAACTTCTTCCATTGTCACGGCATGAGAACGATGTTGATATTCATTCATTGCCTCCAAAGAAACCAACAAATACTGCTAAACCAAAGGAAATGTTCAATCCTAATCCGCCAGCTGGAAGACTATCTCGCAAAACTTCCTTTGTTGCGAAGGAAGAATCCATGCTGTCTACAAAAAAGTCACCGTCTCAGGCCCCTCAAGGTGCAAAATCATTCTCAAAGACAAGAACGAGCCCACCAAGAGCACAGACTCGTAGGAATAGCGTTCTCGATGGACGCAAACCTAGTTCATTATCTAGACAAAGAGTGAATTCTCAAAACTCCAGAGAAAAGCCTGTTTCTAAAACAGCTCCACCCGTCCATCAACCTCAAAGACTTCGAGCGTTCAGTCAAAAAAAATGACAACATATCAGCAAAATCTTGTATCTAATCAATGGCATTTTTTTCGAAAACAATACATGAAAATCGTCTTCTATTTGATGTACAATGATGCTTCAAAGTTTGAAACGCTGCAACAGAGAGCATAAGTAATCTATGTAATAATTAGTTGATCAAAGACCAGAGAAATTCTAACCGATATTGCAGCACATTGTAACAATGGTTATGTAGTAGACGAAATCATTGCATAAAAATCTGATCAATCATTATCATATACCTTTCCCTGCCCATATGTCTATCATTCAAATAGCAAACAAGAAGAATCATTATGAACTAAGTATCAGAGTGTCTATACATTATTTGTTCACTCTAAAATATAAATCTTGTCCATATAGGTTTGAAATAAAATATGCAAGGCTCATATGTACACTTCACCATTGAAGAATATAATCCATGAGTAGCAGTATCAAATGAAGAACACGATACTTTCAATGATTTAGGTCATACGGCACTCACAGACATTTAAGGGATAAATTTAAGTTTAAAAGTCGATTTACGTATTATATCACAATGAACAGCACATTAACTTTAGTTCTTTGCATAAGCAAACGATTCAGCTTGTAAACAGATAGATATATTTGAAAATAGAATTATTAACAAACGACTTTTTAGCTTCTATTAAAAATTATATACGGATGATGATCGTTCAAGTGTCATAGCTAAAAAGGAATATGCAAATGTATAGATTTATTCATATATTTTTTTGCGTATTTTATTTTTCATTGAAAATCAATAACCTGGTGGGGAAGTTGATCTTGATATTTTTCTGTGCACTTTAAATTCCCATGATCAAATTGTTTCTTCGCGACAAAATAAGAGCCTGTCAAAACAGGAACTGCACAATTCTATAATGCATCACGATAATTAGTACCGAAAATTCAAACGAATTTCGCTACTAACGGCGCAAACTTCGTAGAGGAGTGTGTCTCGGGCAATTTACAGGCAGTGAATCGTAACGGGTACGTAATCATAGTTGAAAAGAATCAATAAAGAAAAAAATGCACATAAATTTGCATTGAGTTAGGCTTTTGTTTAATGGTGTATAAAAGGTAAATTTGATTTGGTTCTGAAAATAATTTCAACTGCTTCATTCGTCGTCATTCCTACAAAAGTATTGTAAGTATTCGTGTCCTTCAATTGGTTTAAAACTGTTTATTCAACTTTGACATATAGTTCAATCATGAAATCAAATTATCTTCTATGTCTACTTGTTCTTGGTTTATTAGTCTGTTTTGCTGTAAGTCTTCCAGCTGCATCAAATGTGGAAGCGGCTGACTTTAGGAAAATAAGCTTGGATTGTACTTTACGATGTGGTTGGTGGAATGCTTGTATGTTTAACGGTGGAAGTTGTCCTGAGCCAAGCGATTGCCAATGTCGACAATTCGGTTAAACACAAATTTCTGTCGACAAAAAAGCCTAAAACACCTTTTCTCATATTATCGAGATCATTCCATTTTACTTTTCACGAAATAAAAAAAACGAGAATGTGAATGCGTCCAATTAAGTATAAACTAATCTGTCAAAATCATCAAGATTTTTTATTTATCGGAGAATAAAAAGAAAAAAACACGAAATATATACATTAAATACTGAGAACGATCGATTCTATTCTACAACGGTAACTTCCTGGTTTGTTTGTTTATTTACATCTTCCAAATAATCCGAATGATAAAGAAATGGCTGAATTATGGTTATCGCTTTCGTTGCTTCTTTTCGCTGCTCTAATGTTTGTAACTGATCGTAAATTTGATACCATTTTTGAACATTTAACGTTAACGATTGTCGATATAAGAGAACTTTCATATGGAGATCTTGTAAAATATCTGTGAATGTATCTTGAATCTTTAGTTGTCGATAAACATCAACTAATTTATCTAAGTATTGAAAATTCGTTCCATTTATTCCATAGGCTTGTCCAATTCTTAGCGATTGCTCTTCCAATGTCAAGTGTTCTTTTAAATAAAATAAACTTTGACTATTTACAACACATGTCAATGCATATTCAGTTGTATTGCGATCGGGAAGAGTTATTTTAACGAAATCGTATGTATAAATATTCATAACTGTCTGGTTGTAATGTACTGGAGTCTCACGTTTAACAAATGATTTGATAAATGGAATAATTTCTTCATTGAATGCAACAAATAATGCGCCATGAACAAAACTACTTGACTGCTTTATCAAACCCATCGTTAATCCTTTGAAATCCAGTGTACCACGATAGACGAAATCTTCGCAATAGAAACCTTTCTGGTAGTCTGGAAGTACACAGTTTGATATCATTTCGTTAATATGTTCAATTGGTTTCCATAATAATGATCCATAAGCAAATATGGAGATTCGCTTATTCTTCTTAATCGACGAAATGATTTCATTCCTCTTCGATGGATTATTATGTAAACCGTTTAATAATTTTAAACTGTCGTCTAATTGTGAATAATCCATTTTGTTTTCTTTTTTTCGGAAGAAAAAAATGAAAAAAGGCAAGTCTTTTATAACAACAGCCAGGACAATCTAAAGTATTCTACATCCATACATCGTCAGCGTGATAGGCCGAGGTCGATTTTTCCTGTTCTGACATTTTTTTCTTCGCGATTCTGGTACACACAACGTGAGAGAAACATCACGCGCGTGTTGCTGTTTTGTCTATTTTTTCTCTCCTCGCACCAGAGAACGAAGAAATGCGTTGGATGTCATTGTCCAAGGAGAAACACATGATCTTGTTTCTTATCGATAAACAACCTTTTTTTTCTCTCTCTTCTCGATCATCAGATTATAGCACTGTCAGCCTTTTTCGCGTATCATTTCAAGGTCGATTTCAAAGCACCTGATCGTACACGAACACACCAATCGACTGACTACCGAAAACATTCAAGGACGAGTTTTGATGTTTTTCACAAAAACAACGCAGTAACACACACTTTCTTTTGGTTACCAGAAGAAAAGCAAAACAACAGATGTGTTTGCTCTCTTCATCCCGGGGGAGGCACGCACGCACCCCTTGTCTCGGTACAGATATCTGTCGAGTTACATATCAACGCCATTTCATAATACGCGTAAAGTCAGTATTCGAGTAATTTGTGGCATCTATTAACTGAATGTACATACTTCGTCGAGATATTTACATGTGAACTTGAATTTTTGTCACAAAAGGACAAAGTGTAAAACGGTTTAGTGCCCTGTAAGTTTGATTCTTTCATAATTTATTTTGTCATGATAAAGATAAGAAGAAGAAAAAAAACTTGCCGAGTGAATATGATTAGTGTACTGGCAGACATGAAAAAAATGCATATCTACTCGCTCGATGATGTTTTATCTCACAAGTTTGAAGGGACAGACAAACGAATGCGACTTCAAATATTGAAAGAAGTCGGAAAAAAACAAGTGTGCTGTGAAGTGAAGTGTGACTAGGAGATAAGAACGAAAGCATAAAACATGTGCAATCACTTCCTGTCGTAATATTCAATCATTTCAGTTTTTTAATAAATGAGTTGGCTGAGACGAACAATCGCTTATCTCAGTGATGGTAGGAAGAACAAAGTAACAACTAATTCTGTTAGAGATTTTCGTATCGTATGGCTTGACAAGTTCATTGATGTTGCTAATGATTCTCGTTGCGCGAATACTGTTGCACAGCTGCAAGAAATCGTTGAAGATGTTCGGACATTTACAGATGTTAACGAATGTATCGAGTTTATTGATGGTCTGAAGGAAGAATATATATTAATGGTCGTATCTGGTTCACTTGGCGAAATGATCCTGCCGTCGATTCACGATCTTGATCAGATCAAATTCTTCTGTGTGTTTTGTCAAGATCAACAGCGTCATCGACAGTGGGCATCGAAATGGAGTAAAATCGGAGGTGTTGTTACAGATATTGATTCACTTTGTAGAACGATTCAAAAAATGATTGAACATTCCGATCAAGATTCAACGCCCATCAGCATCGTCAATACGACGGATGATAAAATCGAGAAAGATCTCGATCAGCTCGATCGCTCCTTCATGTATTCACAAATTCTCAAAGAAATTATCCTGGATATCGATTTTGGGCCCAGACGTGTTCAGAATTTTCTCACTTATTGTCGAGAGAATCTCTTCCATGGCGACATCAAACTGCTTGAAGATGCCAAGAAAATCGAAGAAACCTATCGCAAGCATGACCCAATTTGGTGGTATACTTCTCCATCATTTCTATATGCTTATCTGAACAAAGCATTACGAGACATGGACCTAGACGTGATTATCCGCATAGGCTTTTTTATACAAGATCTTACAGATTATCTTGCCATTTTGTACTTTACACAACACTTTAGTCGCCACGATGGAAAGACATTTTATCGTGGTCAAAAATTATCGGAAGAAAGATTTCAACAAATAAAGAAATCAACAGGTGGGCTGTTGTCATTTAATAATTTTCTATCTACAAGTACAGAAGAGAAGGTGGCCATGAGATTTGCAGGATCGAAGATGAAGGAGCCTGGCTTGGTTTCTGTCTTATTTGTTATTCGAATCGGCACGTCGCCGTGTTCGGTATTCTATGGCAATGTTCGCGAAGTTAGTTATTATCCCAACGAGGAAGAAGTTCTCTTTGGGATGCATTCGGTTTTTCGAATTGGAGAGATCGAAGTTGTCAATGCATCTGATGATTCATTCTGGAAAATCCATTTAACGTTTACCAATGATAAAGATGAACAACTGCGTCGCCTAACAGACTGTATTCGACGAGAGACCTTCACGACCGAGAGCGGCTGGTATCGATTAGGTAATCTGTTAAATACGCTTGGTGAATATTCAAAAGCCGAGCTGGTTTGTGACACAATGTTCGCTCTATCTACAAGACAAGCGGATCTCGCAAGCGTTTATCATCTATTGGGAATGATTAAATACGGACAAGGAAAGTACAAAGAATCGATTAAAGCTTATAATACCTCTATTGAAATTAAGAAGAAGGTTTTCTCACCTACGAGTCCATCCTTAGCTGCTACTCATAGCAATATTGGCGAAGTGTATAACGCACTAGGTCGATATAGTGAAGCATTCTCATCTCATAGTGATGCGCTAAAAGTCAAACAAAGCCATTTAGCTGAAGATCATCCTGATTTAGCAATATCTTATGACAATATTGGTTCGGTATTATACAATATGAGCGTATATTCTCAAGCAATACTGCACTATGAAAAAGCCTTGGAGATTCGACTAAAAAATCTTCCTTCAACTCATCCTGACATCGCACAGTCTTATCACAATCTGGGCTCGGCTTATTTTCGTCTGGAAGAAAATTCCGAAGCACTTTCATATTTCACCAAAGCTATTGATATCAAGCAGAAAAGTCTTCCTGACAAACATGTCAGCTTGGCTACTTCTTATAAGAGTATCGGTGCAGTACATGAACGTTTGCAAGAATATGAGATCGCTCGATCTTACTACCAAAATGCTTTGGACATTTCTCAAAGTGCATCACTGACACAGCACCCGACTTTACGTAAATTACAAAAAGATTTTGATCGTGTTAATAAAAAATGTCATTAGCTGTACTTCATATGTACGTTTGTTTTCATTTGATATTATGCCGATGAGGACTGCTGATCTCTATTCAAAAGTTGGTAAACTTTGGATCGAATGAGGCGATAGATCATTTCGGCAATTTCCATCAGTGAAAGAAAACTGATACCAATCCATAAGCCGGTTTGACCACCCACGTTAGATAGGAGATCTACAGGAGAGATTGATGCTGATTCTATGAGCGTTTGAGCTCGAGTAGTTTCACTGACCACTTCTAAGCCAACATAGTTTTGAGAAAGATCAGACTGCCATGTAGTCGACCAATTAGTGGGTAAGTGTACACCGAGTGCCTCAACTTTCGTTTTAAGATCATCTAGCAACCATGGTGATGGAGCCAGAAGAGATGATAGTTTTGCTGTGAATTCCACAGTATTGCATTCTGATGGACATGTTGGACAGTTTTCTATCCATAGATCATAGTTATTATTTATCAAGTCAAGTTCTTTTCTATAGCAAGTATCATTTTCATTACACACGGGCGCAATTATTACTTTATCGGTACCTGGTACCGCAATATAACGAGCGGTCCATTCAGTCGGATCAATACAACCACACATTTTGTAACTGAAAAGGATATTGATCATTAAACATGACATACAAAGTCAAAGTGTAAACAAACTTACACATACGCTTGTATACAAACTGTAGCACATATAAACTGTTCGTAAGCATAACTACCGTTACTGAAATGATTGAATGCAACTTGTAGCGCATATGGAACTTCAGTACTGCAATCGGAATAAGGTGCTGGCAAGTGAGTCTGTATTGTTTTAGTATAAACCATTCGGTGGAGTCGTCCTGGTATGAGATATTGTCCCTTCCATCGCATTGTAGGTATCTGATCATTATCGTGGATTTGAACTATCATTCCAACTCCTATGATTCGTTAAACGAAAAGCAAAGGATAAGTATACTAACATGCAGATCGTTTTACAGACCAGAGGACCAGTATGGAACATATTGATTACTGTGTACATAAAAATCCAGTTGTAAAATTCCCCAAACACCATTCTCAGCCAAGTGGTATAGGGAGCCATTCCTAATATAAGGGGATTTAGCGTTAAATGTATAACAATTGCCATAAAGCGCATTAGAGAATGAGATGAAATCTTCTTTGGTGCACTCGAGATTATTGAATGTACACTTTATCAACAGATTGTCCAATGTGAATGAATACTCAGTAACTGATTCATTTCGGTTTAATTTATAACGAACAAATTCTTGAATTTGCATCACTTTTCGTTCCGCTAATGTTGAATTTGCTGAATAGGTAATGTTCGAAGTATTGGTATAATTTAAAAAATCGTCCATAAATAGATCATAGCGAAATGGCGAATAATTACAAATTGAAACAGCCGGGAAGTTCTGAGTGGGGTTATCCACAACTCCTATTGATACTTGAGTAGGGTATTGAAAGAAATTTAGAATCGATTCTGTGATAAAATAAGTCATAACACCAGCAAAAATAATTGTACTTATCGTCCAAAATATTCGATTTGTCACAGTCTGACTACGTGCAATACCAGGAATACCGTGAGTCGACGTATTTAAACTAAACTCTCTAATGATTGATCTGGCACGTTGACGAGAAGTTTCAGCTTTGTATGTATTTCTATCGGGGGAGTTATTCATATCCATATCGGTATTTTCGAGATTCGTCATATCCAACGATTTTGATTTCTAGAAGAAATAATATGTGCTTGATACTCAATTCGAGGATCGAATGCACTCCCCTTGAATAATACAGATTTATTTATTTGCAGAAAGAACGAGCACGGCGCCTCAGAGTTAGACAAAATCGAATCTAGATTTATTTATGCAAACAAAAAATATACAAAATCAATAGTTTGGTATAGTGAAAAGAAACAGTCTATTTCGAATAGGTTTTTTTCTACAGAACGGCATTGTTTCATATAGCTGACAAGTGGTCTCTATTTCAATTTTGAATGACGAGTGTGTGCGTTCTTATTCATCATATGGTTTGCAATTCGGTTCGTTATATCGATAACTGAAAAAAATCACTCATATAAACAAATGGCAATGCTAGTGTTGTGTAAATATGGAGAACGAGTATGTGATTCATCTTAGGCGCTAATAAACAACAAAATCAATGAATACCATGATAACACGAAAACACATTATTGAAGTCAAAAAGTAGGTTATGACCCTATTGTTAGTCATTGGAGTGACATCACATTGCCGTATCTGTAGACCATGATTTATTGAATAATTTCACAAGTACTAACTTGACTATTTTGGACTGTAATTGCCGTGATTGTTATCTGCAACTCTTGGTAATTTATACAGATGATAAAGCGAAGGAGAAATGAGGATTGAACAAGTCTGTATTCGTTTAGGATGAACTTTGAATACAATTAGTCGATCGTTGGAGTCTTAGTCTCACTCTTGGCAATGTTTGCATTCAAATAATCGAACGAGAGTCGGTGGTAATCGTATCAGAAATCGTTTAATAAAATCTAGCAGTTTATTATATTTCAGTATACACAATGAACATTTCTCAAATAACGACATCAAACATAAATTCTTTTTTAGAACTTGAGGACGTCAGAAGGTCATAAGTGAAATATTTCTTTTTCTTGTTCTTACCCTCACAACTCACTGAATTTCTCGTTTCTATCAAAAGAACATATATCTTCGTCACATTCACCATCGTCAACTTGCGTCCTTGGAATAGAAGGTGTGTCATAGTAAATCATACTTCCCAACGACATACATTCATATGAATTCGATTAATTATAGGAATATAGACGCTGTCTTGTCGACATTTTTCAAACACGAATGATGGTTTCTCTTGCTTATCTAATGATCTTTTCTGCTACTATTCAACTTGTATCATCCCTTCGATGTTATGGATTTGTTCGTAGTACTGATACTAGTTCATCGACCGTTGGCTTGCAAGATTCACTTTATATACCAAATGCATGTATGAATCAGACTTGTTTGTGTATTAGCTTTGTATTTCAATGTATCGTCAATAATACTTTATGTACTACTAAGCAATTGCAGCATGAAAGTACTGTTTGGACCTACGCATTGACCGGAGTTGGTACATGTCAGCAATTGATTCAAAGTTCAATTATAAAAAATCTTACCTGTTGCTATACGGATTTATGTAACAATCAATCAGTAAATTCTATTCTAACAACAACACGCAATGTTGCGATAATGCCATTGAATAATAACACTTCATCGCTTTTTCGTTCAATTCTGCTACTTCTTTTACTTGGTCTTTGTGTTATTTGATGATAAAATGAGTTCTTGACTTATGTTCAATCCATTGTTTTTTTTATACAAAAGATCGTGTCAAAAGAAAGATTTGTTTCGTTTTCACTGATTCTGCTTAAATAACTTGAAACAAAGTACGTTTCAAATGTGTGTCTGTGCTCGATTTTCATTTATTGTTATAATAAATTCGTACTTTAGGTAAACTATGGAATGATACTAATGTCAAATACCATTGATAGAATTTGTGAGTAAAATAATTTCTGGATAATGATATTATATACGTGGACGAGCCTGAACTAGACGTTCGTTGTTGATCTTGATTATTAAACCAAGTAATGACATTTAGCAGCAAACGTTTTGTAGGCCATGACTTTGTTGACGTCACACATCTGACCGGCAATCACAAACACATATTATCGGAATTGAAGAAAAATTTGTTGTCAAACTCGTCAAGACTGAGAGTATAACAAAGAGCAATCAAGAAACGAATGTCGTGAACCGAAAGGGATTCCCAACTATTGAGCTTACGGAGTCAGCTAATCCGGATATCATCGTAATTAATTGTTCGACAGACGCACTCCAAATAATACATCAAACGAGCTACATCGTTGTCCGCAATGACAAATAGTATGTCCAATCACTTTCATTTCACATTCGCTGTATTGAAAGTGTGATATTTTCAAAGCTATGAATGTAGAAAACTGATTAAATATTACAAAGGCGTCGTATTTTTATAGAGAAAAACGCGTCCTTTCTAGAGTGTATTAATATCACGCATAATACAAAGTCGTCAGATGACATGTTCCATATAGAATCATGCTTTGAAATTTCCAACACTATATTGTGTTACTTCTTCACGACATACATATCTTTTCATATAAGACTCAGTCAGGATTATAAGAAAAAACATCAGAATTATTCACTAAGTTTCTTTTACTTTCTAGTTGGAAAATTCCACTGCATTTCTTTTTATAATATCAGCTGTCAAAACGGGTTTTTTAATCAGTGAGACTCATATTTTTTTTACTTTTGTTTATTTCATCATAGTTTCCAGGTACCATGTCTGTCTGCCTTGTAAATCCCATGCTACAATTCTTCGCCTCTATGTGACTCCGTTGCGGAAGACACTGCCACTAAGTACTTATGCTATCTTCCCTTCTAAGCAGTCTCAAAATTAACGAAGTTTTATTAACAAAAAATATTTATAAAAACAACAACAATCACCGGATGTGCTTAGCTGGAATAGCAATGAAAATTTTGTTTCAATGAAAATCTTTTGATAACACCAACTTTTCATATCACATATCTGCATAGTATTTTCATAGAGCAGAGCTTGATCGGCGCGGGTGTTCATGTCCATAAGGACATTGGCGCAATGCCTATGCAGAAAATAGAGAACATCAAAGGATACTAAATAAGAACGAAACAAACCTTCTTGTGTATTCCACTTAGGTTTAATATTATCATCAGCGAGAAAATCTATTGGAAATTCCACGAGAAAACCTTGAATCTGTTTGCATTTATCATATGCCTAGAAAAAAATCGTTTTCTAATGCAACAAATTAGTTTAACGCAATCCTACTGTATGAGGATCTGTTTCTTTCAATTTGGATTGCTTGTTATATTCTTCAATATCAGCGAATCGCCTTATTTTATTTGTTGGTACAGTATTGAAAACTTCTTCATAGATTTCAGTGTTCTTCTTTGCTATTTGACAAAAATAGTTGTACAGTTCATCTGAACATGGATCGTCGACGTCGATCTTGTCATCATCTTTTATACCTAACACCTGTCTTAGAAATCAAATATATAAAAGACGTACGATGCAAGATTAAAATAGAAAGACGATAGAAACCTGAATAATTTCTTTCGCCAAGTAGAGCAGAACACACCGACTTTCTCCGATCGTCCATTCAAATGTGAATCAACCATTTCAATATCATTGACAACTAAGCATACTTCCGAATCTCGAGTTCCTTGAAACGAGCGATCGTTAATATTCGCCGATCCGCAAATACACATTCGATCATCAACAATCATCAACTTCGAATGAACGTAAATAATCTCCGTTACCTTCAAGGAAAACGAATGAAATTCCCAAATTCGACACAATTCACTTACTAAACTACCCATCAGTATATCCCAATTTCGCATTCCATTAAACGTCACATATTGTCCAGGTTCCTCAATTCCTATCAGAAGTTTTTCTTCTAATTATATGTCAATGTATACAAATGTACTAACCATATCGTTTTAATCTTTGATAGAGTGATTGATCATCTTTATTTATCGATCTCATAATATAGTAAAGCTCAGCTTGAACTGCATTACTATTGGCAAAGCCAGGTAACAATGGTAAAAGAATAAAGATTCGAAATTTTTCGTGATTATTATGTGCACGAATGATACGTTGATAGAGCGCTTCACCGATCTCATTCTTTATTGTATCATCTTCAGCAATTGTGACAAAAAATTGGTTCTAAATGTTGTTTTTGGCAAAGTCGTTAAATTTTAATCGACTTACTTCGATGTAGATAAAATGTTCAGCATTTTCAATCATGTGAATATAAGCAGTATGAATTGAACGTTCGACTTTCTCAATTCCACATGACCAAAACGAAGCTGAACGAACGCATTGAGCATCGATGCGAACAGGAGGACGATCACCTGGAAGAATTGCTTGAAGCATAGATGGATCAGCTAGTCGACTATCATCATCGGTTTTTGGAAGAAGATAAGGATATTTATCATTGAAACGAAATTTATCTGCCTGTAACGAAAAAGATTCATTTTATATGAAACATCTCGATGAATAATAAGAACAACTTTATGAATATTCCATCGTTGAATGAAGTGTCTGGCACAATCTCTTGCTGCTTCACCTGAAACAGCCAATACTTCGTCATGCCATGGCATGCGGGGCGCAAGTTTTCGGTCGATATAATCTATTGAAAGACGAAAACGAAATGAAGAAAATTGAAATTAAGATCAGACGAAACCTTCATCGTATTTTTCGACGAACTCAAAATCTTTTTGATAATAGTTTGAATAATCTTTGCCCAAAAAGAACTGACATTTACTATCCGCAACCGGCGTAACGCCAACAATTGGTTTCGGTCGTTCGTCGGATACTTCATCGACTTCTTCATCAGATGAATTCTCGTCGTCATCAGTACTTTCCGCTTTTTCTCTCTAGGATTCAAATTCAACAATCAAATCGGACATGAATGCTAGGCAGAACTTACTTTAATGAAACGTTGCCATTTATGCTCATGTCGACGTTTTTTTCTATCTTCTGTATCGTCTGTGTCGCCGAATATTTCCGATAACTTTTAAAATACGAATTTGAGAAATAAATTCTCATTTTCTTTTGTTTCACAAAGTCTTACTAGATGGTGCTCATTCGAGTTTGTTGCCATCTCATCAGCTGTTTCGATAGCAGCTTCTTCTTTATGTGATTCTTCTTCAGGTTTTTGAGCTATTTCTTCTGGAAGTTTCAATTCCGTGATATTCTCATCACTCAAATCAACCAATCTATCCTCAAGAAAAAATAAGGCAAACTTTCATCTTGTTATTAAACTAACCGATAGTCATCTGTATCCCATCGTCCCCAGCAAAGATCAATGCCACCAATAAAAGCCAATCGTTGATCGATGATCACAGTTTTCTCATGGTGAGAAAAGAGAAACGACGATTCAGTGCCAGGTAATATTCGATGGTCAGGATGCCGAATGACCTTTAATCTAGGAAGTTAAATAAATCCAAATATTTTTGCTAGATAAATTACTTTGATATTTTTCTTCGTTGGACTTCTCGATAGCAATTTTCTTTTCGTATGTAAACTATTCAAACCAACAACTTTCACGATATCTTTGAAGATCAACACGTACACACGAATGCCTTCTTCCTATATTTATCTTCTTTACAAAAAAATAATAGAATATATGAAGGTAATGCTTACTGCTCGCTTGCCAAGAAGATGGTCCAATCGCATGGAATCATCATGAGCTGGACGAACTAGCATGATTTCAGGTGAAAGCCACCAATCGCTGATGAAAATTTCTTCACGTGCTGATAAAATCGCTTTAGCTAACGCTTCCATATACGATTGACCATTAATAAACCATTGAGCATACTGCTGTTGTCGTTGTGGTGCAAATGAGTCAAATAGGTGATTTTGCGTAAAGATCGATTTCTCTTTCATTTCCATTAGGCCGTCAAACCAAAGATTTCGCTCGTCTTCGCCTCGACATTTAACAATCATTTGACGCTGTGAGTTTTTTATGCGAATTCCTTGTTTCGTTCGTGTTTTTCGAAATGTTCGATCAAGCGAAAAATCTTGATCAACAAGCATTGGAAAACCGATAAGGGCGGAGTTCAGTGTCATATATACAACATACGAATCTTTGATAACAAACCATTTGTCTTCGTGGAAAACTTTACATGGGTCACATAGAAGTGGAATGCGAATTAGAATTGATCGACCACGATGATCATCATTGGATCGTTTCGATAGGTTTCCTTCTCCGAAACTTTTTCCTAAACCTTCAACAAATGTCAGCGGACTAACTCGAAGAAATTTTCTCTATGAAAACAGAAGTAGCCAATAAAAAGTCCCAGCGACAAACAAAACTTACCATAGCAATATGTTCACGAAAGAATGGATTTTCAAGAACTTTGCTGAGATAGTTTTGTAGCATTTTCTAGAAAAACAACGAACATGTTTTGTAGAAAACAATGAAAATAAACGTACGCATCTCTCGTTGATATTTCTTTCGTTGATAAATCCAATGCGATCGTTCTGAGTAGGAAAACAGGGATAATCTTTGTGATCGATAGATGTTCGCGAACTGAAAGAGTCACTATCAACTATTTTGTATATGACTTCGAATTGTACCTGTTTAAATCAAGTCGAGATTTTTTAAATTCCAATTTAATAGAATCTCGAAGGGCATTATGAAGCTCAGCAAATTGTCTATAACGTCTTTTGATCGTCCATTCATATGTAGATCCATAACGAAGAGTTATACTATACCTACACATCGATTCGACGAAAAATTCGGTCAAAATCTGCCAGTTACTTTCGTAAAATAAACTTACAAATACGGATAGAGAAATTCAGTAACGGCATTGTATATTCTTTCTGCTTCTAGTTTAATAACTTGAACTGTTTCATCACGTGCAAATGTTTGGTTACATTGCGAGTAGATTTGTTCCAACGAGCACGCATCACTCATTCGACGTTCTTCTGTAGTTTGTTCAGGATACGGTAAATATTCCACATGCCTTTGTGTAATGTGATCTTCAAATGAATTCGATCGGACATGTATCTTCAATTATACACTCAATGACATCACTTACTAGCGGTTAAAGTTAACCCGACAACATCCTCCATCGATCGCACAATCCCATGGATACTTTCTGCTGGATGAACTTCAGTATTCATTGATAATTATCTGAAGTACAAGTTGATGATTCTCACCGAGAGAATGAGAAATGATACATTCACTGTAGTACATAAATGGCGTCAGCTATTTTCTCCTTCTCTTTTGTTCTCCTTATGTTGTACTGCAACGCACTGCGTCAGTATCACTATTACCATTATCATTGACTCTCATTCGATGAAAGAGGAAGAAAGAAAAAGAACATTTTTCTTTTTCATTTTCTCTCGTAAAGGAAGGATAAAAAACGTGGAGTCATTCTTTGCGTTTTTTTTCAATACGCAAGACATAAAAACACTCTTTGACATTTCTTTTTTTGTAAGGTTCTGACTGAAATCTGCGAGATCGTTGACGATACAAAAGCTCGACTTAATCACTGCAATCATTTACAAATTTATTTCTCTAAAAGTGGAAAGAATTGGATTTTGTGCAAATACTTATATCAAGGCAACCTCCTTCTGTACACATCCCATTATACTTCTTAATCCCTTATGTATGTTACTCATGTGTATTTCTTATCCTTTGTCTTATGCTTGAATACCGTGGTAGTTTGTTGTCTTCGAAATTTTCTTTTATCTGTTCTGTGCTTGACTTCGAATATTGATAGTTTCTTCGTTTTATCGAAATGAAATGAACTCGATGACATCAAACCGGCTACCGGAGAGGTCGTTTGTAGAAATTAGATAATGAAGGAGTGATTTGAATGATGTTATAGTTCCATGATGTGTCAAAACCTGAAAAGATGTTGATACATAGAACACAAATCAGATGGGTAATTAGTCTGGAAACGAAAATAAACCGTAGAGTGACTTTTGCTTTGAAGAATTAATGAAATTTTATGTCAAATGTTCGATCTTCTTGTTAATGAAAGACGTGTCAGCACGAAAATATTCGTAAATGGCAAGAACTGAACAAGCTGCACATATATGCCAAACGGCATGTAATTGAAACCATGAATGCGGCCAGCAGACAATCTTCGATGCATCCAATTGACCTGAGACGACTCCGATGATGAGTGATAGCGCACCCAAGCCAAACCATTTCAGTTGCTTTGCTGTTATCGATTTTGATCGCAAATGAAAGCCTTCCGATAAGACAAATATAACAATTAGTATTGTGGTCAATAGTTTTTCTTCGTTATCGTATGATTGTGGATAGTAGATATCGCTAATAATCCACAAGATGAAGCCATTTGCCAAGAAAATCAACGTGAATAGAAATGTTTTGATGTTCGCATGACGAATTAAACTGTAAAAACTAATGAAAACAATAATGAGCCACATACCAGTTAGATCAAGTCGATGTCCAAGTTGACAACGACATGCATGATTGAGCCATGAACCGATGGCATGTGCACAATTTGCTAATCCATTAATCAATGATAAGATTGTATTCTTTGCACGAGCTTTTTGCTGACCTTCGATGGCTTGTACTAGCATGTAAAAACCCACTGCGAGAAAAGCAAAGTCAGATAATGAATTGCTTCGTTCTCGGAGAAGACTAGTCGATCGATCATATTCACAGAACGGTATTCCATCTATTCGCTGCTTTGTACTCGATTCAAAATGGTGCCATGGCGATTTGCCGGTCAGATAGCTGTCAAGCACAAGAACCGCCGCAAATAAAGTAATGAATATCAACACAAAACAAATACGTACAAATATCATCATAATAGTCCTATGAAAACTAACATATTCTTTCAAAGCAACAGGGATAGATAAGATAAAATTAAATATGTAAGATACCGTAGCGAGTTTTTCACGTACAGGTGTTTTTATTCCCTTGTCTGAAAGAAAGGGTTATAGCGTCATAAATACAGTGATGAAAATGCATAAAGTTTGTTTGTTTGGTTTCTTGCATAAGCCAATCAGATTGCAGCATATTATGAATCAATGAAATTTACCTATAGTCATCAAAGATTGACCACCGACGAGGTAATCGAAGTGGAGGATTTCGAATCCGGTGTCAGTTTCTCGAAATTCTAATTAGCTAGTTACTAATTCGCTTTTCTGAAAGAAAGGGTTATACAGCGTTTGAATGCTGTGTTAAAAAGCCTACAGCCTGTCCTATCCAATCAGAAATCAGCACTTCTAAAATCAATGAAATTAATCGATAGTTGCTAGAAAATGATTACCGGTAGGGTAATCGAGGTCGAGGATCACGAATCCGAGGTTAGTGTTGCTTAATTAATTATTAGCTTTTCATTAACTAGCCACGACTTATTAACATCCATTTCCAGAGTAGACCACAGGATTTCTGACGTCGGGAAATTCGAATTTGAGGATGAATTTCGTTTTATTGGCTGAGCCTGGGCTTATTCCTTCCTCTTTACAAAGGAGATATTTTTCTTTATCTGTTCTAAAATCTTTTGTAGAAGATAGTGAGCTGAACGCTATTCACAGACGTCATGTGTACAAAGATAGTAGCTCAAGAACTTACACGAAAATATCTAATGCATTGTATATAATGATGTTTCTAATTGAAGAAATCCGAAAAAGTGATATGAGCTTATAGTATCATCTTTGCTTTGTAGGCTACATACATCATGTCCTTTCATGGGACTTTAGTAGAAGTAGTTCGCAAAGCGATATAGTCGTCGGTGGAATTCCATCTTAGTAATTACAGACGCGTGGACGGTGGAAACAGTATTCTGAACACATGCAACACTATGAAAAATGAGATTTATCACTGTCTCAACGAAAGTCAATGGTCTTTGAACGAACACAATGGATGTGTTTTCGAGCTTCGAGAATAGAGATTGCGCATTATCAGCACTTCAAATTGAACAGAGCAATAGAATATGTACTGTAAACTACACAGTTACGAAGGGTTTTGATAACTTCGATCAGAGATCGACGAACGACTAGGCGTTTAAATGCTAGATTAATCCTAAAGTGTACGCTTAGAATAACCTTGCCAAGCCTCCGATAATTTTGAAAGGGATTTGACGAATGAATATTCCTCAATGAAAATATTCGACAAGGTATCATTTTGTTGACAGAAGAGGAAAGAATCGGATTATCGCTGGAAGATACAGGCGAATGTTCAAATGTTTCAAGTAGTCTACTGTATATCATCCGTCTATGAGTGACTTATTAAAGCATTTATGCAAGTTTCAATGCGCGTGATATTAAAATAGAAAAACAGATAACAAAGGTCAATTGTTGGCCGTCTGACTAGCCGTTGAGCGATGAATTTTCCAGTCAATATAGTTAGTGCTGGAGAATTATCCACTGACAAATGGCTAATCGGCCTGATTCCTAGAAATACTTTTGCATCCTATTGATTCTAGTGTGTGACATAGTGCCATGATTCAGTTGAGCACTAGTAGCAATCGCAGTGCGTTTTGTCTCTTTCGAAGTCTCTGAATGTGTTCAGCGTTCGAAAAAGTCTTTCAGAAAAGGGTCAGCGAATCCAAAGGATGAGCGTTACTTGTATTATATGAATACGGTTATACATTGTGTAGAATTATACCGGGTTATATCAAACTCTTGTAGTTCAAGACTAAATTTGACGTAAACAATAAATATCTAATTAGTGTTGATGTTTACTGTACGCACTTAACCATCAGAATAAATTTCTTTACAAAAGTACTCTACTTATTTTAACTGATAATTTCAATAAGTTGCAAACCACTGTACTGCTTTGAAGGAATTCTCAAAAGACTCTAATCGACAAGTAACGCGGCCTAGTAGCCGCTAAACCCTCTACTGAAAGGATAGTATTAGAGCGCTACTATTCGTCCAAAGAGAGAAAAAAGTTGTTTCAGTTGAACGATCTGATCATTTGATAGTTTGTCAGAATGTTTTACTTAGACCAATTTCGATTCCTGAAATCTTCTGAAATTATAACGCCTAGTCGTTTGTCGGCCTCTCTCCGGTCGACCACTCACAGCTAGCCGTCGGTACCTAATAAGTGTTTAATGATATTTTCATATTAAAAAGTACCTCGTTCTTGTTGAGTCCGTCTCTAGCAAAGTTGCCGAAATTCTTCGCAACTTCATGACCTACAGTATATCTTTTATTATCATTTTTAGTTGAATATGTCGATGATCTACATAGTTGTTTCTTGAAGCTCGAAAAGATGTCATATATATATACCTTAGAAAAATGATGGCCACTTTGCGACAGTCTTATAAATCTCACTTTTCAACTAATTTTCAAAAGAAACAACTAGTCGTTCGTCGGCCTCCCTTCGGTCGGCCACTCACGGCTAGCTGTTCCCATGCGTACTCATTTTACTATCTTAACTTCATTCGGACGAAGACGCGTTCTGCAAATGAGCACATTTCGGAAAATCAATTCATAATCCAAAACTTAGAAGCTGTACATAGCTATATGATTCTCAGGAAAAGGTTTCAATCTTCTCTCCACCACGAGGAACCTTAAATGGCTGCCAGCTATGTTCGTGCAGAACAACGATTAACTTCTAACCAAGAAATCTTAAAGCTCTATAAAAATCACAAAGTTTGTTCTTAAAAATATGATTCTGCAAATCGACGACTAGTCGCTCGTCGGCCTCCCTCCGGTCGGCCACTCGCGGCTAGCCGTTACATGTAAATTTTCACTCTTCCATTTAGTCTACAGCCACTTTTGAAAGTAGTCCATTCATTCTTTTCTATTCCATCTTTAAAAGTCACCCTCTTTATGCTACTGTAACTCTCGAAGACAACACCTGACAAGCGAAACATTATTTTAAATGACTGGCATCAGATGATATCCCTATAGTATAGCTGTTTCTAAAAGTGTGTGATCTCATTAATATGCTTATGACTATGGAGATCCGCTGATCGGACGTCAGTCAGCTATTACATTTTGCTCTACATATTGCCGCTTAAAACATTATCGCCTAAAAAATTGATCCTTTCTCGCAAAAAACGGGTTAGAAAGTGTTCATGAAAAAACTAACCTCGGATTCGAGTTCCTCGGCCCCGATTACCCTTCAGTCAACCCTTACTCGACAACGAAAAAAATTTCATTGCTTAATTAGCTAATTAGCTAATGAGGTAATTAGAATTTCAGAAATCTAACAGCGGATTCGGATTCCTCGACCCCGATTACCCTTCGGTCGACCCTTACTCGACAACGAAAAAAATTTCATTGCTTAATTAGCTAATTAGCTAATGAGGTAATTAGAATTTCAGAAATCTAACAGCGGATTCGGATTCCTCGACCCCGATTACCCTCCGGTAAAACTTTGTCCTCCACTAGGGTCACTGAATAGTCACTATCGAACAGTGATGTGAAAGAACGAACCAACCAACCAACCAACCAACCAACATCAACTCGTTTTTTTTGTAATACCTGCTCGACGCATAACCCTCCTTTCAGTAGAGGGAATAAGCGACGATAATTATAAGCAACAAAGAACGAAAGGAAATTTGTTCAGATGTAATATTTCGATGTTTTGGATAGTCTGATTAAGTGGGAGCGCCTGGTTTTTATCTCTTTTCTTCTTTGAAATGAAACACCCAAGTCATATAACGTTTGCTTTTCGATTTTACAAGTATATGACATCATAAATTGTATTTATGAACACATATACATCATTGGTTGGAAGTTCATGTACATTCACGATCGAAATGTAACGTTGACCTGTAAGGACTGAAAGTAAATCTACTTTTTCAAACAAAATGACATTTGAGTAATGCAAAATGAAGGACATATATAGTTAAAACGAAGTTCATTTATTTGTATATGTAAAAAATATGTAATAACGTTTGCAGTTTCGGTATGATGTAGTTTCCAGAGAATAGGATGATATTTAACTGAATAGTCTTCGTACACGCTGAAATCGGTGTCGAATCAATCGATAGATCATTTCAGCAATTTCCATTAATGAAAGAAAACTTATGCCAATCCACAGACCCGTCTGACCACCGACATTAGAAATAACATCAACAGCACTCATAGAAGCTTGTTGAGTATAAACTTCCACTCGAGTGGACTCACATACAACATCAAGACCAACATAGTTGTGTTCAATATCAGCAAGCCATGTCTGCGACCAATTCTTCGATAGTGGAATCGTAGTAGATTCGACGAATTCCTTTACATCTGTCATATACCATGGGGTGGGCGATGCAACCGATGATGTTTTAACAACAAATTCATTAGAAGTACATTCTAAACCACAATCATCGGCGTATTGACTACTGATGGAATCTGAACTTCGAAATACATCAGCCGCTTTTGAGTAACAGGCATCAGATACGTTACATAGTTGAGCATAAATAACGTTTGTAGTGCCTGGCAAGACAATGTAACGTGCAGACCACTCATACGGGCTGACACAACCACATTGCTGATACCTAGTGTACGAAGATAAACATGCATTTTGAAAAGATTACAATGAGAATACAAACGTATATGTTTGTATGGCAACCTTAAAACATAATTCTTGTGAATAATCATATTGAATGCCTGTGTATTGGTCATACAAAGCTTGTAATCCAGGTGGTGACGTTTCACTGCATGTTGTATAAGGTGTAGGCAGAAGAGTATAGGTCTTCTTACTATAGCCAAATTTGTATTTCCGTCCTGGTACTAAAAAGGTATTGACTCTATCAATGAGTGGCATTTGTTTATTATCGTGGATCATAGTGACAATTCCTACACCTGCACAAACAAGATGTAATCGTTACATTATTACTAGAAAAGATCGATTCTACCGTCTGTTAAATATGGAACATATTGATGACTGTGCGTGTACAAGCCTAATTCTAATACACCACTTTTACCATTTTCATTATTATAATGCAATCCGCCATTGTTAATGTACTGGGATAGGGCATTGAAAGTATAGCAGTAACCATAAAGAGGTAACTGGAATCGTACAAAATCAGCAGCAGTACAATTGATACCGTTGTAAATACATTTAACTAGCATTGACTCGAGTGAAAGGTATAAATCATTCAACGACTCATTTCGGTTCAGTTTTGCTTGTAAGAAATCGATTATGTACGCTCCTTGGTTTCTCGTGAATTTCGTTGTATTTGTCGTATTCGTTAAATTGAGCGAATTCGTGTAATTAAGGTAAGGCTGTATAAATTGATCGAAGTGGAGAGGCGAATAGTTACAAACAGTGACTGCTGGAAAAGATTGTGGCCATTGTCCAACAAAATCTACCGATGTTTGTGTCGGATATTGAAAATAAGCTAGAATGGCTTCAATGATAAAATAGCACATAATACCGGTGAAGATGATAAATGAAATTGTCCAAAACAGACGATTTTGTATACTCTGACTTCGTGCAATACCTGGAATTCCATGCATGGACGTATTCAAGCTGAATTCTTTGATAATTGGTCCTGTATTGCGCATTTTGGGATCTGGCTTTACGGCTTCGGGTGTGATTGGAAAAACAGTTGCTATTTGGTTCAAAGCACTGTCCATTGGCCTTAGCTTATTTTTGGACGAAAAAGTTTCCGTTGCAGATGAAAGCATATTCGTTTTCGTTCTTTGCTTGCAGAAACCGGTGAATGTGCCAATTTTGATACGTATTTACGAATGTTAATTCATGTTATGCTTGCCTTAAATAGATTGAAAGCATATAGAAGACATAAATGTATTTCGTGCTTTTTCAATACAAGCACAGTGTAGGTGTTCTAAATATTACCGGAAGGCTTTTGAGTATGAGTCAGAAGAAAAATATTGTTTTTGTCATGTTCGTTTCTTAAATATAATAAATATTTGGTCATGCATGCAAATTTAATACACGAGGTAAAGCTTATGTCGAAGTTTATTCTACAATGATCTAGACAGTGTATTTATTCATTCTGCGACGAAGATTGTATTTTACGTACAATCTTGACATAATTGAGAGCATCAGTGTTTCGATCTTTTTAAAATGCTGTGGAATAAGGATATTTTGTGAAGTTTTCAACAATCAATGAGTGCATATGACTGGAAATAAGGTCACCAACCGCCAATTGGCTAGCGATTTCTTTTATACAACCTGTGTCATAGGTTTGAATGACTTGTAAACTATCAATTGTATTTACTGAATAGAGCAAAAATACTATATGATCATCACTGTTATTACCGAAGGCCTACTTTTTTTTCTCTTAATAAATCAACTGAATAAAGAAAAGCATTGCATCGGAGAGAATAAGTTTGACCTGTTTTTCTCCTTCATGAATGGATAAACGATGTTCGAAACCTTTCGTTTCATTGATATTTCTCCTCACTCTTGTGCGGTGAAGATTGGCAAATGTCTAGGTCACTTTTGACCCATATCATCTGGATATTACAGATACTAGATTTAAAAACAATGATGGTAGCTAAAGGTTCGTATCCGAAATGAAATAGTTCTAATTACATGTTTGTTTATCATAAAAAATTCTAACAGTCGAATGATTTATCGAGTATGTTTTATTAATTATGATGTATACAAGAATATGCTTGAAACATGAGCGTGTTTCGCAGTTACCTATATCACCGGTGATTTTGAGATTTCTCTTCAGTTTAGACTCTGTGCTGCAAATGACTCGCCTTTCGTTTCACCCTAGTGCAAACTGATATATCTATCGATAAAAAGTCTAAAATCACTGGTAAACTCCCACAATTGTTGAGACGTGTGGCTCGATGAATTAAAGTGGAGTTTCACACACATGCATTCAAGCCAGCCGAACTTTTCGATTATGTCATAAACGAAAACATTGTCTTTTTCACCGAAAGAAGCAGAAGGCAACGCGTATCTTAACAAGGTTTGTTTTTCTCTCTTTTTAGATGTAATTCTTTCTCATTCTTTCTGTTTTTTCTTGCTTGCATCGACTGGTAAATTTTATTGTGTAATTTTCAACGAGCGACGAAAACAGCAACAGTTACTTCCTTTAGACAAAAAAGACTTCTTCTGTTCGTATTTGATGAAAATCTCATTGTGTTTTCAGACATATAAAAACTTCGAGTAACTTAATTTTTAGATTCGTGAGGATCACCAAGAAGTATTATCATTTCAACGAAAAAAATTTTCGAAGACAACATGGCGCATGCAAGTGGTGCAGCCGAAACGGTTAAAGAACCACGGATAAGGGCGACAAATTATCAGCTAGTTTGGTTAGCGCATAATATTGAGAAAATACAACAAGATTTTACTCAATCGTTCAATGATTTACAAAGTATGACAAAATCCATGGAAGTATTCAGTAGTGCTGATGTACTAGTGAATCATATATTTGAAAATAATCGAAACAAAATCATTTTGGTGATAGCCGGAGCTCTGGGAGAAAATACGATACCTATTATTCACGATGCACCTCATCTTGATGCTGTCTTCGTCTTCTGTCTTAATCGAAGTCGACACGAAAAATGGGCTAAAGATTGGACAAAAGTCGCGGGTGTTTATGACAAGATCGATGCCGTGTGTGAAGCAGTAAAACAGCGCTTACAAAGTGAAGCTTCAAAAGAGCCTCCACAGATTACCCCAGAAACAGATCCAATAAGTGATCCACCTCAGCCACCACGACGACATAGTAATCGGGTTAAATCGACTACTCTCGATGATCAAAAACACGAAAAGAGAAGAAAACGGTCACACGACCGTCGAGATCGATCACACGAGACCGTTCGACCCAATGATGACGTGTCAGCAACCACTATTCATGCAGCTTCATCTGCCGATTCGATAATGATGGAAAAGGAGATGCCCAAGGATTCATCTAAACAGGATGACGACGACCTTATTTCATTGGTAAAGTTGCGGTTGCCACCGAAACGAGATGCATCCAGTTCGAAACCTTCATTACCGACCACGTTAGACCAACTGAGGGAAACTCTAATTACTATAACAGAACGAAAATTAGGTACAACTACTCTTCGCAAGAGTGATCCTCACGGTCCAACATCATCAGCGAGTAAAGGTGTATCCGATCGATCGGAACATACTCTTATGGAAACTATTCGAGAAGGCGTAGACACCAAGCCAAACGATACTAACGAATTAAGCAAGATGTTTAATGACTTGAAGCAATCGCTGCTTGATACGCTTGCACAACAACAACCATTGTTATTGAAAGAACTGATTAAAGAAACGGTTGAAGAAGCGATTAAAAGTCAAGAGAAACCAATGGCATCTACTACTCCTAGGACGACTGCGTTGCCTACTCTTCGACGAACAATTACGCTAGCTTCAGTTCCAGAAGTACAAATCACTGCTGATTCGAAGAAAACCCGTACTGATGCTGCTTTTCGTCAACAGCGTGCTGCTGTTGTTGCAAATAAAGATTTTCGTAATAGGGTTCGGCAATGGTCAACAGTAACCTCAATGGCTGATCTTGTATCGAACATCAAAGCATGTGGTTCGAATGATTTAGAACATACATGGTTACTATTTTGTTGGATAGGTCAAAATATTAAGTATGCATTGCACTGTAATAACAATGCCGCGGAAACTGTTTTTCGAACAAGACAAGGCGTTTGTCGTGGCTTCGCTAGTCTCTATCACGAATTTTGCACATTACTCGGTATTCAATGTTTTGAAATAAGTGGATTTGCTAAAAATAATTTCGTGCAAGGCTTTGTCGAACTGAAGCAGTCACCTCATGCATGGAATAGCGTTGTAATCGATGATCATACCTACTTAGTCGATCCAACGTGGGGTGCTGGTGGCCGTGATAATGAAGTAACGCTCGAAGATTTCTATTTTCTGACACCACCGGAGGAATTTATTTATTCACATTATTGCCTCGGAACACAATTACTCGAACCTGAGATAACTATCGATGAATTTCTTAGTTTGCCAGTTATGAAATCGTCCTATTACCAATTTGATTTGAATTTATTATCGCCAAAGCAAGGTTTTAATCCCATTAACGATAATCTGTTCAAAGTATCAGTTCGAACACCAAAGCATGTCGAATTGACTGCCAGTTTGCAAATCGGCCATGAACAATATCCACGTAATCTGCACACATTATGTCAACGAGATGAGAATAATCCTGATATATTCAACTGTTTCTTTGCTCCACCTGTCGATGGCCTTTATAATGTCGATATCTACGCAAAGACCAGTGAAGAAACATCCTATCAAGGTGTTATCAACATGCGTCTACAGGTTTCCAATCTGATGAGTAGTTTTACTTTTCCCCAAACCTATTTGACTTTCTCTCAACACAACTGTATTCTAATTCACCCATTACAACGTCTTGTGTACAAAAACGATGAAATACTAATTCATATGATTATACCGAATGCCAATGTGATTAAAATTGAGAATGGCGATTATCAAATCGTTCCCGATAAGGATGAATATAAAAAGGGTGTTTTGCAGAAAAAAATACGTGTTCAAGGAAATATTAAAATTTGTGGCCGGTGGGATGCAAACGCTGATACTATCTCAGTCATCTGTATATTTCACATGGCTTAAGCTTGTTTTTCCATTTTAATAAAATGTCACGTAAATTTGCTTTGTCATTGATGTATATGTTACTGTTCGTCACGTTCTTTTACAATGAAAAGAGAAGTTTTCTTTCTGTCTTTCGTTTTATTGGAGTATATAATAACACGTGCTTTCTTTTATTATATGCACTTTTAGAAAAAGAAATAGTCATAGCTAGAATTTAATAGTTTACTACGACGAGAATATGTCGACAAAGCCACTTGCTATTATTACCGGTGCAGCATCAGGAATTGGACGTGCTGTAGCTCAACGATTAGCGAAAACACATACATTGTTATTAGTCGATCGAGCTGAATTCGAAAAAGGTCTAGAAGCCGAAACATTTCAAATCGACGTTTCGCAAGCAGATCAATGGAAGACGATCACAGAAGCAATCAAAGATCGACCGATCGATTTTATTATGTTAAATGCAGGTATTGGAAGCAAACCATCGTGGACTGATCCAACTGGATGGCGTACGATGATCGATACGAATTTATTCGGTATCGTCAATGGCATTGCAACTATTCTTCCATTGATTGAAAATAAAAAGGCAACAATTGTTATCACTGGATCAAAGCAAGGTATTACTAATCCGCCTGGAAACCCAGCATACAATGCATCAAAAGCGGCCGTGAAATCTGTTGCTGAAAGTCTTTCTTATGATCTTCGTAAGACAAATATAGAAGTGTATCTTCTCATTCCTGGATATACTTATACTGGTATGACTTCCGGCACGTCGACAAGTAAACCGGATGCAGCATGGACTCCCGAACAAGTTGCATCGTACATGTTTGATAAAATCAAACAAAAGCAATTCTATATCCTGTGTCCTGATAATGATGTTACAAATGAATTAGATTACAAGCGTATGACTTGGAATTTACGTGATATTACCGAAAGTCGTCCAGCTCTTTCCCGGTGGCGTGAAGAAACTGCTGATGAATTCGCACAATTCATTAAACAATAAATCATGTTCCTTCTTTTTTAAATAAAGTTCATTTTATTATTTAAATAAAAAATTCTACTCTATTTTCAACGGTATTTATGTATCATTTTCTGTTCGAGTAATCTTGTGTAATCACTTTCTCGTAATGCTAACACGATGTTCACTGATTCATCCCGTTTGTGTGAATCCATCATAGCAAAATATTGTGGAAATACTTGTTTTGTTGGTCCACTATAGATTGGATAATTATCACCACCACCAAAATTGCCTCCTAACATGTTCACCTTTCGCCATGATGCGCAATGAAAATCATGATTGATGATGTCAGCATCGACTTGGTTTTTTCCAATTTTACCATCACCGCTAGTTAAGTAGGCATTGTAATATTTCAATGATTGGACCGTTTGTTTTGCGTGCATTTCATGAATCCATTTAGCCAAGGACGGAAGCGTTGGTGGTTCATCTGCTGTCCATGTGTCATACAGCCAAAACGCAAACGAACCAAAATAATAGAGTGTCTCTGGTGAATACGAAACGGCAAAACGTGTTCGTCCATTTAACGACTGAAGAATTTTGATTTTATCGTTGCCTACAAATGATTTTTGTGTTGCCTGAGCAATCACTAATACCATGTGTGCATAAAGCGCATCATATGTACTGATGTAATCAACAGCTGATGAAAGATCTTTCATCGCTGCTACTTTGATGTTCTTCAATTCATCGGCCGAAAAATGGTAAACACGAGAGATCACACGTTCTGAAAATCCAGCTCGAACAAGCACAGTTTCTGGTGACGGAATAAGATCACGAGTAAAGACGCAATTGGCAGGACGAGTCAGCGGTGCGCGCTGCTGTTGCTCCTCTGTTGAAAAGAGAACAAATGACTTGTCCATCATTGGTAGGTTTTTCGGCGTTCCACCAGCAGCCCAGCTTGTGATAAAATGCGCTGAACTTTGTGCATCCATCAAACAATGGCATACTACTATAGATATGACCACAGAATCGCACTGAAGGCGTGTTACTTGTATAGACATCAACGGTCCGGTGAAATCATTCGGTATGAGAACATCCAAATCCGTTGAATTGATGTGTTCATAGTCGAATTCTTCATCATCTGTTCGTTGAATGAAATAATCCAATGATTGATCTGGACATTGGGCGTCAGTGTAAAGAACACCTTCATTATTCAAATGAACGGTGACGTTACCATTTTCATCTTCTGTTCCACGGCCAGCTAGAATTGTAAAATAGTTGAGTGTGTTTGATAAAGTCAACTGTAATTGTTTCGACGGCATAAATTCATCCCTGGTTTGTTTCAATTTGTTTGGATAGAACCAGACCATACGAAGAGGCCAAGCTTTTGCATTAGATTCGACAGCCATACAAGTAATTGATTCAGCAGCGTTTTGATCCATTGGATTCGAACATTTAATAATAATAGATGGATCTTTGGTAATCGTACACATATTCTCAGTTGATAAAAATAACGTGAGTCAAATCCGATGTATGTTAGTTGAATATCTATCGTCCTGCGGCTCTTTATACCTATCTGGATTTGATGTCGAAATTACACCGTGTACTGATGAAAGTATAAGATATTATCAGTGACGGCAAATACAATGAGTAAATATCAGTGGTATTATGTGGACATATTTGCTCTATATTTCGTGTAGAACAATGAATCAAACACAAATCCTTCTTTGCACTAAGGCTAGATTCAACAATCTAAACGTGTGATCCAATTCATTCTGCAGGTCGTCAAATATTTGTATATTGTTAGTGCATAGATGTCACATATTGGCAACAGACATAGATGCCTTCTAGGTACGTATAGATTAATAATAAGTACTATAGTTAGCATTTCTCAGGTCTTCATCAGATTGAATTAACTGCAGTGAATTCACTAGGAAAGTCAGCAAAGCAACTATTCATGCTGTAAGTGTTTTATTTATTTACATCATGATTAAAAGATCATCATCATAACGAAAGTTGACAAGCGAGTTTGTTGTAGGTGAATTTTTCTGACAGCCGAAGAGGGAACTAATGAATCTAACTAAGATGTTGCACTCATTGGATGCATATAACGGTCACACAGCTAGAGTACACTATTGTCTTGAGATCTTCCATGCGTGTAATCGCGAATATATAAATTACAAGTTAATCTGAAGAATACGTGTATGAAAAACGACTGAGTAAACCATCTTCCGACCTTCAAGATTTGATTTGATTTGATTGTATGAAATTAACGTAAATCATTTACACACACCTGAGCATGTCTCGTTGTATTGTTTGTACAGTCTTGTACTGAATCCATCGGTCGTTGTGGAATCCAATAAAATAGTTTATTTTTCAAAACTTTGCGAAATTCGCTTGATTTATAAACATAGATATAAAATGTGAAAACGTAATTGAAATGATAGAAGATCAAAATAACTTGTCCAACAAATGCTTCGATTGCAATTTGTGATGCGCCTTTATGCAAACCACTTGTCAAATCAAGATACATGTTTTGAAAACCGAAAGGGATGCCAGATATAGCAAGTATCACCAATTGAGGCATGAGCATTGCTCGCACTTGTTTTGCAAGTTTGGCGTGTGTTTGCTGGACATCACTACAACGAAGATTTCTAACTGTACCTAGTGTGCAGTAAGCAATCATGCCAGCAGGACCTATACCATAGACAAATGGTGTGAATACATAGGTATTAAACTTTGTGTATGCTCCAGGTAGAAATACACACACATGATTGATAATGCCTGTATGGAATATAATTGGAATATAGATTAATATCCAAAAAATAACGCTGCAAACAATAACTAATCGGACAACACGAAGTGAACTCCAGCGATTCCGAATCGTAACATATCGGGAAGTAGCGACATATTGATCGAACGCAGCCCAGCATGGAAATGATATGGCTGCAACGGTTGTGACATAACGTAAATATGTATGCTCCTTACAAGCTGCTACATCGGCGTTCATTAACGATACGTTAAAGCCATATACAAGGATCATTTGTATGTAGATTGTAGGAAGATGAATGCCAGTAATGATCGCGCCAGCCAGTAAATATGTCAAACTTGTATTTTGTCGAAATGAACGTTTCTGAAGGATGACAATAATAATCAATAGTGATCCAATCATTCCCAGAATCAACATTGGTATTGCGAATATATAATTGAGCAAACGTGTAAGCAAGTTGAACGTTTCTTCTAAAGACATCATTGCTGTGGTCGCTGGTTCGAATTTTTTAAATCTAAAAGTGTTGTTTAGACAAAAGATGAATTGATGTGAAGATTCATTTGCTCTTTTTCAGACGAAACGTCCGATATGCTGTAGAGAAAACACTTTGCACGACAAATAGTGAGTGCAAGTTCGAAGTTAAGATTCTAGCACATTACCTATCGCTCTCAGACACGTACACAAAAAGTGCAGGGATTATGGTAAGCTGTGTATCACTTTACTTACGAAAATATACGGTTAAATCAGTTGTTACCAGAACTAGGTTTCTGTTTTCAAAACTTCGTCTGTTTAAGAATGTTTCAGTAATGTGTGCATGTCGGTTTCACCTTCTGGTTTCCAGAGGCTGCGCCAATGAACTTTTTTTGATAACGACTATAGTATCTTTTCAAAAAGAGAGAAAATGTTAGAGAAATATCTATGACTTTTAGAAGATGACCTTTGCAGTTGTTATTTTCTAGAAATAACAATAACCGTCGTTTATCATGTTGAATGAACCTGATTGTTGCAAAGGATATTGTTTAGATTTTCAAACAAGCAATCTTTATTGTGCTTTGCCCTCAGGATGGAGTCGAGCGCATGACTTCGCCCGAATAACTCAAAAGAAAAAACGTCCGTCCGTATATTGTGTCAGTGAAGCGCAAGATACAAAAGTATGATAAATATTTAATCTCGGTGTCAAAGCATCGTTGAATATGAAGTTCTACGTACAAATAGCATGACTTTAGATGCATCAGACTATAGCTCACGAATACTGAACATCGCAAGTGATTGGTTACTGTATTATCTCTCTGAAAGTGGCACCTTAAACCTCATTATTCCAGATTCGTTTAGTCTTAATCATATGAGTTGGAGTTATGTCATCTAACAACATTGCGTCCTCCTGAGCATTAATATCTTCGTTAGCATTATAATGAAAATCCTTCGAGTTAATCAAGTTGATTCAACAGCATGAATGACGGTTATTTGTCGTTTCTAGCAAAAATGACTGAGAAAGTCATATTAGAAAAGCGTTAGACATTTTCTCTGTGCCTGATAATATGTCATTGCCATTCTGAAAACATCAAACTACTTTATATTTTCCGCTAATAAATTATTATATTTCTCATTATCAAAGATGTTTTCTGAAGCAAATCGATATTCATGGTTTTACTTTAAAACTAATCATAAGACAGGAAAAGACAAGTTTATTTCATCTTCTTAATTACACACCGTGCGTTATCTCGTATCAAACAATTAGCCCACTTATTATTATTGCCCTCATTTGAACCTTTGCAGATAATTTGTCCACTTGGGCATGTCAATCTATGTCACTTGGACACACAGCTGCATTTTTAAGTACCTTTACGTTCTTCTACTACATAATAAAAATCTAGATTACAACGCCAAAGTACCTTAAAACGCATTTCAGTTTAAATTGCTAGTAGGGAGCAAAATAAACGCAAATGATATGAGGATCACATCGATTTGATACATTTTGTTAAAACCTAGTCCAGCCATTGATGACGACGATTTGCGAGGCATGCATTCTGTCTTCATATCTTGCTTTGGTAACCTATTTTCCAGCCAAGGACGTAACACATCTATAGAGCACATTGCTTCTGAACACGCTATACATAGATAGATGAACACATTGAAAGACACGTGATTATTCAAGATAAAGATCTTACGTGGTGGTTGAATTGCATAGCCAGCAAAACTATCTGATGAGTTAAGGTATTCGATTTTCAATGCGTAGTTATTATTTGCTTTTAGGAAACGAAGAAAAACGTATCGTTAGTAAACAGGAGAAGGAATGCATGCGGTAAAATACCTGGTAGATAATACAGATCGAAGAGTAACGTAGCACAATAGGGAGGATGATGAAAGTAATTAGCATCGAAGAATGATAAAACAGCGACAATTGATGCATCATGCTACAGAATGGAAAATAGGTGTTGCGCTCGGTTTAAATCAAGTAAAGTTTATTTACACCGGAATAGATTTTGGTTTTATATCCACGAGATTGGTTTGCGATTAAATTCTGAATATTACTCCAGATGTCAGCTATTAGTGGACCTATAAAGATGAAGAATGAGATACAATTCATTTGTATTGAATGAATTTATTTCACCGGCAATTAATCGATTCGTGTCTGGCGAATCGAAAAGATAATAGAATGATAAATCAACAATTTGCTCAAGTTTCGCAAGAGTCATAGTGTCGGCCCATGATCCACTAACGTTATATAGAGCCTGGAACAAATGAGAAGACAACATAGTTTGCTGATATTGCCAAGGCTCACTTCAGTCAAAATAGCATCAGCTAGTATCCAAGCATCGAATAAATTGTTCACTTCCGATCCGGTCCAGTTCGATAAATGACGAAAAAATTCCTAATCGTACAAGTTTGCTATTGAACCTATTTGAACAGAGCAATAGAATTTTACTTGAAAGTCGTTGCTGATATTTCGAACTTGTTCTCCATTTTGAATCTGTTCGACAAGTTCAACGAAATATGGACATTGACTAACACCCATGATCTTTAAAGGAGAATTACATTTTTACGAGAAACTCTGTATCTATACGAACATAATCTTCTGAGGCTGGAACAGTATGGACAGGTATCGGTTGCCAGGGAAGCAATTCTGGCCATTCATCCTGATTCGATAAGTTTGATAGTATTTTTTCGTTTAATTTATCTTTTGATATTGGGTATAAACCCACTAGATTTGAATAGGCCGACATTAATGCTCTATCAGAGTCCGAACTGCGTACGTATAGCTGAAAAAAGTAAAGAAATCTAAAACATTAGATGAATTTCGTTGTAACATACCTCCGAAGCAACATAAGTTGTATTTAGTAATCGAGAATATCGTTGTCGAAGATGCTGACCGAGACGAATGTGTTGAAGTTGGCCACGACGTGTCAGTTGTCCAAAACCGTTGTGCCAGAAAGATGCAGAGACTGAGCTAGTTGAATATGCAAATATAGGCGTCCGATCTCCATGACGATAGACCTTTATGAAGAATGTATTAGTTAAATGGAGAGTTTTATTTCACGTTTATATAGTTACAATATGTGTACCGATCAATCGCGCATCTTGATCGACAGATCCAATTACGTGAAAAATTAACAATAAAATCGGGGAACTACGAAGCATAATCGAGAAAAATAACTGTTCAAAATTCGCTGTCACTTCACAAAATAACAGTTAGGTAGAGATGAAAATAGAAAAAGAAGAAGTTGATTACCATATTCCTTTTCATAGTACTTTTTATAATAAGACACGAGTAAATAGATTAGGAACTATGTCACGGGTATCTAGAGTAAATATCAACAATTCTGATGTCATGCGAGTGACTCATATTCAGAATAAATCACCAAGTGTAAAAGTCAGTCTGTTCTTTTTTGTTACTGGCTGTACAGAGCCAATAATAATATTTATTCAAATAAATTAAAGAAGCATAATTAACAATTCGATGTAGAAACAGGTTCTGTGACACTTACTGCCCCGTCGTCATACAATGTAATCCTCAGATTAGGTCGAAAACCTGTCGTTTCATGAGCATACCCCAATTGATTACTGACAACTCTTGTTGATTTTATAATAAGATCCGTTGATGCATGCGTATGACCATATATCCATAGACGAACAGGATCTACACAATCTGCATCGTGGTCATTGACAAAAGCATCGTCTATATCAAGATCTACGTCATATTTTGGAAGAGTATGATGACGAGAAGGTGCATGATGTGTGATGATAATAACATGTTCGCGATTCTTACGAGCTTTACTGATTTCTTCTAGCAACCAAGCGTGCTGTTGAGCATGCCATCGATTCGTATCGTCAACTGTGATCAGACGTCGTGTTTGGATGGTATCATCTCCTTCAAGTTTCTTATCTCTAGTCCAAATGTGATGATAATCGTTTAATAGTACGCCAATTGTGGATGCTTTCTCCTCGGAAACATGAGTCCAAAGCGTGGTTCCGAGTATCCTCACATTAAACGGAAGTAAATAACTTTGATTGTGTAAGAAGTGAATATGAGGATGAAGATTGTTTAATTCCTGAAGTTGCTGAAGACGCGTTTCGTACTCTCCTTCGTAGAAGCAGTGATTTCCCGCCACATAAAATATATGTTCGAACCTTTGACATTGAGCTAGAAGAAATTTTTGAAGCGATGGTAAATCAGGTCGTCCAATATCACCAGCGAGTATCAAGATCGATGCAACAGCTGGAAATTTTGGAACAACTTGTTGAGAGAACTCGAGATGTAAATCACTCATCAGCATGGTTTGAAAAATTGCCTTTGCATTGGGTCCAGGAGTTGTCTTACTCGTTTGACTACCCATTGTTGCTCGTTATAATATGATTGACGTCCTGTCTGAAGGTAAATCAATATAACAATACAAAAAAAAGTTTACTATAGAGCAATCATCGAAAGAGCATACTACCGCCCATGAATGTACTCCGACGTGTTTATGATGTGACTCATTCCTCTTTCTTGCATAACGTTACATTCATTTATAGTAAAGCTCCTTTGTGTCCACAACAGATTCATCCACTTACTGTGTAACAATGACATCATTTCTTGCGTTATGATTGTTTCTTCGAGTTACTTTACATGATGATTCTAATAGTTTGTCATATTCCGAAACAATCTTAAGGTCACAAAACGCACTATTCAAGTTTTTTCCCTTTGCATTGAGAATCGAAGATAAGAAAACAAAACATGTGTTCACTTCCTTGAATATACAATTTCAAAAGTTTATTATGAGGTCAAGATTTTATTCTTTGTAAAAGGCTTCGCAAAAAAGTCTCAGCTTGTTTGTAAATTCCGGGTGACGTTTGTTCTCTTGGGCCGGCAACGTTCAATGTCTCAATCTTATTTGTGTTAAGCCATTCAATGACCTGTCCTTCATCTATTTTTTCATTTAAATTAACTATAAATAGAGGTTTATGATGCTTTGCTGCCAAGGCTATCGTCAACTTTGTTCCCGAGCCCATTGACGCTCCATCTGCACTAATTATAAGAGTTCCGTCTGAATCTTCCACATTCATTTCAGTACGTTGTGAATATCGGCTAGCTGATGTTTCCTTGAGATTCGCGTATTTAATCGGATCAATAGTTCCGTCTTCTGCTCTTCGGTTGCGGGGACACCAACCACCGTATGGCCAATTTAATTCAATGGCCACATCCAAAGCCGATCGGTCCACACCAGTTTGTCCACCGGAGACAATTTTCTTTAACATTACTCTGGAGAATGACATCAACACTAACTGCCTTTTATAGTTAAACAAGCTTTCGAATACGACAGTTTATTTATTTATTCTTTCTTCATTTATTTCGAAAAAAAACAGTTGCAATAACTCAAATGAATAGTGCAATGCAATTGGCTAATCCTTCTCAATAAGTGTAATATTGAGTGCATGAAGAATGTGATGCATATATCTCATAAAGATGGCGCACTCGCATTCACAATCTCTACAAACGAACAAAATTTTGACTTAAAACACTGTCAAAGTACGTGAAAAGTATCGTTTTATTTACTCTAACAAATCAACAGTGAAACAGTCTGTTCACACGAAAATGTAAAAAAAAACAAAAAACTTCTGTATTCTGTTGTTACCAGAAGCTGGGTGCTCTTGTTTTCGAGATGTTCAACAGAATGATCAGTGAGTATACTTGTAACAGTAAGCAATTCAATGGTCAAGACTCCAATTAGAAGCAGTTTCACTTTTTCAGTTCTACACGCGCTATAATTCGACTCTACATGTTTGCAGAAGTTTTCATATATCTGTCGGTGATCGCTGGAGTTCGTTGTTGAACCAGTTAACGCAACGGAAAACTAAGTATATGTGATGTATTGTCAGTGGATACTGGTTGTACTGTTGTAAAAATCGTCTCACTATCGGCGATATCGAATGATGCAAACGTATTAGATTTTGCAGAATATTGATGTTATGTAGGAAAAAAAACGAATTGGTTTTAGAACCAGTAAGGACAAATAATTGGAAGAAAATGTGTCAATATCTACCTAGCGTTTTTCTACGTCAATAAATGGTTGCTCTAGTCCACAGTAACGACAAAGTGCATAGAAGTTTGCTAAACTATGACTTTCATTTATTGTTTAACGTCTTCGACAGTCTTATCAATGAAAGAATTTGAGATCAATCTGTCTTTAGCTAATAGTGTCATATTTATTGGGCTTCTACTATAACAAATAATCCGATCAGTTATCGCTTTTCTTTCGTATGTATTCTAATCTTCAGCGATTGCAAGACCATCGAATAGTTCTAAGGTTAATGGGCAAATAAGACGTAAGTTTTTATCAGTTGTGAACATATTTTCTGTTCTACTAACGCTGCAAACGATGATGATGTAATTGAGAGGAAGACGTATGTGAATTCTTATCTTTTCTTTCCATATAAGTGCATAAAAAACAATGTGTCCTTTTAATTCTCTTTTAAGCAAAATAATTATTAAAGAATACTCAGAAATCATGTCAATAACTACATATAGTATCAATCGTGCAAAATTGTTCATGGTTCTCGTTTTTTTTTATTAAGAAATAGTCAGAAACTAACGCGCTGAATGTCTGCACACGTCAACACTTTGTTGTTTAATCTTTTTACATTTCCATCCGAGTGCGTCATTGCATTTTCATATGTGCGGTAAAAATAACGAACGATGACGTAGTTAAATGTACAGCACCATCACAATTAAATAAGAAAATAGTTTTGTACGTCACTGGATGCGTAGCTAATGTTATAAACAATAACTTTTGCGCTGCACGTGTGTGTTGCCGTAGATTGTGCAATAATGAAGAGAAATACTTTCAACCAATGACAGAATATTTACGATCGTACACAAAAACAACAAAGTTGTCTAAAATATTAAAACTTTGCCGCTAACATGCCAGCTCCTTTCGACACAGAAGGTGTAATCAGTTTATTCGATGAAGCCATTGGCGAGTGGCCCGAGAAATTTCAAACAACAACGGATGAATTATTAGCAAATATTCAAAGGTTATTCGGTGTTTGTACAGAAGCATTGATTCAATTATCTAACTGTACAGATGACAATGAACAAGGAGTCAAAGATCAAGCAAATTCCGAACGTATTGTCTCGAAAGTGAAAGAACTAAGACAGTCACTTGGTAGTCGATGGCCAGAAATCTATAATAGTTTTGGCAGAGATATTTTTTATGTTGATACATACCGGATCGAAGCAGCAGAGTTTTTTCAACCTATTCCATTCTATCCTGATGATGATACTATTGTCAAGCTTTATCGTTGGTCAGTTTATGATACAAATGATACAATTGTTTGTCGGTACTTCCTCGAGAAGAGTGAGATTATATCTGGCCAACCGTATTTTGTTCTAGGAAAAACATTTCCTTCTGGCCATGCGCAAGTTAGACCATACGGTAATCTCCAGCCAAACTATAATCAAATGAAAATTCATCTTATTGAAAATTTAAAAGGTCAAGGTCCTCCTCCAGTTGCTTCTCTACTAATACCATCATAGAATTCAACATAAAACATAGAGAATATTATATCTGCTATTATTTTCAAGTGAATGTTGCTTTTTGGTGATTTGTTTTTCTCAAATATATCTTCGAACAATAGCTTTGGTCTGTGCCAATTTCAATTCCAGTGTAACATAACGTCAGTACCAAGTTATGGTAACACCGTGCATTTTTATACTTAAAAATTGGTAGGAAAAATAGAATTCGGATAGATACAAAAAAGTCGGCATCTATTATTCTGAGTTCTTTGTCTTCGTAATTTCGCATTTACGACGAATCATTGAATAAGTTTGGCACTGCTTGTTTCGCATTCAATAGTTTGCTATTCATTGCTCCTGATCTCGCCAAATCATGATAACCGAAATCATCATCCTCCTGTTTTGTTTCTGTCCACGTTCCTGCTGTGCTATCCAGTTGCCAGACTTGAATCGGTGCATCTTCCGTCAAGTTGACCTTGAGTTCTGCACCATGATTTTCAATGGTATATTCACCTAAAGGTAAATTATATAAACCTCGGAATCCACCTTCAATTGGTACGGTAACAGTAATTCCGTTGGCCCTGTTTGTAATTTTGAGTTCATCTTTCCATAGATCTCGTAGAATCAGATACGCTCCAGCTGAGGTCATTTTTTTTCTATAACGAAAGTATGTCAAATAGAAGTAAGTAAAGAGCTTTTGCCAATTGAGATTGAATGAAGAAAAATAAATCCGGTTAAGCAAGTTTTTGTACGATCAAATGGGATACGTTTTTTGCTCGTTCCTCTGTGTTCTTTTGCGTCATTCAATCTTCTCATCTGGTTTCTTAATCGACATGTATTTAAAAACAAGAATACTATTTGGAAAGAATTGTTACAAGATGTTGAATAACTTGGTGAATTGTATACCTTTCTTCTAACAGCGACAATGCGAAAGTTTTTTCTGATTGGTTCGAACCTCATTTCTTTTACAATTGCTAGTTTTCTTTGCAAGAAAAAAGAAAATAAGTATTAATCATTGTGTTTTTTTTCACTTCCGTCCAGTTTCGATGCCTAGGATATCAATTTTTCTACTGAAAAATCTTTTCAACATTCTCCTATTTTAAAATATATCCCTCATCAATCAATGTATATATAATGACGAATATTCTTTCATGGTTGAGTTGCTTGATTTTTTTCCTTCAGTCGCCCACAACCCGTCTTATTAATAAAACCCCATGACTTTGCTACTTTTGCATATTTTCTCATACGACTATTCATTTCAAGACATAGTATTTCTACATGGCTTCAACACCCATCAGCGGTCAAATTACCTCAAACGATTCATCTCATGTATTTGAAGGCGGCGAGAAAGTTCAAGTATCAGCCGTGGACGCCTCTCGTATGGATGCGCCAAGTGTTACACTAGGAGAACAGGAAATTATACTCAAACAAGGTCAAACATTTCCCATTGATTTTCAATTCTCTTATGACAAATCTCGTGCTGGACAAGGCTACGGTGGATTATGCATGCAAGCAAGAATCACAAGCAAAAGTCTACGATTGATTTACATAAACGATACTCGTACACCGCTGGTCGAAAATGTGACAATCAATGTTGTTAAAACATAAATGCTTCTCAACACACGAATTATATTCGAAGTCTAGAAATCAGAAAGAAACTAATTTTTAATAAATGCGCGACTGTACGAATTTTAATCTAACATAGTTTATTGACAAATAAAAATTAGTTGAATAGTTGCATCGATGTAAGCGGGTTTATTCTCAGTCATCTATTGTATTTTATAATCTAGACCAAACGATATGTCTCAGAGCAAGACGACATAGATAATATTGATCGTATTATCAACAATTAAAAAAAGGCACGTAGATCAAATCCGAAATAAAAAGCGTCGGTGTTTTTTTTTTCGTTCTGTCATTTAATATCAATAAAAAGGCGTAGCTTATCGTGCTATAATCTATTTTTCCACGGCGGTACAGTATAGAAATAGCTGTTTCTTTACAGCTGTTGCATTCTTACTACTTCTCCGTTTGTGACTGTCATCTATGCACGATGTTCTGCTTCTTTCATTCTTTTTAAATCACATTCAAATTATTGGTTGATTCTAAGCGTGTAATGACGCCTTCTGTTTTGTCATGTGATTATATATTGATCACGTATGTCGAATCTAAGTAGTGTTTTGCATTTTTGACTGTGAATTATGAGTGACAAAAACGACTGGGTGTTTGTCGAGAACGAGGACGAGACGAATGATGAACTCGGAGTGGTTGCGATCGAGGAAAATACAGATGAAAATGCTGAGGGACGAAGCAAGCCAAGTTATGCTGCTACTCTGTTGAGAAATATCGAACCAAATCATCAGCAACAACAACGACGACCGGCGTTATCATCGATCGGATCAAAAAAGATGAAATCAATGAATAACAAAGCTGACGAAGAGAAGGGAATCATGGCGTATGTCGAAGCAAAGCCTGGCAGTCAATATCGAAATCCTCGTGACAAAGCAGGTAAAAATAAAGTTCATGATGCTCGAAAAAGATCGAGTTCCCCACCGCGAAATATCGGCAATTCAGCAAAAACTGGCTGCTCATTTTGTAATACCAAATTGACAAATCGTATTGAACGTACTCGAAATGTACGCCAACAATGTTCGAAAGTAAATTGGAAAGATTACGATTATTAACTTGTATCAAGTTTTCATAAACATATTTCGTCGCGGTTTCTATATGCTCATCTTTCTGTGAATAGATCAAATACTCATGAAATGACCGATTTAAGCATATGATTAACGGATTGTAAAATAAAGAAGTGGAGATCTTTTATTTTCATCATAGATTATATTCTTGAAAATTAAGACGCACAAATAAACGAAGACATGTATTTAAACTCGCGGTTTTAATACTGCTTGATATAAGGTTCTCTGTGTGTGTTCAACTAATGACAAGGTCATTTGTGAACTGTTGACTTCAACCATGCTAAAACCACCAAGGAGAAGTCCAGTACCCCAGAAATATTTCAGTGAACCGGCAGGAACAGCAGCAGCATGTTTCTGACTATTTTCGACGATATTTCCGGCGCCAACAACGAAATAATCCATATGTGAACCATCGGAATCTTCAGCCAAATGCTTTGAAATAGAAAAAAATTTATATTTGATAAATTTTATGAAATCAGTGTTACTTGAAGATTATGATCATGACCACAGATATAGGCTGTTGCCTTGTATTGATGAAGTAAAGGACGAAGACGGTCAACGAGACATTTAGTCGGACCGTGTTCAGCAACGGAATAGACTGGAAAGTGACCACTGACGATTAAGTATGGGGCACTTGAAGGGAAAAAGAAGTCGAGGAAGAGAACTCTTTGAAATTATCCTTTTGTTTTTAATGTAGCGACTTACGTGGATTGACGAAGTTGTCCTTCAATCCATTGCCAATAGGCTTCGGCAACGCGATTATTCTTTGGACCATCTACTTCTGTTTCTTCCCAATCGGTTAAGTTTCCTCCTCCACATAGTAAAACGGTATCGATTATAACAAAGTCGACCAATTTTTTCGATTTGTCACTTTCCCATAAGCTGAATGCATAGAAATAATCTGGATAGACCCTGTAGAAAAAATAACACAACATGCTGATCGATCCGTTGTCTGATCGCAAGTAAACGATTTACCATCGATGTGACACTTTGCTGTATTCGATCTGTGCGGAAACGTTACCTAGATGATCATGATTACCGGCCAACACATACCAAGGGGTTTGTAAAGATTTGGCGGTAAACACATCTTCGAATGTATGCTAGAAAAAAGATATTGAATAAAAACGAGAAAGAGGCCAATTCATGTTAATCGAACTTTAAAACGTGGATCTGTAACTGATTGAACACCATCATAGTAGAAATTGTCACCTAATGCTAATTGAAAGCTAGTATTGAATTTTTCACCGATATGACCCATAGCAGCTGCTACTGCTACTTCGGATGGTGTCTTATATGGCACAAATGGTAAACCACCCCAATCACCGATAATCAAAAATCGTGCATTACCATCATCAGTTGCTTTTGCTGCAACATCATTTTGTCCTGCAAAAAATCGTAATTCAGAAAGTGAAAAAGAAAAGCGATGGTTGAGTACAAAACTTACCGAAGTTCGATGGAAATCCGAATGAAAATTGATAGAAGATGGTAAGAGAGAAAATCGCGATGAGAAGCATGTTGTGGGTATAAAAAACACGCAGATAGGCGAAATGACGGTGTGAAAAGAAGCACCAGCAAAATATATACATGTGGATTTCTCTCACGGTCGAATACGCAGATGCATTCTATTCTAGAACAAACGAGTTTTTCGCGTTGTGATAAAAAAAAGCGTCATAAGCATTACCGATAAGAAAGTTATGTACGTTAAAAAAACTGGAACGACAGATTCATCTTTTTTATTGAAAATATCTAAAAGAAAAGTCGAGATTCTTTCTTCAATTTCTGTACATTGCAGCCAGTTACTCGTTTAAAATTTGTTTGCATAGTTTTGACTTCTTCGCTGGGAAGAACGTCCAACAAATTCGTGGAGTCGTTCGGCGCACGTTCACGATCAACTTTTAAAATCTCTTTGGAACCGTAATGTCGTGTTGCCAAAATCATCTTATTCGAAGCTGAACGTCGAAGATCATCGCATGCTTGTAGACCTTGAGGAGTAGCATCGTATCGATGGAAAGAAAGAATCCATCCGCGAACATCAAGTACTTTCACATGACCAGTCATCGGTAATCCATTGATAATAATTGCCGGTTTCACAAGTTGATGCATATCAAGAAAACTCAATTTCATATTGGATATCAACGGCAGGAGATCTTGCAATCTGACCCATGTTATTCTAGTCAGGTATTTTCTGAGATAGTTGTACTATTGCATCAGTGATTCGAGCAGCACAAGTCCTATTGATAAGATTTTTTATTTATATAATAAATGATAAGTTCCACGTCATCGGGATTATCCATGAGAATGATTGTTCGTCCATTCAAGTAGAGTTCATCAAATGGTCTGATTTCAAGGTAAATATGAAATCCTCGCCAGTGAGGACATCCTACATCAGGATATAAAATTTCGCGTACAGTAGAATTAATTTTTGATTGAGTTGAGTAGCTGTTTCACCGATTTTATCTCGTACATGACGAAGCAGTAACTGTTAAAAGTCATCTTGATGCATTGACGCCTCGTGCTTCTCCATCAATCGGCTGTCGTTGGCGTGTGCAAAAAAGCGCCTTACCAGTACGAACACTGATTTCATCCATTTCATATTTGAGTCCAAGTTCATTCAACAATTTTACACAAAACGATTGAAAGTTAACAGCATAAGCCAATCGGCTCATGAATAAGAGCGGAATAGCTATCACTATGCAAATATAGTGCAGTAACTAAGCTACCTGTTTGAGCACCAACAATAAGAACACTGGCAATGTTCGATTCAGTTGTTTCGTGTTCATCAGTAATAGTTGCCATTGCACTGTTAGAAATGACTGACCTAATTTATCTATTCGTACCATATGACAGTAAGAGAAAGCATACGAAACGTGTCACAGAAAAGAAAAAAAACAATTATGTCACCAGTAGAGAAACGAAAAATAATACACATAATAGGGTATATCGTGTCGTCATTTAAATCATCGATTAACACTTTGTTCGACTTATCAAATGAACTTTTTAGTATCAAATATTGTACTACGAGGTTTTCTATATTACGAACATTATCGGTGACCTATCCGAATAACACAATCCGGTATGCTATGTCCATTCGAAAACTCAAAGCAAAACTGATTTTGCGAGTGCTTTAATCGTTTTCACATTTTATGCAATGATGTAGTCTACTGCATGTTCTTCGTCTGATTTCTTTTCTTACGTTCATCTCTTCCGTATGTGAGATTGGCAATGATTGTTGCGAAATGCATGTCGTCAAACTGCGTCAAGATGTATAGTAATTAAATCAGTAAATCTGTTCGATCAATACTAGTCAACTCAAGAGGGATTGATCAGTACGTACTGTAAATAGGTTTTTCCTAATTTTATCCTTACCCTTTCGTAGTATATTCGAAAATAATAAGAAAAACAAGATACATATCAGGTACTATGATGATATTATATTTATCAAATAAGTAATGTGTTCTATACAAAAAAAGATAATTTTCGACAAATTAGTCACCGGTTAATCAAAAAGACCAAACCCCATATCAGCTTCATCACATTCTTCTTTCAAATGAGCCTGATGACGGTACCCTTGTGAAATAATTTTCGAACTCATATTTTTGTTTTGAAATTTTTTCTGCATGTGCTCGGCTAATCGAAGTAACATGGACACCGATCCTTTATCGTCATCAAATTGTTCAACATCTTTAAGTAGTTGAATTTGTTTTTCGACAACTTCAATCGCAGCCTGTCGTTGGCCACCTGCCATCAATTGAGCAATTTGTTTATCCATTTCAGATGCTTGTTGAGAAGCATACATAATCTTCACGCGAGGATCAACATCTATAACAAGTGCATCATCTTCAACAAATCGAATCGATAATGTATTTTTAATGGAACATGGTTCACCAAGAAGATTATCCGGTTGATTATATCGTAATTCGTAGGCGAGAACTTCAACATCAGTGTTCGCTGCGCCGGTGGTCGTAAACTCACATAGAATTGATCGAGAGTTATTGCTAAAGAGATCACCGAGACTTGCCCCAGCAACGAGATCGTCATGTCCCCAAATTTTGGTGACAGTTGCTCCGTTTTTACCACGCACAAGAAGACGAACACGGGAAGCACATACGCCAAAGACACACACAAGTGCTTTAGTAACAAGTAATTCGATCAAATCAGACGAAGCAAGAAAATAAAATCGTGCTCCACCAGAATCAGCAATACCTTTCATAACTTCGCTGTCGAAATCAGCACCAATACCAAACGAGTCAGTTATAATACCTTTTGTATTGTATCCAGCAACGAGTTTCGTTAACTCTTCTCGCCTTGTCATTCCAACATTGGCTTGACCATCAGAAAAGAGGAACATTCGTCGTGCAAATCCTTCGTAGACATATTTTTCGAGAAGGCCTGCACCGATTTCGAGAGCACCGGATATGTTTGTTGATCCAGCCGTTTCAATATCGTCAACCAAAGGATAAAGATATTGACGAGAAGATGCTCGAGCATTTTCAAAGATAACAGACACATCACTATCGTAAGCTATGAGATGAACAACATCGTCATCATGAAGAAGATTGAGGACGGACACAATAGCTTTCTTGGCAAATGTTAATTTGTCGTTTGATTCCATCGAACCACTGCGATCAAGAACAAGGACAAGATTGAGTGGTGTGCGTTTGTCATTTTCTCCTTTAGCTTTCGTTTCGATGTCGAACCGAACTTTTTTCGTATTTAAAACTCCACTAAGAGAATTTGGATTGTCTGGAATGCAGCGAAGATGAATCGTTGCCAGTTCGTTTTCAGCAGTCATGTTGAGTTAATACACTGAAATTGCTCTTCGTTAAGAAAGAATTAAAGTCACGTATATATTGTTTCCACCGTTCGAAAAAGTCAAATGCTGTGAAGGTATTACCTTGTCGCTAAATAAAACTTTTAATGAATACATATTCAAGGTGTACTATTCCTTTTATATGTCGCACACGGCGAGAAGCTGTTGTGCAATACTGAGTTGAGTCATGTTATTTCGTAAGTATGATTAAAAAGATACTAGATAAGTTAGCCATATGCCACGATTCAAATGAAATTGTTTCGTTTCAACCTCTTACTCATTTCAACATTCCTATGCTACGTAAATTTAATCTTTATAGTATCAAGCACTTGGTATTGTAGTCATGTCATTTTTCAACAGCATTCATTATTGAAGTGACAGACATAACTGGAAGAGCATTTTCAAACGACAAAAACGAAAATATTTCTGTAAATGAGTATCGAGTATGGCTATGTATCAATGCATGAGTAACTGCCACTAGGACAATCCGCTGTCATGATAATATTATGATTTAACATAGCGTTACATATGTAACTCAATCAATAGAAAAACTACACTATCGCCAATAATGTCGTTAGTGACACTACTAAGTGGAATCGGATAATCTAATGGTATTATAAACAAGCAAATATGGATTATTTGAAAACTTAATACACAAACTATGTCAAACGTACCAAAATATAAAATACGGAACTTGAATATTTAAAAGTACGAAATCTTTTAACGGAGAACATTACTGAGTTGACCGTAAGACCAAAATTTCATCTTATTTACTGTATTAATGAGTTTTCCAATCTTCTGAACCAAGCAAATATTCGACCGAGTTTACAACATATGTCTGTTCTTGTTAGTGGAAATCTGAAAGTCTTTTCGTCAGATACAAATTAATTGAAAATGCTGGTGCTATATAGAATGAGCTTTACTTTCTAATGAAGATTCTGATTTAGAATACGGTTTCAGTTAATATTGCAGCGTTGCAGTATACAGAATAAACTAGCAAGCCTTATGAATTTTTGATAGGATCCGTTTCTCATTAAAAAGAACACACCAGTATCTGATACTATTTTAATGAGAAGTATGAAATACTTGACTGTTTTTTGTTGGGCCTGCTTCATAACATACCTTGCATTTTACCAATTACGTTTCTACGTTCCACAAATGTATTGACCCTTTTGCAATGTTTACGTCTCTCTCTTTTTCTCTGCTTGTAAATTATGTTAATTTCATCACAACTAATTAATTACACGAGTAATTACTTGTGCGACGAATCATCCGTCCACCATAGGCGTATTGAACAAGACGGGTTATATTAGGATTATCCGTATCAACATGGAAAGATAACATATTGAAACACAAAGCTTTTAAGTATCATATTGATGCATATCATCTTCTAATTACATTTCTTGGAGAAGACCGACTATTATAGAAATATCTGTCAGTGCCATATTAGCTTACAGGTGAAAATGCTATTGGACAAATTCTACTGTATACAAATCCGCTCAGATATGATTTCATTTCGTCGGTACGCAGGAGGTGGTACCATATAACGCGATAGATGTTTTTTTTGCTGTCTATGTCCCAGCTGGTGGAAAACGAATTTCTGTTCAAGAGAACATGAGAGAAGTACCAAATAACTGCTGAAACTTTCCTCCTGATACAAATTGAATTTTAAACAAAAAACAAACTGAATAGAAAATTAGAAGTCAAAGAAATGATGTCGCGATGCATGTCTAACGAACGTCTTTTTATTAATTATTTAAAAAATATTTTATTTATAATCAGTTTCATAATATTCTAAAGATTCACGTTCCCATGCTGAACTTATCAGTCTTTCGCACAAATCTGTTTATTTGTTCTGAGTAATAACAAATTCTTCAAATGCTTTCGATTGTACATTTTCTTCATATGAGGCGCCAGGTATGGTATAAAAATTGAAGTGATAATCAGAGCAACAATAGTTAAAACCCATTCCAACGGCACTAACCATGTTGGAAGTTTACCATAGATAAGGTAAACAATAGGGAAAACAGCGTGTGGTATAGCACTTGACGAAAGAACTGATAGTAAACGAACTATACGTTTTAAAATAGTCAAATCTCGACGAACGCGAACTCGCTGCTTGAAAGTAACAATAGTTGAACTATTCTTTCGAACATAAAATATCGTATGGAAATAGCAACAGGCCATAATAGTGAACGGAAAAAGGAATCCAACTAGACAGACTGTTAACGATCCACGCATATTTGCTGGCGAGAATTGGCAATAAAAGTTATATGGTAAATATTGAATGTCGCCTATGATCAAACTTGGAAACAATTCCACTGCAGACAGAATCCATTGACCTATTGAAATGACAACATACAAACTAAATGGTTGGCGCGTCGTTTGTAACGGATAAAGAATTCGACAGATACGATAGATCGCTTGGATTGAAAATGAATGGAAAAACGTATAGCCGCAAATGTAAAGAATATAAGCTCTTAGACGACATGACCGAACATTGAATGATAGATGAGGGTACAAATATCCATAAAGATAATGAAGGGACATGTCAATGAAAAGGCAACTGATAAAAAACACGGCAATATAAGTATTGGCAATAAGGAGACAATGAATACATTTGCCTTTGATCGCTATTCGATGGAGAATCATAATAATGAAAATAAAAGCGACGATACATATCTGAACGCACGATAAAATGAAAAGAATGGAGTACAGAATAAGATTTACACATTCTTTGGACATTATATGAACTAAGACTTAACAATTTGTGCGTTACGCTCAAATAAACAATGTGTTTATAACAACCTTTAACTATCTAGAAAATAATTAATAAATATTAAATAAATAAAAGAAGAAACTGAAAATGACGTCTGTGCAATAGAATTTGTTAATGAAGAAGGAAACGCACTCAACATATTACACTTACTGGTGTAATAAAGTAATGATGACGGTTATCATTAAATGAAAAACACTGTAAATGATTTGCTGCGTTGGTGATAGAAAGTACATAATCCCAAATGGGATGACGATCCACTAGAGACAAAGCGGCCTTAGAAGAGCTTAAGCTTGTGATTTAGATTAAACGTTCTTCATGCCCTCAAAAATTTGTCTTCAAATGTTCGAACTACTGTTGTATTCATCACTTTCTTTCTTGTTTTCTCTTTCCTATTCGTTCAAACATTAGAATTGTCGAGAAGCAAATGAAGGATATGTAGTCCACATATGATCAAAGTACAACCGTGTAGAGAGAAACGGAGAGGAACGAGATTAGTGATGTCAGTGAGCACAGGAAGGATTCCTAATACTTTGTAGTTACTTTTCAAACGATGAATCTAGAGTTTCTGATTATTATATTTTACAGAAAAGAGAAAAGCTCGTGTTTCCATTTGGATTGAATTACAGAAGTTGTTGTTCTGTTTTCTAAAGAAAAAGAGGAAATTGAAGGCAGCTTTACTCGAAACACTATGAATTCAAAATACGGATTTGAAAACATCCTTCGAATGGTCTGATACACATTTCAGGCAAAACAACAAGATAAATACATAGAAAATACCAAACAGATTGAAGGAAAGTTGCATGTTCGCTATATTTAAAACCTCTTAGTAGCTCAAACTGCGGCTTATTCGGTGTTCTTTCTTCACATATGGCGTTACTTAGCAAACTTCGGATTTGGTATTGATTTCTATGGTTTTAATCGTTGACATTAATCTAATTTTCATTTCTTTAAACTTCATCAATTTAATGCATTTGAAAAACAGGAAACAAACCCGAGGTCATCTATTATATAAACCGCCTTCTGAAGTAAAGAAAAATATGAAACAAATCACTGATGAAAGAAACAAAGATTGCTATCTTATCATGTTTTTACTTTCTAATAAAGATTCAAGGCACGTTATCTACGGCACGATCAAAACACGATATTTGATTAGTCGAGAGCAACACTGGTGTAATATTTTTGCTTGTTTCTCATCTGTTTTTCTATAGCAAATGTATTTGCTACCAACTGTGTTATGTCTGGTTTTGCTAGGGATAAATAATATTTCTGATGCCCAGAAAACATCATATAGTCAGTTGCTTCCGGCGAACATCCAGCCGTGCCATGTTCGTATACAACATATGGACGTCACTACACATTCGGATATTGTTATTGATACGCATACACCACATTTTTCATGGCAATTGGCCGACGAATATTCTTTAAGTGGTGAGCTAATTCGAAATATTCGACAGATAGGTTACCATATCCGAGTGTATAATACGATCGCCGATCAGTTAGCTTGGGATAGTGGTTATGTGTCATCGCCGCTATCATTGTATACTCAATACGCAGGTGTTCCTTTTTCTTCTGATACACGTTACAATGTTTCCATTAAATACTATACAATCGAACGTGAAAGTCAATGGTACACAGCACGATTTCGTACAGCACTGTTTTCTCTGACAGATTGGACAGGTCAGTGGATTGGTAGTAATTATATCAATATGAATCAATTACGAACTGTTGTTGATCTTAAACCAATAAAAATTCAATCTGCTTCTGCTTTCATCAGTGGTGTTGGCTTCTATCAAATGTATATTGAAGGTCAATTAATTGATCCATCGCGTCGTTTAGATGTTGGCTGGACTACGTATCAGCAACGTACACTCTATACGTCATACGATTTGACCGATATAATAAATACGACGAATGAACGAATGGGCGTTGGCATTGTATTAGGACAAGGCTGGTATAATCAGCAACAATGGGCAATTTCACTTAATCCACATATTACACTAGCTGAGCAGTATGGTCCACCACGTGCATTGTTACAATTGAACATTCGCTACGTTGATGGTACTAATCAATCAATTGTTACCGATTCCTCATGGCTAGGTAGAGAAGGTGAACATCGGTTTGATTCAGTCTATATGGGTACAACGATGGATCTTCGAGCGACACTTGCGTGCTGGTCATGCGCTAATTTTAGTAACTTTTATTCAGCATGGTTGAACGCTTCTATATTATCGTCACCCGTCGATTTTACAGCTGGAGGTCAGTTTTCATTACAAATCATGGATCCGATTCGAATCGGTCCTGGCGCACTTCATATTGCAACATCAGGTCAGTTTGGTCAACTGGATGGAGTTCAAGGTGCCAGTCTAACGGATGGCGGTGTTCTCAAACCTATTTCTCAGGACATGATCAATGGGCAAGTTTTTGATCTTGGTCAAAATTTTGCTGGCTGGTGTAAAATATCGTCATTGAACGCAAGCAAATCAACGATTATTCAAATGCGTTATGGGGAGCTGCGATATTCACGTGGTGTCAATGGTATTGATTTCGCTGGATTATACTATGAAAATTTGGATAGTATTGCCGTGATGGATACCGTTGTTCTGAATGGAACAGGGAACGAAGCATTCGAACCTCTATTCACTTCTCATGGATTTCGTTATTTGTTAGTAAATGGTTACAATAAAATTACTAAAAATGATGTTGAATGTTACAATGCTCATAGTGAAACAACGTTGATCGGTAATTTTAGTAGCAGTAGCGTTGTTTTAAACCAAATTCAACATAACATTCTCTGGTCACAATTGAGCAATTCCATGTCTTTACCTATGGGTTGTCCACAACGTAACGATCGAACAGGATGGTTAGGTGATGCAGGTCTCAGTGTTGACGCTGCCTTGTATAATTTTGATTATATCGGTTTTTATTTGAATTTTTTAACTATGATTGCTGATAATCAAACACCCGAAGGTGCCGTCAGTGATACCGTACCATTTATGACTGGTTTTCTTCCTGCTGATCCTAATTGGGGTACGGCGTATGTAACTATTACGTGGTGCTTATATGAACACACAGGTGATATGACTATACTGGATAGATATTACGTTGGTATTCAAAAATGGATTGATTATTCAATCGGAGGATATAATAAAACTGGTCTAGCAAATATGTACTTCCATTTTGGAGATTGGGTACCAGTGCAGAAAGTGAGTAACAATTCGTTGGTATCTTCATATGCTTTTTTGCGTGATGTATACACGTTTGTGAATATGAGTCAGCTGCTGAATCGTACGGCAAATATTGAAAGATATTCGACGTTTTATCAACAATTAAGTGAAGAGTGGAACCGTGTTTTCTATAATGCAAGTGTAAATGGATATGTTGATGGAAGTCAAACAGCAAATATATTATCACTGGCTTCGCCTAATGTTGTACCAAGTGCTCTTCGTGACACAGTTCTAAACTCGCTGATCACCAATCTGCAAAGCACGGGCTATTTTACAGGCGGTATTATCAGCGTTGCAGCTTTGTATCCGCTGCTATCGAAAGAAGGATATCACGATTTAGCATTGAAACTTGCACTTTCGACCTCTTACCCATCGTACGGTTATATGTTTAACAATCAGATACAAAATGCAACGACCACATGGGAACAATGGAATAGTTTACCAAATGGTGCCAGATCGTCTTTGAATCATCATATGTTCAATAGTATCGGAGGATGGTTCTATCGATATTTAGCAGGAATTGAATTGAATGCATTAAATATAATTACGATTCAACCGCGTATGACCTACGCAGCCGATCTTTTGAACTTTGTTGAAGCAGAAGTTGTTACAATAAGAGGATCCATTGAAGTGAAATGGAGACGCGCATCAAATGAGAGTATCCTTTTGTCCGTTGTTATTCCAAACAACATGAATGCCGTTGTTCACTTGGATCCGTTGATTCGGAATGGACGTTGTATGAAATTAATGTGCGATGACAATATTATCTGGATAGTTGAAAATCAGGTCGGTCAACGAATTTGGTCAAAGCATGTACTTGGTGTGACTGATCTTATGGAAGACCCGGTAAAAGGTACACTTTTAGTGAAAGTAGTATCTGGTGCGTATAAGTTCATGGCAACTTGGGAATAAAATCCGACGATAAGAACATTCAGAGAAAGAATACATTGTATGCCGGTGCTTTAGACACACTCTATTGTTTCCTTTCACTTTTTCGACGATCAGTAGACATATTTAACGTTATCGGAGACTTTCAATAGAAGAATTATCGTTTGATTATAGAATTTACTCCAAGTCTTATAATAATATTCATAAAAAAAACTGTCTGTTTTTAAGTATTCACTGATCGACTACTTCGTACTAGAGAATTTTCGATCGCTCCGCAATACTTACATTTTTGTGTAACGAACAAAAAAAGGTATAGTCTTAATAAGTATAAACATCTTCTAGATTTGCTCATTTATTTTTCTGAAAGGAACGTTTTTACAATCAATCTATTAACACAAATTGAAGTGCTTTGAAGCATTACACAGCGTGTCTTAAGTCACGAGGAAATATCATCTATGTATAGGATATATACGATGCTGTTGTTGTCTGAATGTTCTTGTGCGACATTCTTTCGTTGTAACAATATAGGCAAATGGTGTAGTTATATAAATAAAGTAAGGCATATAGTAGAGCCAAATATGTGAGACGTCGATGAGAAAATCCGGCACTAGGAATATTTGTACCAAGCAGAGAATAGCTAAAGGGACTTGTGTAATAAGGAATACGATAGTGATACCAAGTAACTGGATAAGTAAGTTCGCTGTTTTACGCCATTGCAATCGTCGATTTTTAAAACTTGATCGAAGCCAAAGTTTCTGCACAAGAATTCTTACTAGAAGAAGTAAGTTGACGATAATGATTATCATTGCAGGTATGAGAACAAGGAGAATCCAATCCGTCGTCGCTATTATTGAGTTTATGTTAAAACATGGTCCTCCACATAGAAATCGCGTTTCATCGAACCAATTTTCAGTACACGGATGAGTAATCGTGACGATAACATACCAAAGAACAACGAAGCCATGGATAATTATGAGCGGTAAGTCACACCTGGTAAACGTACTTAATAAGCGATGATAGAATATTAGAAGATATCGATCAATAGATGCCCATGCCATCAACCAAGCTGAAATGCCCTGTAATGCATAGTTACCTGTGACCCAGTACAAGCACAATGATAAATTGTAGATACGTCCGGTTTTCAAGTAAGGCATGGTTATGGCTGCAAGATCGTATGTAAGTTCAATAAAATCAACAATAATAATGCAGATCATAACATGATTCGTACGATGACGTAGTTTATGTTTACGTGCAATACATATCATGATATGAAGTGAACATAGAAGTGATGGCCCTAATGGAATTGCGAAGAGTATCAATTTAATAGTACGTGTGAGAGAAGTTTCGATACTATTTGTCGATGATGATGTTTCATTTGACATACTTCTTGCTGTCGAGTGGGTTTTGTATTATGATGGAAGTTTTTCAGAGAATACTCTGACATATAGACAATAAAATCTATTTTTTCTCTTTCATTGAACGTCAAATAGATAGTTCATTATAATTTTTTTGTGTCATATGACTAATTAATAGAATATTCTACTTTAAAATAAAAAGTCTTTTTAATTGCATCTACTAATTTCGTCATTCAATATGGAAACTCTTTCGAAATAGATGATGCGATGAGGCATAAATTTTCACTTATCATCTCAATTAGTGGCTCATAGCCGACTAATGCTATTCCAAGAGCATTTTTTGCATATAACTAATAAAAATTATCTCTTTGATCCCTATGAACTCTATAGTACCTCGTTCTTGAGAAAAACAAAACAAAATCAACGTAGAAGTCATATTTGATACATAAAACAAACTGCTTATTTGTTTTTCTTATTTAAGTTCTACTTGTTCATGAAAGATTCCATCCAATACGTTAAACTTGTTCGATGCCTATCACCTTGATTGGTACCTTCTGAGGATACTCTCCTTCCAACCAAGAAAAGTACAACATCTCATCACCGATCAATATTGGACATTGAGGACTAATCGATTTTGTATCGGCAAGTTTCAAATCTATGCGCTTGATCACTTTACCCGTATCCATATTAAGCGCAGTAATAAAATAAACATATTTTTGTTTTTGATAAAACGGTGAGCCTGATACGACGTAAATAACACGACGTTTACGATTCATTGAGATGCAAAATGATATTAAATTGTACGTTTTTATTTCACTTGCTGTTGCCAACGATGTCGTCCATAAAGTTTTCCCCTGTTTATCAATGGCGAATGCCAAAGGTATGCTGGCCATATAAACCGTTCCATTTTCATCTATAGTAGGCGCTGTTATCATATCATTGTTGAGGATAGATGCAGGTGCCTTCCATGTCCAACGCGTTTTAATCTCGTGCGTTGAAACATCACTGGATGAAACAAAGAGTTTCCATGGCAAACTCGAACCATCTTGCCAAGGTCGGACGATAATTTCTTCCTGTGAATCCAAAACAAAGTCTATGCCAGATAAACCCGGTTGTGTGTCGTTATTGAATATTTTATGTCCATCGTAATCGAACTTCAACAGACGATCATCCCCGCCTATCCATAATATATCTCCCGTTTTCAGGTCACATCGATATTGTCCTTCCATACCAGCTCCAAAAACATGTCTATCGATCCAAATCATTTCTAGGGTATTTTTATCTAGCACAAGCGGTATCGATTCAAAATCATTGTCGCTCACCGCAGTAATCAAACGATTGTGATTCTCTTCTAAAGTCAATGGCGCATTCACATACATAAATAGATCGTAATTTTCAACACACTCTTGTGTAGGATGCGATGTTTGAGCATGGGTAACTCGACAGATCTTGGCGGTATAGATCGTATCACCTGACCAAGAGATGGTATAATAGAGAACGCCTTGTCGATCGGACACGATATTGGAAACACCAATAGGATCCATTTCTGGGACTGTTTCGACAAATAAAGTCCATCGAACTTTTCCATTCAGAGTTAAGCAAATAATCCAATCAGCTAAAAATACCAGATTTACATCTCAGTGAATGAAGATTCCACGATTAGAAACATTCATACCTGGATGACCTCTTATTTGACTCTGAAAGAAATACATATCGCCATTGATTCCAGCAGCAAAACCAAATTGAGTGGTGTCTTGCGATGTTAAATTGAATTCATATGTCCATGGAAGTTTAGAATAATTCGTCGGCAGAGACGGTACTATACGAAAAGTATTTTGAGGATTACCTTTACCCATAGACCACAGTCCATCCGGTTCGTCATTGTTCACTCGTGTAGCACGAATATCGAGGCACTGATAGCAAAGACTATAAACTAGCAACCACACGCAATAATATTTCATCTCGTACGTTTAGAAAAGAAAGAAATTCATTAAGCACGAAAAGATAGCTTTCTACTTTTTATCTAGATATTGAAGTATAAATCATCTGCCGATTTTCACACAATTAGATAAGAGCATACTCGTTTAACGAAAAGTATATATACTGAGATAATCTCTACATTAAAACAGAGCACTGTGCTTTATCGGTGGTATACATTCAAACAATATCTAATATCGATACAACAGTAGAATTATTTCTCCGCACTGTCGTCAAATTCCATACGTGTATTTAATTATTTAAAAAGCACGACAATAATCACTACATGTCTGATACTGATCGATAGTCCACGACAAAATTACACAAACAAGGATATATTAAAACTGCTCATTGAACTCTTCAGAAAGATAATTTCATATTGTGCGCTTGTTTTGATCTTAATCGACGTGAGAGAGAGTGAGAAATTGCCATTTCTATTCACCTTTTATTAACATGCTTATCGATGAGTAGACGCAGTTATTTTACCTGATAAACCACTCGTAATAATGATCATGAACATGGCTGTAGAATATCAGTTTCTCGTTTCAGAATATAACTGATGTCGTGCTATCCATCAGATTCTTTGCCAACGATTCTGACGATTGCGGACTCCTATAGTGATAGTAGTAATGGAATACAAATCGATCTTCAAACTTTTACATCATTATCAACGTTTGGCATGTCTGGTGAGTTCAATAGCTTTCTGTAGCTTCGACTGAGTATTCATTTGTATTTACTATAGTAACTACTGCATTGATACCAATGGAAAGTTCGAATAATGATGCGATACAATCGGTACCTATCGAATTCATTTCGTCTCAATATTGTGCACTCGTCAATAGAACGAAGTTCACAGCTTTAAAAATAGGTATCTACACTCATTTGCCAATATCGAAAAAAGATTCGTTCTTAACGCCGAAAGTTTTAGGTACATTACAGTCGTTGTCTCTGATTAATTGTATCATACCACTACTTGCTGATATACAAATACCTATTCTTATTTTTGATCCGGTGGTAGTTAGTAATAATCTATCATCAAATACTCTTGATATTCTACGAACTCAACTTCTGCCAAAAATCACATTAATAATGCCTACAATTGATGAAGCAGCTGCTCTACTCCAATGTGAAATCGATTCATTTGAAGGGATGAAAGCAGCTGCCCAAAATCTTCATCACTCAGGTGCAAAATATGTTTTGATTAGAAACAATAGTTTCGCTGATCGTTCATCACAATTCACTGAAGACGGTAATAGCAAAAACGACTTTATTATGGACGTACTTTTCGACGGCACGAATTTCACTCCTTTCAAAAGTTTTTATTTTTCCGGTGCTAACCGTTGTAAATACTCTGCAGCTATTACTGCATTCTTAGCTAATGGTATCGATATAAAGCAAGCGATTGAAGATGCTATTGCATACACTAGTAATGTTTCAAAATACGTAGAATCGGACAGCGTAGTTGATGATAATACAGCACAGGAAGAAAATCCATACGAAATAGGAACACCGCACGGATCTTTGTCAAAGTCATCATTCGTTCAACTATTGAAAACACAATGTGCACAAGAATGGGTAAATTAGTGATTCTACGCTTCGATCACGTACTTTTTTTCCTATTGTAGTTCGATTACACTCACCATCGGTTTGTACAAGAGCTGGGCCGTGGCACTCTACCACAAGCAAGTTTTCAACATTATCTAATTCAAGATTATATATTTTTAACCCATTTTGCTCGATGTTACAGTTTAATCGCATATAAGTCCAATACTATGGATGAGATTATGCTTGCAGCCAAGAACGTCTGCTTTATCGGATACGAAAGTAAACTTCATATTGCATACTGCGCTGAATGGGGTATTGACATTACCAAGTTGAACACGATGAAAGAAGCACGCGCTAATTTAGCTTATACACGCTATACTCTTGACGTAGGTATGACTGGTGGTTTGCTAGATCTCTATATTGCCCTTGCGCCTTGTTTATTGGGTTATGGCGATATTGCACTAAGATTATTTGAAGATTCAACGACTGATCATCAGTCACCGTATTGGAAATGGATATCAAACTATGCCGCGAATGACTATCAACAGTCTTGTCGCCGAGGCGAACAATTAATTGAACGTTTAGCAATTGAATATGGCGTCTGGCATGCTCCTTGCCGTATGAAGAAACTTATCGATATATTTAGAACTGGAACACAACTCGAGATTGGCTTTTGGGATATGGGTTTACATATGGAATGATAGATTAATTATCCAATTCATAAAAACAATTTAATCTTCTTCGCGATTGTATTTTTGAGATAGTTTTCCGAGATCTTTTATTGCGTAACTTACAATAAAAGTCATATTTTCAACTGAATTTTATTTCTTCGTTACGCGACTGCTCATCAATGATTAATCTAATGCAAATTGAGAATACTTTTCAAAAAACTGAAAGTTATATTAACGTATTTTTCCTGAACGAAGTTACACGTGCAATTTTTCGACAAAAAGCACGCCGAAATAATGGACTGGTTAACATATTCACAGGAAATGATTTGGCAAAATTCACATAAAAAACAGTAAGTGAAAGTTTATTCAAAGTCATTTCAATTGTACGTCTCCCACTATCTTTCACTATATTGTACGTCCATGTCTCATACAATAGAAATCCGCAACGAAAAGACGTTAATAATACTCCTAATCCCACTTGTACCAGGATGATCATGATTAAATGTCGATCTATATTACGATGCATTCGCGATTTCCGTTTATTATAAAATAATTCCAAACGGTATCTTATTGATCGAATTCGTTTGAGAGTAGTCATAGTACAGCTGAACATGATTGTATATATGATGAATGGACTACTAAAGAATATCAAAATAGAAAAAAATTTCACATAGAGACCACGCTGAGGTATACAATGATACTCTTGATTGGACGCTTTATGTTTTGAATTTAGTTCAAAGAAGAAAAATATGTGAGAGTAAGATATTAATGTAAATAATAAACTGAACATCGCTATAGGCCGAGCAATGTGTACTTGACTAAAACCACGCCATTTTCGTGAGCTCGATGTTGACAAACACCGATCAATAGATGCAAGCACGAGAAAGAGAGTTGATAAAGACGGCAAAACTATCACTAAATACATTCGACATTTACAAAACAAGATAGAGCGACTAGATAGTAAATATTTATAATGATCATTTATTAAACGCGTTATACCACCAAAAAGTAGATAAATAAGATCAAATATAGTCGAACATAAAAGATAAAATGAACATGAACTATATCGTAATTGTTTCGATGTTAGTACTGACAGATTACAAAGACTACCGATCGTACCACAGAAAATAGTTAATATCGGAATGTAAAATGTTATCCAGATGGTAATTTCATGGAGCATTTTGCAAGTGTATTCTTCTGGAGCGCAAAATTAATGATTAAAAAATAGAAAGAATTCTCAAATAGAATATATTCATCAATCTTCCAAGTACGTCAGAGAATACTTACAAAATTAGAGAACACAAACGCCCCGAAGATTACTATTTGTCTCACATTTCAATGCTCTCTTTACGATTGTGCGACATATAATTCTCTACGGATTATGAGCATAACACATCACAAGTGAAATTTCACTTTGTTGCTCAGAGAGTATCAGCGTACTTTACTGTAATCGTCATACAAAATCCACAACATCTGGAAGTTTCGAGAAACAACCCGGACTGTAATCGTGTTAATTATACGCGTGTCAAGGTTATATGCATGACTGAACGTTCCACTAATTAATTCGGAAAAAGGAAAGTTCGGATTTTTCTTTCTATATTTATTAATCAAGTAAGAGATACAACATGTAATTCTACACGATCTTTTTCAAAAATTTCTGCTCTATTTTCATCTTCACGTGCGATCACGATCGTTTTTCCCAATATTTTGTAAACCATTCGTTTTACTTCATTGCGAAAAGCTTTCGATACGATAATAAATATAACAAAGCTACAACAAAATGGTACATGATGCAAAAACAAAAGGAAGTTTTCAATAAAACTCTCTATTGTTGATCTCAATGCCGTCCGTATTTGAGATTTGGTTGCTGCATCGTATACATAATATACATTTATGAAAATACTAAAACTGATATAAACAAGATCATGAGCGAATAAACATCGAAGTAATTGAAAGTCTTTTTTAGTCATTGTTCGAAGTTGTTTGCGTAATTGCTGAGTTGGTATCACGCGAATATGGCGAACATTTTTAAATGCGAACATCGACAATACGATCATTGTCAAACAAACCGCTCCGTTAATAACCAATGAGGAATAAGAGACAAAATTCAGATAATTCGCGTCAAAATAACACAAGTAAAAGCCGGGATATAATCGAATGATGTTTCCTTTGATAAGAACGTGGACGAAGAAAATTGACCAAACACCTGTATTCAAACCAATAGAAAAATATGCCAAACGTCGAGAACTATACAGACGCGTGCTTGTATCTTGGGACGAAATTAGTAAGCGATCAATTGATGCGAGAATGAGAATTGTAGGGAAAAATGTGGAAAACGTAAATCCGACGTAGATATATAATTTACATAATAGTACACTAGAATTCTGCGCATTGATACCAAAACCAGTGATGAACACGGTTGAAATCATATTAGAGTTAATATAACATGTGTTGGTGAGCAAACAAACAAGAAAATAGAATACACAAACATTCTTTTTCCAAGACTTTTTAAGAAAGATTACAGCGGTTAGGACGTTTCCAATGTTACCCACTATACAAAGTATAGGAACAATGTAACGGTAGATAAAGGTAGTGGTATTCTTGAGACTTGTTATGTAGTATTTTTCCGATGCACTCATCTTGGAGAAAAGCGAGCAAATGATGAAAAAATCCTGTAAGAACATTTTAAACTTATTTAAAAGAAACAAAAAGAATCATCGCACTAGTTGTACAGCTTTTGACAAAAATGTCGAAAACAGAAAAGTATTTTTGTCTACTGTGCTCTTGACATTCAATTGTGGATTACATATCAGTGAGAATTCTGATAGGAAACTGAGTGGAAGAATTCGATATTATTTGCTCTCCAAATGGACTTTAATATTGTCTCAAACGGACATAAACGATTGTACGTTGATAGATTTTGCAGAGTTCTTCGGTGAATGTCGGCGATGGAAGGATGAAAAGAAAAAGAGACGTTGGCAATGGTATCAAGTAGATAAAATATGCAATTAAATAGATTGCGTTTTGCCAGGATTGTGTAATGCAATTAAGACGAAAGTTAACGACAAGATAAGGAATCGTTAAGATGGTGAGAACGTAAGGAATGGCGATGTTGCCTTTGTAAGTGTTTAAAACATCTTTGAGACTAGACCAAAATCTTCGATTTTGTTTCGAATCTAGTTTATCTTTAGTAAGAATCATGATCATGACGATCGGTGAAGTCAAATTGAGAATGAAAGGTAAGATGAGATGCATGGTATTGATTATCGTAACAAACCTAGTGAGTGAATAATTCTGATGATCCGAACTACACCAAGAACGAGTTGGTTTGTACGGGTCACGAAGTAATTGATATTGAAATGGTATATAAAGATTGACAATCAGATGATAGATAATTAATACGGGAATCACTAAACTGGCTGTATGTCGACTGCTTTCTTTATCGAAATGTAAATGTTTATGTGCGACAACGGTTTGCTCGATAAATACACATGCTGTTAACGAATAATATAGAACTGGAATGACAGATATGAGATACTCGAGAAGAAAACAATCAAGAATTCCGCTGCTTTGTCTGCTGATGATAAGAAATAATCGAAGAGCAAATACGATTGTTCCACATTGTCCAACAATTGTCACCCATAATCGATAGATCCGGTTTCCTCGTCCTTTCGATGCTTGACAAAATGTAGCGATCGATAAAATGTTACATATCGTTCCAAAAGCAAGCATAACAGCGATACCGCCAAACGCAATCTCTTTGGATAGAAAAGGCATATCTAAGAAAGTCTCCATCGAAATACCAGAATACAGCGTAGTAAACTGACAGATTGATCCATAGAAACACGATGGACACTGTGCTGTTGAATTCATTCTGTACTAATTAATTATCTGTTAAATAAGAAAAAAGCATTAGAATTAGTATGGTTTTAACCGAAAATAGATCTATCCGTTCGGTAGGCTAAGGCGTCAGAGACGTTGCCATATGGAAAAAAAAACATTCTTACAGTATTCAATTTCATCTATTTACTTTACTCTGATGGAAAGAAGAAAACGAAAACTTTCATGCATCAAATTATATACTTTTTTATGGATGAAAACATCGATGTTTTTCTTTACTTGTTGTTCTGACTAATGTTTTAAAGCTTTTTCTCTCATTCAAAATGATACTTTCATTGCTCTAGTGCGTATTTGTGACCTGGAGGTAACACGTGCTCATCTCTGCACATCGAAATACATTGAGAAAGGTTATGCACTTTCCTGTGAAAGAGAGTTCGCAAATCGAGATGATTAGTATTATTTAACTTGATGAGTTAATCGCTGGAATGTAGAAATTTCGTTTTCTTCAACCAGAAGCTAAATAAAGAAATTTTTTATGATGACCATAAAGGTATCGTTCTGAAAAGAAAAAGAATTCGAACGTGGGTGCGTGTGTGCATTTTTATAGATGCAATACAGTTACTCATTCTACAAATATTGTATTCAGATAGTCAGGATTTGTATATTGTCTGGCTGATATAGATTGTGTGGGGAAAAGAGTATTATTTCAATCGGATCATGGTATGCGTTTATTTATCGTGTTAGAGTGTCGTTCTATTTCTTGAAATAGATTTGATAATTATATTTTAAGCATTTTTAAAACGAGAAAGAGGAAAGTTCGGTCCAGGACACGTGCGACCAACATTGAATTGATCATGAGTGTAGATATTGATACCTCGATAACGGCGCTTGATATCAGCGACTAATCGAACGCCTGAAGCTATCTGAGCTTCTGGCATAATGTTGTTATTTTGTGTATTACGAACGAATTCAATTCCGATACACCACAAATTAGGATTTGGACGACCATAAAATACTGAATTCGTCGTGACAACACCTGCAAAGTAAGATAGAATTGTTTTCGTTTATATCTGAATGCTCCACATTGAGAAAAAAATCAAAGAATATTTACCATTGTGCCATGCTGTATCATCTTCGCTGACCATCTGTACGACTGTTCCATCTTGTTCTACGACGTAATGTGCCGAAACTTTACTAGATGGATTTTGAAACCAGGAAACCGTACCACCACCAGCAGTACCATGAAGGGTCAAACCTTCGAAATCACATATTTAAGAAATACAGACGGAAAAAAACGATTATTTACATGTAATAGCCTGGCCAGAGCGACCACGATTAAAATGTGGAGATGACACTTGTTTGGCCGGTAGATAATCTATCGTCCATGAATGGATATAACCAACAGTGATGCATAAAAGTAATGCAATGTATTTCATGATTGTGTTTTTGCTACAAAAAATTTTCATGAAGAAATAGATGTCGATGAATAGAGAATGAAAACATACCGTCTGTGATGAAAATATAACTGATCTACTTCTAATTTATAGTTCGATATTTTCAATCCAAATACTATGTAACTAAATACATTGATCTGCATTAATCAGTTAATACCTCGAAGTGATTGCTTCGATCTATATCGTCAAATCGATCATTTATTTTTCAATTTTTCAACTGTGTGATCACTAAAATAAAATGACATCTTTCTTTCTTGTTGGTACTAGTTTTTTTTGCATATGCACATCTACGATTACAATTATCTTGCGCATATGTTTGTATTTGAGTGTCAATGTTACGAAGTGCAATCATAAGCTCTAAGTTGTCTTTAGTATTTATGCATGTAATGGAAAACTACAGGTCTTTCGCACAAAACGAGCATTATTTGACATCGTCCAGCACGTTATCCGTATAAATATCAAAAGAAAGAAAATGGAAGAATGAGATTTATATATAAGCACAACGCTACGATTTTATATTGCTTTTATTCTGGATACGCAACGGAGAAAAATCAAGAAGTACTGTTTAAATTGCCAACGTATACGCTTCTTTCCGGATGTTTCTTTCGACTCAATCAATAAAGCGCATCACGCAACCTTTTTCTTTTACAATGTGCTGGTCTTTATAGTGTGTAATATTTCCGATACGATCTCATCATCAATGACGCTTTTATTTCAAAACTGTTTGTTTCAATGCTTTGATTTTTCGTGGTATATATAGTTAACCGACGATGAGCTCGCGAAAATTTTACTCGATCTCGTTTGTCATTATTATAAATGCATTGTTAATTACTTCTGGTTTCATCGCTACTACCAAGTATGTCGCAATACGAAATAGAAATCGTCAATATATGAATAGTACATGCTATGTGATTAATCGTACGTGTATAGAGCAACAATGCAAATATTGTATGTCGGCAAACGGTTGGAGAAGTAAATCTTGCGAAATTTATCGATGTTGGAATGAATATCTTACAATCTCATATCCGATTCGGAATGGAAGTGAAATCAAAAGTACTCTTACTCATAATCACGTTCGTGAGTGCAGTTGGAATATGGAAGTACGAGATCTGTCCTATACTGTCAATTTTCTCTATTGAAATACATTCGTCTACTTTAGATCGGTAGTAGTTACTCATGTTTCTATCAGCAACTACGCGTCAATTTAATTGAATGGCATCTACCAGCTGAACAAATTTATTTCATTTTACTTTTTATATCTTTCTTCCTCTTTGGTATTATACTCATATCATGTTTATTTTTCAAATGGAGACTCGTACGTAGAAAAACGAAATCCAACTTTTCTCATTTTATCCAACACGATTCGGCTGTATTCGAACAAAATGACCAATTGAACTCTGGTCAAAGCTTAATGGATTGAAGTTGTAGAATATCTTTACAAACAACGGCGAGTTTTCCCGAACGCTAGCTATGATTCGATCATAAATGGTTTCACAAATCGATAGCTGACCAGTTCGTTATAGTAAATCGTATTGATTCCCTGGTATTTGTACTATTTTCAAATAAAAGTCTTCTCACTTCGCGTTTATTGCTACAAATCGACTGATTATTACAAACATCATATTCTGAATATGTGATATTTCTAAGAAAGCAAAAACCTCAGATTCGTTTTTCATCTAAAAATTCCACTTCGATGAGAATGTATCCAAATCAACAGAAAACTCTCATTAAAGTCCATTCTACACACGAATTATCGTTTGGATTGATTTCATGGTGAAGAAATCGATAACCATTTTTCCATAGTTGGTTGAACATCTGTTGATGCAATGTTGCATGATAAATATCACGTGACCACCAATGAGATTCGAACGAAATCTGAAATGGTAAGGTAAATTCTCGTGCAGAATTCAACATATCCGCAAACACGGCATATTCAGCTCCTTCAATATCCATTTTCAACACATGAACACGTTCGTGATCATTTTCTTTCAAGATTTCACTAAAACGTTTAAATACATAAGTTTGATTTTGACGATGTCGATTTGTTCCATTATTTGGATACATGTATTCTTGTAAATTCGTCTTTTCACCCATACATACTTGGTGAAAGTGAACATTTCGAATCGGGTTTTTCGGAGGTAAGCTTGTACAATCATAAGTGTAAACTTTACATGATGTTCGTTTCGCGATCGATTCTTCGAATTCAAAATGATTATTCGAACCTAAGCTATATACAATACAATCGACCGATGGTGCAAGACTTGAAAGTCCACATAAAACTTTTCCTGTATCAGTGGACTTTCCATAACGTTTCAATCCATATTTGTCCGGACATGGAAGATGTTTTGTGTCAGGATAGATCATAAGTACAATATTTTCTTCGGTTGTATTAGGTGAACGAGCGACTTCCGTTAAAATATCGTATACATTTTGTAGTTGTTTTTGTGACCACTCGTACCAAATATGTTCCAAATAGAAAACAGTTTTTCGATCGTAAGTGGACAGAAATGGATTAGACGAACACCATTGAAGTCCTGGGGATAACGGTGAATGTGTGAAATCGCTCATATTTTTTAACATTTTCGAAGCTTGTTGGAAATGAAAGGAATCGTGTCGCGTCCAATGAGTTTCTTCAATTATCCACGGTGACAAATATCTCATAATAACAAACGTATGTACGATCAGTAATAGAATAACCAATAAGATACGCATTTTTCTAAATAATATTTTTATTGGCATTATCATGTGTTTGAAAATGGCTAAGATATAGAAAGTGTAATGTTTTCTGCGAGAAAAAAGTACATAGGTCATACCTTTATTCATCGATCAAATGTGAAGTATGTGGTCTTCCACTTTCTTAGTCGATATGTGCAAATTCTTTGAGAAGCCGGTTTTTTAGATAAATTTCTGATTAACTACAATCGGCTGGACCGATGAAAGGAACTGTTGCGTTCTCTCGAAAGAATTACTGCTTTCTAATCAGTCTTTACTAGATTTTTTCCTCTTTTCTGTTCGATGTAGAAATATTAAGAGAGGAAGACGAACTCAGTGTTGTCAAATAGTCAGTACGCTGAAGGCAAGGAAACAGAATTTTTTTCTTTCTTCTGTCATTCGGGAAGATGGCAAGATTCTTGTCGGTCGTCTTAATTACAAAATCAGAATTATGCTTTCTTCTCTAGCGCATGTAACAACGATGAATAAGAAGTTCAAGATGCGGTTCTAGATGTACTTACATAGATATGGAAAAGCAAATGTAATTTAAAGGAAACAGGTCAAATTTGTAATGTTAATGTCCATTTAGTTTTTTAAAACTACGGGCGACACAACACAATCGTTGTAATATAGACATGTGCACGGTCACAGTTGATCGAACAGATTGAATATTGCTCGAAAGAAGAAAATTGACTATTTTCGAATATAATGTGTCATTAAAATTATTTCATTCACTAATATATCATAAAAACTGCCTTCACGATCATACAGATCGTCGTATGTGTACTTTGATGAGTTCTTGATAAAAATTCCTTTTCAGATAGATGCTACTATTTGACATAGATAATGTCCGTCGTTATGTTGAAGCTATCGTCATTTCATGCGTAAAGGTAAATATCTATGCATTTTATATCTTATTTGAGTGAATGTTTTTTTGTTTGGATTATTTATTTGAAGAAATTAAACTCGTTGTAGCGTGAATGACTCACGACGTTCTAAGATGGTTAAGTAGAAGAACGAGAAAAAGAAGCAAACAGAAAAGCATCATATATGAGAACAGAAGAATTCGAAAAAAAGAAAGGTAAACGCGTCATACAGTACATCGATTACAAAGTAAGCCGTTTTGTTCACGCGAACACACATTACTTTTTTACCCTTTAACGTTAAGATCATCTTTTGAGGCGTTTCGTTTTTCGATCTCATAAATGGCTGCTCAAAACAACACTGATGCGTTTAAGGGAGCATGGGACTTTGTATGTAGTATATGCGTTAAGACTAAATAACTTTTTCGATATTTTTCTCAAGGTTGATGGTGATGACAGCGACGAATACTTGAAAGAATTGGGTGTTGGTAAGATGGGACGAATGATGGCTAAAACAGTCAAACCGAGACTGGTGATTAGTGAAAGCGATGGTAAATGGTCACTTCGAACAGAAACGACTCTCAAAACAATGACGATCGAATTTACACCTAATGTCGAATACGAAGAAGTTACAGGAGATGGTCGTCACCTCACAGTAAAAGTTTTTTCACGTGAAGATTAGCTTCACAAAGGTATCTTCTATTATTTTCATTTAACAAGGGGACTATTCGATTTGAAAATGGTAAATGGATTCAAAACATGGTCGATAAAAATGGAAAGCCATCTTCGACAACACGATGGGTAGATGATAAAGACCAATTACAAACAGTAACACAAACGATTTAAATCGATTTTCTTTTTCATAAATAACCTTTTGATTTATTTTTCAGATCGCCGAATGTGGACACGCTAAAGTTCATAAATATTACAAGCGAGTGAAATAGATGAACTCTATGAGATTTCTCAACCAACATTCTCGTTAGTTTATTCCAGCGGTTCAGAACAATATAGTATTATTCCTTTCGTTCGATAAAATGTATATTCAGAATGCTATGCTATATTTTTGTTGATATTTGAATACAAAAAAATAAACGTTTGGTAGTATGTGAAGAATATTTTGATTAGTAAAGTATACCAGCTACTAGGAAGACTAGTAGAAGTGACCATGATAATATCGTTGAGGTGCTGCAAATTGTGGAGGTCTTCTCATCGACGGATATGGGTACGCAGGTTGATGTTGAGGAGGAACAACAAGTGCTGCATTTCCATATCGACCCATTCCTGCCATTTGTCTCATCATTATCATTCTTCGATTATCTTCATCACGAGATAAAAAGTAATTTACAACACCTCGTTGAATCGCCTCGATTCGACGTGCTCCGAAATCCAAATCAAATCGACGTTTGTTTGTCAAATAAATCACACCCGACTGCTCATCTCTCGCCAAGTCTTTTATCGGAGAAAACTCATAGTGTGATAAGATTAACCTATAACAAACACACAAAATAATACTACAGTCTATCAAATACTTCTACAAAGCCGTCCTTTCGTACCATCTTCCGAAATGACTTCGACTGTTTCGACTTCCAGATCGTCGATGATAAACATTCACATCCACATAACCAACATTGCCACCATATCCAGCTATCGCACCAACTCGATCACTCCAGCTCTTCGCTAACATAGCATAATCTTGATGTATATTACTTGGATATGTCTCCCTGATTCGACCTAATAAAGCAAAGGCAAAATGCAAATCATCTGATCCAACAATACAGAAATCCATGAGACCACCAATTGCACTAAAAGTACTTCGATGCATTGCCCAAGCCAGACCTGGATGAACATGTCCATATGGATAATTTGCTTCAATCGCTTTACCATGACGAATGGCATACCCAACTGAATACTTTCTTTTTAACACTTCACGTTTACCACCAGCACCAGTCATGAAAGCAACTTTGAACATTTGAACTATAGGATATCGATCAAGAGCAGCCATTGTTAACTGCGGCCAATCTAGACGCTATATACACAATAGAAGAAACAAAACAGTTGTCATCTGAAACTGTGGTGAGGATGTGTAGAAAAACACATCACGATGTCTCACTTCGAATTCAACATCTGCATCGATCCATGCGATTCGATCAATGTGAGGTGGTAGTTGTTGCACAACGATATTGATGAGATTTTCTTTCATCCATATGATGGATGGAGCTATGACTTGAAAATGTTGTGGATTATTTGGCTGTGTGACTTCGAATCGTTGTGGTGGCAAACCGTATCGTGTTGCTGATTCGAAGATACATTCGATAGTAAAGAGATTGACACCTGAACGTGCCATATGATATGCAAATTGTCGATATCGTTGGTAACGAGTTTGATATCGAACAGGATTGAACATCACTGTAATGATGGCCAAACGTGAAAACTGATTCCGACGCAGATACGTTGCAATGTTACGTCGATACATAGCAAGCATTTCGTGTAAAAACAAACGGAGAGTAAAAGCGAATGACCATACTTTGATTATTTTCATTACCTTTTAAAGAACATGAAAAAAATTTTCGTCCTGTTTTCACTTGATGATGAGAATGACACGGTTGAGTAGAGCATGTGAACCTACCAAATGGAAGGCAGATAATAAGAAAATATGTGTTCTATGTAATTTCATTTGAATTATGTAATCACTCCATACAGGTCTCTAAAAAGAACGGACTGTACTATAAATTCCTACATTTGATTTACTCATCCAAAACAAAATGCAAAAAGATTCTTCAATTCTTTTTATTTCATAGAATACAAATATTTTCTTTCTCTGCAATGCTACGTTAAGAACTGAAAAGTATCGAACCAATAAATCCAATGGTTTCCCTGTTCTGAAACTGAACCATAATCAAGCGTGTCTATTTGTGAAATCAAGTCAATAACATTGAATGTTGCTAAACTGCCATTATTCGTAATCGTCTTTCAGAGAGGTTCGGTGCATTCGTGCAAATAATGGTTCCATTATTCGCAGACTAAGATTAACTCATGCCTAGTACTTCAATCTCCAAAATTATAAACCACTATACGATCACGCAGATCAACACTGATTGTATCATTATTCTTGATCCACCTGTATAGCTTACAAAAAAGAAACAGATAGACTAGATCAAAATAGCCATTCTAATATTTTTCAAAAGATGTCATGCAATCACTTGACTATGAAAATCCCCAGAAAATGGAAATTTCCCACGCTGGAATATTCCTTCTTTGAGATGGTTTTATCCGACTACGCACATGTAACTTATATATACGACACGATTTTTTCTTTCTTTCCTTTGTATGTATTACCTCTTCTCTTTCTCTTGATGGTATGCTTTGGAAGAAAACTGTCACTTGTTTATATAGAACCGAAGTATTCTTTTCGCGATTAGTAAATCTATCTCTCAATGGAAGCACGCTGTCGTCACAACAATACAACAGAGAAGTGACGTTTCTGTCTTCAAATAGATGCAATTCAAGTGGAGTTGTCTGAAAAAAATGATGAAACATGCCCCCACTTTGGAGACAAAACACAATTAAAATGGAAGAACTGAGAGTTCGCTTGTCAGTTGTAATTTATGAAGAGCAAAAAATATGGTGTCCAACGCCATCGAACAAAAAATGTATTGTTTATGATTATGAATTAACAAAAAAATAAGTTGTCGGAGAGTCTATTGGATTTTTACTATGAAATCATGGAAAAATTGTTGTCGCTTTCGTCGGGTTCGGTAGAAAGTGCCGAAAAGTAAATCATTAAGTAGACAAACGTCCAAAAAAAAGCAGAAGAAAACTTTTATATAGGGTAATCTTCTTTTTCTTTTTCCGATGTTTGCCTGTTCGACAATTCTTTTTCGGTATTTTCCGGCAAACGCCTTTCATCATGTGATCTGGTTGACTTTGTTCGATGATTCATTGGGAAAAAACATAAAAAGAAAACCAAATACGTATGGTGTTCCGTTAGGCACTTCATTATACAAATAGTAGTATGTTGCGCCACGTTGCATCATGTAGATATTAGGATGCGAAGGAAAAGTTGTCCTCTTTTGAAGTAGGCATGACTACTCTATGTATGTGTACGTGATTCTCTTGTTCTCTTCCTTCTTTTTCTCCATTCTGTAGATTGTAATCACGTGTCTTTTTTCGTAATTTCATAAGAATTGCTTGGTTTTTACTGTTCGTTTTTTTTAAAGTAACCACATTAAACCATTGAGTGTGAGTGAATAATCCAACGAGGCCTGATCTCCGAAATTCAGATATTTTCCTTCTTTTAACAGTTGGACTCAATGTTGATTTTGCTTGTGTAAAAACCGAAAAAGTTACGCGAGACTGAATAAACCACCATGAAAAAATACTTTTATTTTCATTAAATGCGTTAAACAATACTAGACTATCACTACAATTGAGAATATAGTTTTAGATTTGACACAGCGTCGTTAAAATTATTTTCATGGTTCAAACGTCAACAGACTCTCATGATGATGAGAAGCCAGTCCAAGCACAAGTGGACCATCCCACCGATAGTATCTCAACTGATTTCTACGCCTTATGTGATCAAAAAGAAAATCGTCCGCCTGAACCATCGGATTCTGATACGACTGAAATCGATAAGGGGATCTGTTCAACACCTGCACCACGATCAAATCCGATAATCGCTTCGGACGAAAGTCGTGATGTGACAGAGGAAAGCTCTCAAAGATTATCAACGCTTCCTGTATCGTCAACTGTCGCTCCATCATACGGAAGTCTACAAACCAGTCGTGAATCAGAACAAAGTATATATCGAATCAATCATATTGGAAATAAATTTTCCTTTCATTCAGGATCTGTCGTCCAAAAGAAGACGAAATGCCGTCGAAGTATGTTTGTTTTGCATATTCCAAGTTTCTCATAAATATAAAAAAATTCGGCAATATCATTCGTGTTTAGCAATTCCATTAAAATATGGGATACCACCTACTGAATGTGAACCAAAGTGTAACAATTTATCTGACTGCGTGTAAGAATTGAAAATGAAACAAATTTACCGATATTTTTGATTCTTTTGCGTTTTTAGGGCAAAACTACTAAAGATCTCAATCCAATCTGAAGGATACTATCCGATCATGTTGGAACACATCCACATCATCAGGCAGTTCGACAAAGTTGACGATAGGGGATACTTTGGTTCAATCATATATTTTGTTTTACATGAATCTGCCAAAACTCGCATTGCCGCCAAAGTACGTATCGATTTTGAAACCATTTCAAATTCTAATCAAGAGTATTTCTAGCGTGTTCCTTACAGTGAAAATAAAGACAAACTCTTGTCAATTCATGCGGAGCTGAGTGTATTAGAAGCAACTCGAACAGATAAATCCGACTATATCGTTGGTTATTTTTGCACCTTGAGAGACTTCGTATGTATAGTCTTTCGTATATGTTCTTCTTGATCAACGCATATTTTGCTTCTTTTAAAGAAGTTCAACAGCGTTTATTTCTGCATGGAACAAATGGATACATCGCTGAAGAAGTTCAACGAAACCATGCATTCAAAGGTTAAGCTTACGTCACAGCAACTCGAACTTTTCGTACGGCGTTGTGCTTACAACGTGAGTCTCTTTACATTGCCTAAAGTATATCGTTATTTTTGTTTCATAATAGATAATCATGGGACTTGCCTTTTTGGAATCGAAAGGTTTTGTTCATCGAGATATTAAACCAGACAACATTCTGATTAACAGAAACTGTGCGATCAAACTGGCAGATTTTGGTGTTAGCGGTCACTTAACCACTAATGAATATGAATTCGACAGCCGTGCCGGTACTAATTTGTATTGGCCGCCTGATGTTCAGCAATGTTCTACTCAAAGTGACATGTGGGCATTGGGTATAAGCCTACTTGAGATTATTCTCGGAAAACATCCGATCACTACCTGGCCACCTCCTCCGGCAGCTTCTGATATAAACACGTGGAAGCGTATAGTTCCAGAAACAATCTCAGATGATTTGAAAGAATTTCTCCTACAATTGTAAGTGTAAATCACTTATTGATTTCAATCATAAACTAATAATAATTAAGGTTGAACAAGGAGGCTACGTTGCCACCTCCATCCTATGAGCACATCATTAGTACAACATTCATCGGTCGAATGTCTCCAGATCCGTCCGAGGATGAAATTGCTTTCGTCCGACAAGTAATTGAGACGAGTGAACAACGCTCATCTCCTAAAAACCGAGGGTGACACAGTTTAAAAATGAACATTTCATTCTTGGACTATACTTTTGATGACGGTAAACATATAACAGCCATGCCATTATAATTAAATGCTGATACCCGATCGCTCTATCAATCCAGATGATAAAAAATTAATACAAAAAAAAATCAACACGCGCTCGCACACACATCGTGATGCTACGAAAAAAAAATTCTATTTCTTTTTCCGATTCTCAAAAAATGTACTATAGTATGTAATTATGTTTGTGCTAATGGATTTTCTGTCCACTTCATGCTCAAGGCATTAACCGCTTAAAAAATAAATATAAAAGCTATATTAGATAGTAATTACGTCATTTTTACTACTTGATATACTTCCTCGTCGCCATCTATCGCTTCCTAATAACGATAATAAGTCATTTCGTTTCTATTCATCACATAATTATATATATTTACTTTGAGTAGATTGAATGGCGAATGTGATTTTTTATTGCTGTTCTATTCTTCTTGATTACACAGTGAAATAATGGTAATATATTCTGATTGATATGCATAGATCAATCATTCTGAGTGATTTAAATTTCCTGTGAACCTATGACGGCATAGATGATGATGTTCTGAAAAGTATTCTGATTTTCTGGAGCTTCAAAGTGACAAATCGTATAAATGTGAATATTATATGTCGACGCGAATTTCAGTCATCGGAGAAGATAGATGGACAAGCAGTATGATTTTGAAAAAGAAATTGTCTAAAAATATCCTTCTGATTGTGGGAGAGAGAAGAAGTATGAACAAAATTCATTTCCTTTTCTCGTCTCTGACGTTAATAATATCTCGGATTACGTCTTATAGATAAGATCAAGTGATTTAGTATTTGTTTCAAATCTATTCTTAAACTAGACAACCCGATGAAACTGAAAGATAAGTTCTATCAATAGAATTTATGAATAGACACGCATTATTCTGATTTAGAACAGTAACTATCGCTCAAAGCATAGACGTCATTTGTTTTTCAAGTGCCATTTATTCTCACATGTCGTGCAATAGTATTATTAGAGAAATGAAAAAGAAAAAAGAAGAGGGTGTACGCTCTTTATTACCACACAGTGAGAGAAAAGAAAAAATACTATGAAAAGTTCTATGACAACACTATTACATGAGTTTGATAGTTTGAAGGAAAAAAGAATATTCTATTCTGTTGTTATATGCATCGATAGAAATAGACGCGTCGTTACTTTTATTTATAAGCAAAGTCAAACTACAAAATGTCACTTGACCAGCAAATCCAACGTGAAAGTGAACGTTTTCAGATACTTTTCAATCGTTTATCGGAAACCAAATGGAGTGAAACAGCAATACCTGAAGCACAATCTCGTTTAATGGCATGCCAAGAACAAGCTCGTCGTGTTCAAGATAAGATTAATGCATTTAATTCAGCGGCTGACAAAGAACATAAACGCTTGCTTGATATAAAAGGTCATGGAGTTCGGCACGCTTGGTATAAAGTTCGTGGAACATTAGAGCAACGTGTCGATGAACAGGAAAAAGTTTGGTTGAAAGAATTTGAAAAATGCAAAGAAGAAGAAGAACATTTGACGATCTTGAAAGGCGAAATACAATCTGCTCAGACATTTTTGCATCAATGCCAAAGTGCTTATGATGAATATGTCAAAAGTAAGCGAGCATTAGATGGGCTTTTAGAACACTTCTTTTCGGGAAAAACACCATCATATCCTGATGAAGATCGAATGGAACAGAATTTAAGAAATCAAGAGAAACATTTGGTTAATTTGCAAAATCACCAACGTCTTCTATTACATGTTGTTCAGCTGTTACAACGAGCTCATCAGGCAGTTGCCATCTCTCGTCAGGCGTTGAATGAAGCACTGAATATGAATACGTTCGACATGTTTTCAAGTTCGTCGTTTGCAGATATGGCTGTAAGTTCTTGTCTAGCTAAAGCACGAAATGCTGCTGCACAAGCGCAACAATTACTTAATGAAGCACGACGTTTATATCCCAATATTCCACATATCGGTGAATTATACATAAAACAGGATAATCTCGTTTTTAATATCATGTTTGACAATATATTTACTGATATACACATGAGACAAACAATTCAAGAAGCAATGCATCGAATTACACGCGCAGAGGGTATGCTGACCGGAATTTTAATGGCGATGAAAGAACAATTGGGAAGATGTGAAGCTGAATGTTTTCAAAAGAGTAATGAAGTAAAACGTCTGGCAATTGAGCATTTTACTACAAGAGTCACGATTGTCAAAAATATTATCGAACCGCCACCTCCATATCAATCGTAACGGCATGAAATCCTGAAATAAGATGCCCTTAAAGTTCGCTTACGTTTGTTGTGATAGCATTATGAATGTTCACTTATATTTTATTCCTTGTGAAAAAAATGCAAGTTTTCTGAATCAATCGCTATTTTCTTATGTTATTGTAACAGAAATTTGTGCTGTAACCCTTCTTTAACATTTCTGAACGTTTTATGGAACGCGATAATTCATCTTTACAAGATATTTCTACTCAATCAATCAGTATAATGCAATCGAATCTTCGTCAGTACATTACAAAAATGTGCTTATCGCGAGAGTGCCTAGAATGAAACGAACATTTGAACAGGTTGTTTGTAGAGAAAATCTCACCTTGAAGATTCGTCTAAAATTAAAGTAGTAGTAATGTCAAGCCGCAAGTCTTCAAAGATTTTTGAGAGTCCATAACGCTTCTAGAGGGCAGCTTAAGCGTTTTTACACTTTTACTAGCAAATTAGATTACTAAATATTCTGGGGACTTATGACCTCAATAATTCCTGAAGTATTACGCTCGGAGCCGCCTGTTATCGCTAATAACCAGCCAACGGGTTCATTCTTAAAGAATATTTCGTCATATATATTATGTCAAGTGATGACATGAGATGAAGCAAAGATTTTTTTAATCTCATTTCATCTCGTTCCTATCCCACGAGATACACGCTAAATAAGTTTTTTGTCCTATCGTGCATTTTAGCTATCAATCGGATAGACATGAAAAAGTCTCTTTCAGCGCCTGATTACGCACAATACAGGTCAAAATTCAATTATTTAGTTTTTGCTCGTTGATGAAAGAATACTGAATAAAAAAGGGCTCTGGACGCGATAATTAGGTCTATACAGTATCCATATCTTCGAGATGTTCTTACTCGTTATGTCAAAAATATAGTCAATATCATATAGATATCTCGACTAGAAACAAAATTCTGTTGTTCCAGATAATATATTTATACTATCTGTATTATGGGAAAATATTCTTCGTCACCTCTTTCTCGTTAGTTGATATAAGGGCAGCATCACTCGCGTCGCTGTCGTCATTAAAGAAGAGCTTTATAACAAAAGAAATGTCCGTTCGATACTGCAACCATTTACAATTCTTATTTGTAATTTGTGGCATCGTTTCATCAGTAAGAATGGTCCGTCCTTCATCTTTTCATGAGGACTCGACTATCATATATACTGACCGTTCAAACATGAGTATCGCTATTCATCAACATGTACAAATCGAATATGAAATGCGTTATATTCATATTTCGCCATTGGCTTTACTTGATATCGATCAAATACTGGTATTGGACTCAGAAGTGACTCACCCATCGATCATGATTCCATTGACTCTTTATACTGATGAACAGATCCAATTTGTTCTAGAAGCGAATGAACGTCAATGTAAACATGTTTCAACGAGTTGCTTGTTTTATCAAATCTCCATAGATACTATGCGAATTATATACAAAGACACATGGGATCATTCCAATGTTTTACATCCTTATCGTGGACATATTGATTTCATCCGACTTGAGCCGTTTACATTGTTACAAAAATGTCTAGTATTTGTTAATATTGGTTGTACATCAGAAGAAATTTGTTTAAAACTACGTCAAGAACTACTCCAATCCCGGAAGTCACTCGGCCTATATCTTGACTATTCTGTAAATAAGACCGAGCTGCAAGAAATCACAATTAATGATAACCATTTAAGATCAGAAAATATTCATATGTCAAAATTTGTTCTTCTATCGGATGTTGAACAACTGTTACAGAATCTTTTGAACGCTGCCAATGTGCACAGTAACTATACGCATGTTTTATCACAGATTGATTTGTCTTCACTGAAAGAAACGTTGCAAAACAGTTTATTTGAAAAAACTGTGATTTTAAACGATGACAATAGCGAACAACAATGGGACTCAGTCTATTGGCCCAATAGAACTATACTAAGACCAGATCGTGTTTGGAAATCATTGAAGAAAAAACCTTATTTCTACCTTTTCTGGAACAGAATTGTGACGAATGAAACGACTACCGATACTTTGATGGATGACTATGTTCAAGGAGTGTACGATGAAGAAAGCTTTGATCTCTACACTAAATATCGTCATTTATTTGAACTATGTCAAAGGATCTATACACACGAGAAGGTAATAATGCGGTCTATGTTGAAGCTGAAACCAGTGTTGGCGTATGAACTAAATCAAATAGCTACGTCAAGATTTTGGGTCCATCAATCAGTGCATATGATCAAACGTGAACAAGTATATTCGGTGCCTATTCATATTATTTTACCATCACAAGAAGCACCAGCTGTAATAAATACAGTTTCTGGTAAGCTATATTATAGAGTTAAATTCTTTCGTTATATTTTATTTGCTTCCAGACGCGATGACGGGAACTACGGAATATTTAGGTGAAAATATACCTTTGCCAGAATATCAACCAATGGATCTAGAAGACAAAGACAACGATCCCTCTTTCGCTTTCACTCCAATCGAAATATCAACGACTTCATTGGAAAATACTTACACAACTGTTGTTGATCAAGAAGCATCAACGTCATCTATGATGTCCACGATGTTTGACGGTAGGACAATTTAGATCCCAAATACTTTCATAGATCAGTTGTATGTTTCAAAATTGTAAAAAAGCGAAATATGTTGACGTCGGCTAGCTTCGATTTTTCTTTCACATGGACAACTAAGAATGTTTCACTTGACAGAATGAGACAGATGTTTGGAAGTGTTGATAACGAATTATTCTTCTATCATCTGAACTAAAGTAGGCACAATGCATCCGACGACAATGACATCAGATACAACTGAGTCACCGATAACGACTACGGATATCATTGAATCAACGACAGAAACTTTACCACTTGGCAATGCAGGTAAGACTGAATGAAGACATCGTTTTCTAAGAAACTGACAGACACGATGAGTAATGAATTTCGTCTATGGCTCGAAAATAGTATGATAATTGATTGTTGAGATGAACTTGACGTTGTGTTCTTTCACAGGATTTGACCGAGATATAATTTGTGGAAACAATTACGAAAATATAACAGGACAATAACAAACCATTGAGGATGAAAAATATGTTCTCAATCAGATTCCTATACAATGGAATAAATTTACTCTTATATATACGTTTCTGTTTGGCTAGTATTAAAAACAATCCCTGACAATACACGTATTGCTCTGTACTGTCCCGGAGAAAAATTTCGTGTTCTCTCCGCAATTTATCAATCCACCTCAAATGCTTCGTTTTGCTCAGAAGACGTTACGAATACTGTCAGACAACTATGTCCAGACACATGGTACTGCGTAGTGGCTGCTGATAAGACGCTCTCGAATGGAATCAAATGCAGCTACGTTGAAAAACAACTTCATATCGTCTATACATGTGATGTTGACCGATGTAAGCTTTTCATTCGTTCTTAGAAAACATAGCATAACATACTTTTTATCATTTTAAGATGTGTTCGGGCCGGTGCTAATCGATCAAGACTCTTCGGGTTACGATATTTACATAAGTGAGTTTTTTAAATAACAAGCAGCTTAGTTTTGCGAAGACGAGCATCTCTCCATTATGAAATCACGAAACTAATATCAAATATATAAAGCATAGCGCTTAATTCGAACGTTTACGCTACGATAAAAACTCCGTTGATATACAAACATCTAGAAAATACGAAATGAAAACTGACCTTTGATCATCAGTCAGTTGAATAGTTTAAATTAAATCAAGAAAGGCAAACTCGGCTATTCACAGAGTCTTTTCTACGAAATCAAAATACTGTAATCTCTGAGTCATAGACTACTTTCCTTAATGCTGTCCTTTTTTTATTATAGATGACGAGCATCATATAGACGACGTTGAATCAATCGAAGCCTGTGGTATGCGCTGTCTTGAAACAGATCGATGTGTTGGTGTTGTCTACGCCCCACAGGGAAATCGATGTTGGTTAAAACATACAATAGTATCCCGTATACTAGTGAGAAATAGAAATTCCATGTCGGTTTACCATCCTCAACGATATCCTGATTAAATCATCGGCAATGAATATCAATAATGACATTTTAACTGATAATCTTTTTCTCTTCTACATTTACAAAATCATGAGTTGAACTATGAAAAGCTTGTAGAGAATAGTTATCGTACAAAAGACATCTGTAAGATGTGTAGCGATCGCTTTTGAATAATTATTACACATTTATTTCAGTTTTGTTAAAATATTATTTTGCGCATGCTTTTATCAATTATCATAAAATGAACTGATATCGAATAGAAATCATATATTACCAAAACTATTCCACGAAAGCTATGTAGAATTTGCAACGGATTAGATAGAAATTAATTTAGGGGAAATAGTATGTAGTGTCATTGATTTATTCATTATGGAATTCTTTATACCAGTTTGCTCTGTATCCAATTTGGTCCCAAAAATCGCACTCATCTTTAATATAGTCTTTTCGAACATCGAGCGGATCTTGAAAATATAGATAATATTTATCTGCACTGGGGTTTGGCCATGTTAGAGCTGCTGTATCCGGTTGATTAACATCATGACTTTTGGCAAAATTTGTCCAGTAAGTGGCCATACTTTTAGAAACGCGTCTACCGGCATCAGTAAAATTAATCCATGCTGATTCGAATGTATAAGGCAATTCACCGGCATGACAAACATGATTATTGCAAAATGTTTCATTTTCCCAACCATCGAAATCAAGTGGAAATCCAAAGACATAAGAATACGTGGCCGCTTTACGAGAATAGACACGGGTTGGACACGCAAAAACCCATTCAGTTGCGAGACGAGACATCAAAGCTCGTTGATCACCGGACGGCGAAGGTGGATATCGTTCGAATACTTTGATAGCATTTTCGTGAAAAGTAAAAAGAAGAACTTCCATATAGAGTGGAACGGAGATCGGTGTTGACCAGGCTTCGTAGATATAGAAGACGGCTTCTTCAGTTAAAGTACCAATAACCATAGGTTTCAATGGGAAACTTGTATTTTGAACGAGATCCATGAGTTGACCTTTGACAATGGAGTTGTCGATTACAGGTACCCAAGGTTCAAAAAAGAGCAAGAATTTGAATGACGTTAACATTGAATTAACTTTCGTTTGTGCGATAGTAATGGCTTCATACGTTTGACGACGTAAGCAACTAATATCATTAGGAGTACAATTCAGCTGTTCGGCAAGAAGAACACTGGGTGCGATATATTCAGCATATGTTCTAGGGTAAATCTTATTATCACTATTTTCATAGCTACACTTTTGTCATTACCGAAATGGAATAGCCATTGGAGCGCTCTGAACGATACTTGCTTGGAAATATGACTGCATTTCGGGAGTAACGTGATGTAAAGCTACTGATTGTGCACCAGCACTTTGTCCAAAAAGTGTGATCTATCGACGATACAACAGTTTATAATTTTTATAGTTACTAAGGGATATCTTTGTTTCTAATACTTGCTGAGGATCTCCTCCAAACGAAGCTATATTTGCTTTTATCCAAGCGATAGCTAATCGCTGATCTAGAATACCGTAATTGCCAACGATATCATTTGGTCCTGTTCCTGTCGCAAGGAAACCGAGTACACCTACAAGCGATAGAAAATAATCATTAGGCTATGTTAACGTTGATCGTGCATTCATCTTATACCAAGACGGAATTGGATTAAAGCAATGATAACATTGGTAGAATTGACCAGATGTTCTGATTCATAGACGGGGATCGATGCATCTAGATATTGAAAATTACCACCTGGAATAAAGATCATCACAGGCAAAGGAGTTGATGATGATGAATTTTGTTGTAATGGTGTAAAAATATTCAGATACAAACAGTCTTCCGAGAACTATATAAGCAAATATATTCTCCATCATATCACTATACATCCTATATGTCTGTATTTACGCTTGTTGGGCACAAAATTGAGGGAATACCACCACATCGTGGCTGAGGACATGCTGGAGCGCGTGATGTGGCATTCAACACATCTGGCGCCCATGCAGAGATTGGAACTGGTGGATTCCATCTAGAATACTCATATGAATTTATGTCGAAAGTTTCTGCACAGCATCATAGTACCTGAGATTGCCGACAGGCGATTTCGCAAATGGAATGCCGTAGAAAATACGAGCCGTAGCTGTCTGAACACCAAGAACATCACCATAAGCTGTTGAAACGGTGATGGTTCGGTTAGCAGCAGAAGATAGTTTTAGTAGACAACCGGCTAGCATGCATGCTAATAAAATTAAAGACTTCATCGTCAAACAGCAAACTAGTTCTCGATATTTATTTGCGTCTCTTTTATAATATATGATAATAACTAAGGTACTTTATTTATCACAATGCTTCGATAAGCAACCAGCAGTCGCGTATGTTAGAACTTCACAACATGTTCCTTTCACTTGTGAAATTTAATGTGTCTTCTGTGTTCTCGTCATTCTAACCCAGTTTTTTGTGGTAAATAAAGCACAACCTTTTCTATTCGAAAACTTAAGATATGAAGATATAGATATTGAAATATGTTGAGTGTATCAGGGAGACAGCTACCGTTCTACTTACGTATTTATATTTTTTCATCAATATGATGAAAAATAAATATGGAACACGTGCCGATGCAGAAAAGAAACAGAACAGCTTCTTTTACACTTACACGGCAACGTTGCGTCAGTGCTGTATATGACGATTTAGTAGATTTTCTTGCAAAGTCAATATAGTAAATAGAAGGTGAATCTTCTTGTTATTTTAATCGTTTATTCCTGCATTTAGAAGATAGTCATGCTTAATTCTTGTACCAATTCAGCGACGAATGATGACCAACCTGAGGAAAAGTATGTTTTGCATGTATTTTGCAATGTATCGAGCAGTTGAATGAGAAAGATTAAAACTTTTCTCCTAGGAGATCTTTCGATACAGTTCAGCCCACTCTGTCTAATATGGAAACACCTACAATAGTTATTCTAACACCAGCCGCCGATGACCCTATGTTTGCAGACTTTTGGCAATTTAATTTCAATCAGTTAAGTTGCAAGTTTGCTGAATTTGATATACGTGTCATAGGAGCACCATGGATGACAACACCCTTAGCATCTGATCGATCCCGTTCATTTATTTACATCGCTAATCTGGCATGGGGTTACCACTATCAACCCGACCGTTGGAAGGCATGGCTTCGTGATTGGCCCAAAGATATTAGCCTGATCAATTCACCATCGTTACTTCTATGGAATACGCAAAAAACATATTTGCAACATTTACAAAAAGCTGGAGTTCGAACGATTCCTACATTATATGTTGAACATGTGAACGAAGAAGTATTAATCGATGCAGCGAAACACTTCAATGTATCTGATTTAATTGTTAAGCAACAGATATCCGCATGTAGTTTCAATATTTTACGTATACTAGTTGGTAGTGATGACTTTGCGTCTGCACCAAGTAAAAGATTACATTTCTAAACGCGAGCTAACTACTATCAAATATTCATTCGGTTTTCTCGATCATAGGATCAATGTGTCCTGCAGAAGCTGTTGCTGAACTCACACGTTTAGACGCTATTCATTCTCCAATGATGATACAACCGTTTATGCCCAGCATTGTTCAGGAGGGTGAAATATCTGTATTTATGTTCAATGGAAAAGTTAGTCATGGCATTAGAAGCAACACACAGCCCGACGATTATCGGGTACAATTCGAACACGGTGGAGTGACAACTGCACAAAAAGAACTTTCAACTGAAATGCTGGAACTGGCTCATGCTGCCATCAACGCTTGTCCCGAGCTACCTGTGTATGCACGTATCGATATGATACGTGATGTTTCAACAGGACTTTTCTGTATCATTGAAGTGGAACTCATCGAACCCAATCTCTTTTTAGAACATGCGCCTGATGGCGGTACATCATTTGCACGCGCTATTTTACATGCTAGTGGTTTATTAAATTACAATGAGTAAAATAAACAATCCCGAGAATCTGAAGTAAAGGCACATCAGTATATGTGTTTGCAACAAAAACAGATGAATGTTACGTCACAAAAATTCTCATTTGAGATAGAAAAGGACATAGTTCCAGTATATGTGACAATCGATATGATTAATATATTGACTGTTGGAGTTCAGGCAAAGACAAAGGAAAGATACTATAATCTATATTTATTAACATTGAGATTTCATCTGATTTATTAATCTTGAGGAAAAAGAAACGAAGCTTAAAGCTCGTGACAGACAGGTATTTTGCTTCCATAAATAAGGATCAAGATAATACAGAAAGAAAACTTATTAGTAAGATACACTTATTACAATGGATACAGTAGAGAGATTATATTTTGTTCAGCTATTGTAGCTTCTATCGTTTAACTTCGTTCGAGTGCTCTTATGATGAGTTCAGTGACATAGGTTTGGATTTAAAGTATGTCTGTTATCCTGTGAATGTAGTATATCGTTTTCATTCTGATATAGTTCAACAATACTCAAGCGTTGCCGGAATATTGTTGTTTCTCCTTTGATATTGACTATCATTATTTAAGAGCTCCGAAAAACATTCATGCTCTTTTATTTCTTCAATGTTTAAAATAGGGTTGATTTCACAAATCTTCGAATCCATCGTCGCATCTGTTGAGACCTTGTATTTAGATAAGAATTTATAAGTTAATTCATCTAACTTTCTGACGAGCACAATCAATTGCTGATTTTTAATCTTTTTTCTTGATTTTCGTACTTTGGACATTCTTCAAATGCAGAGCTGTGTTGCTCTTGTCAATTAGAACCTTTAGGTGGTTGTTGCCTTTTATCACAAACATTAAATCGATTGGGTTCAGTACAGTGAGAACAGATGTGAATTTCGTGCTTACAATATTTTACTATGTCGCTAGAACGGTAACACAAATGACATTGTTGGTAATTCGCTTTTTTTATTTTACATTTTCTGCAGGAAAATGCATATGATTAATTTGTAGACCAAATTTAGTAAACGTACCGCAATTTCTGGCATCATTAAAAGTAATTTTAATAGTTGGTACGGTCCTATTTTGTTCCTTTGTTTACTAATCGTTCTACTTGATTGACTTTATGGCCATTTCGAGCTAAAGCATTTTGAATATCACCAAGGGCGATATTTTTTTCTGTATTTATCTTTTAAATTCGTTGTGTTGAACGTAGAATGAAAACGCTCGCAGTATCGAATTATTTTCCCCTAGGTAACCCAGTGAATAACACATTAAATGAGAGTATAGTTGAAGAGTATATGGTAAAGTTTTTAACTTCGTGTTCAGTGTTGGAGACTTTCTGTTTGGATTCAATTGTTGTTTATTGACGGGTGTCGCTGATGATTTAGTAAGAGCCAGTACTTTTTAGCTTGCTACTTTTCATGACTGTAGTAAATCGAATATTTGTTATTATCGTTTGATTATTCATATTGATCAGACTAGATTTAATCGAGCGGCTAACGTCAACTGAAAGGACACGCGATTTGTTAATGCGCACGTGAAATAAAACGACGTAATTGAAAGATGAAAGAAGAAAGATGAAGAGAACGTACCTAATCAATAGCTATGTAGAACCAATGTGATATTTATTGATTGAAACGTTGCATACGCATAGTTTGCTTTCATCGATTAGCGAGAAAAGCATAATATCATCAACCCTCAAAGCTTATGATTATCATTCTATAGTTCGTTGATGTCTGAATTTTATTCTGTTCATTCAAAATTGAGTGGCATACACATGCCTGACTATATCATAAGATTCCATATCCATTTCATCCATATTCTCTTTATTTTAATTATATCTCTACAAAAAACCATACTAGATATGAACAGTTTTCACTATGATATCACTAAGATCAGTATGAATACTCATGTATATTATCCATTATCGTTATGTAATGGGCTTTTTTCTGATAAGAAAAAAAAGGAACAGCGGAAGAAGCTCACATGAAACATGATTATCTTTTTTCTTCTGTCGAAGGTTGACGATTCACGATATTTGCAATTTTCTCGATAGTATATACTAGTCCTGATTTCAATGCGTCTATTGCCGTGGATGTCTTGTCATGTTGTCGTTCGAATGCATCGTTAACCATACGCGCATCAATAGCCAAACGAAACACCACTATTGTGTCTGATGAGCCACTAAGTACAATAGGCACCGGTTGTCCAATAACGCACCTCATTGGATGAAGATCTGTTGGACGTTGCAATTTGATGTACAAATCTTTGCTTGCTTCTTGATCGAGAAAGGTTTTATCTGATCGACGAACACGAAATGGAAAGATGGTCGGATGGCGAAATTCCGCGTCATTTTCATCGAAAAATGAACCTCTTCCAACATTTTCAACTGGTTGAAGTAAATCTGGAAACGCAGCAAATGCAGCTCGAATTTCAGCACCAGCTGCTACAATAAACTGTTCTCGCCATTCAAAAGGTATAATTAAATAACGACGAAGTTCAAAGACAGCTGCAGTCAACCTTAAGAAGTGACCAACGTTTGATTGCCATATGACCGATGAATATTTTGCCATGCATTCGCGAACATTTCTCCAAGATCGAGGCCAGTCTGAAATAGCTGAATATGCGGCGAGTTCACTAGACATGTATTTATCAACGGGAGCATTTTGGATTCGAGTACGAAAATGAGCAGGAACCAGAATGGCACCACTGAACGGTGGACCAGTAAGAAATTTTGAACCAGTGAGAGTAACAAATCGATCACGAGTGATATGTTCACGTACACGCCATGGTGATATACGAAATTGACACGCATCAATAAGAACAGTCAATACATCCTTCGTGTACTTTTTTTCTATACGATCCATGCAATCATTGCTAGGCACTCTGTTACCCAGTTTCGATGTGTCAATAGCATGTAGAAAAATGTGTATATCTTCATTGCTATGTACAAGCTCATTGACACATTGCTCGATGAATGCTTCATCGCGACATTTTGCATAGGAAAGATCGACACATTGAATACGAGTGTCACCATTAGATCCATGTAGACACGCGATGGGCGTACCTTTATTGATATCTTCGCCGCGAATATTTTTCGTATTGAAATGACAACCAGAAGCAGCATTTATAACACGTCCTGCTGCTTCGTCAGCAGCAAGAACTAGATTCGTTAATATTGTTGTTGATCTGGGCAAACATAATTTGGCAAGAAAAACCGACTGAAGAGTTGCATCAGTACCCGATGGGACGAAAACAACATCAACATCAGCTGATGCCAATCCGAAATAGTCAAGTAACTCTTGCCGGAGTTCTTCCATTTTCGTATCCATAGTATTAACATCGTTGATCTTATTTAGATGGTTCATCATCTCGGTAAGATGAATGAAAGCGCTGGTGGAAATAGGAGTCGCCGTTGATGATGACAAATAAATTGAACTTGCTGGGTTTGTTGGACCTAACGGACAACCATACATATTCAAACCAGTTGACGAGTCAATTAATAGACGTTCATCGCCTCCTGAACTTAACAATTGATGCAGTTCATTTGGTGAAATGCTTTCCTTGGTTTTCATCAGTACATCTACTTGTATGTCCTGTGATGGTCTATTACTTATTATGTACTTACAGTCATCCATCGCGATTCACCACTCAACTGAGAATCAAAATTATAAACGTATATTGAGTACTATATCCTATCAAAATAGGTAAATATATCTGCGTGATTTAATGAATTCACTCGTGCATGTTATTATACGGCAGAGAATGTCTGTCGTTTAACTTTTCTCGTTCTTTATCGCTTCACGGAGAATGTAGAAAGAAAATATTATTGCTTACGAATATATTCAAGTGCAATCATATCCGTAGCCAAACGTATTTTATATTTGTCCTCAGTTTAACCTGTGATCATACTTTTTATTTACTTGACGTCGATAAAATTTATTCGCGCGGTGCATTTGATTTTTTCAACGATTTCAGTACTAACATAGACGAAAAGAAACTTAACGACAAATTAAAAGAATAAAAAAGAACTCATTGGCGAACTGAAAGTAAATGTACAAGTTCACGCCAAAATAGTTGACTCGATAATGTGCATAAGTAAAAACCCATACATGGACTGAGTAAATCAACGAATGAGAGAACATTTCCTGTTAGACCTTTCACAGCTAATGACAATGGATCTTTACGTAAACTACTATCAATCACATTATACATGCCACCGATAGCACCGGCAGCTGATGCTATACAAAAAAGAATAGATTGAACGAGTGTGATTTGAACTAACTGTCTACCGACATGTTTGATACGTTTTTTGTCGTCGGTTGATCACATCGTGATCGAATGTTCGTTGTTCTGACTTTTGAATATTACGGATGGTAAGAAGATCGAAGATAAGCATTGCTAACGATGGGATCAAACTCCAAATAATCAACAGAAATATTCCATTGAGCTTTTGAAACGAATTTGGCTGATCGAGACATATCATAGGATCTTGATGAGTCGTGTAGAAAATTAAGATTCGAATTTGTGTTATACCAATGAATACAGTCACGGAAAAGATCAAGCACGATGAAACAGGTAAAGTATTCCAACAACGAACTGTAACCGATGATGAACTGCACAATATCTAGAACGAAATGAGAAAGCAAGTAGATCATATCCATTCTTTATTCAAAAGATTTACCGACCGAGAGAAGCTAAAGCAATAAACCGCAACGTAAGATTCTGTTGTAAAACAAACATTCTGTATTTATTTGAGTCTATTGAATAAGTCACGTACCTGAGCCAAGAGAAGAGAAAGGTTAATGTTTTACATAAGATTTCCGATGACATAAATAAACTCCAATTGTATCTGAATTGTAAAAGATGCACAGGAAGAATACCAAAAATGATGAAGTAACCGGTAATAGCCGATGCTGGAAGATATCTAACACATGGGTCGAGTCGAAGTGAACGTCGAGTAAATACACAAATATTCAATGTATGTCCAATGAAACCAATAGCGAGTGAACAAGATTGATCTCATTTTAACAGTTGCCAGAAGATAAGTGGTAGTATCCATAGTCGATCATATTCATCGAAGTAGAAGACATCTGAAATCAATAAAGGAGGCACTAAGATGTGTGAAAATTCTATAAATAAGGTGATATTTGTGCGTGTTTTTTCCTGTATACCAATAAGCTACTGAATGTATCAAAAACTTTTTTTTTTATTACCATAAGAAATGTTACAAGGACAGTGCGAAACAACTGATTCTCCCTGTAGTTTTTTTAAAAGGACAGATGAATATTAATTGTTGAATTCGACGGAAACTAAAAGAAGAAAAAGACAACATTGAGGTCTGTTACTTGCAACATTGCCAATTAAATTTTCCTTCCTTCACGTAAGATAGTCTGCGGTTTTTATACAATTAAAGAACACTTGAACACGAAATGGAAAGTGGCAAAAGAAGGATGTATTGCTGTCCCAAGAGAATATCGTGGTTCCTATGCAAGTCTTGTCAGCATAGCGCTGACGCTCAGCAATGAGAGATCCGAACTGAATGAATACATTTGCGAGTTTTGATGTGAATAGGTGATATTTAAAATATTCTTTTTGTATATTTAATCAAGATTTTTTTTTGAAAATCAATAAATGAAACATGAGAAGCTTCTGATTATGGAATAACTTTCATTTGTTTTAATCGATCGAAACATTGAATATAAGCATCGGCAGTGTCCACTGTCGTCGTCCATCCATACTTTCTCGCTTTGCTCAAATCACCTTCAATATTGTATGGAACATTAAGAAGAAAGACTGGAAAATAAACGATAAAACTTTACTAGCAAATATTTTGGCTTTTAAACTTACAAGAGAACATCCATGTCGCATAATCGAACGATGCTTGATCAAGATTATGGCGTTGAACAACTTCATCCCAGACTGCTCTATTTTGGGTCATGTATTCAAACAAAACCAGTTGCGGTGCCATCTTATTCTCAGGAAACTTTTGTTCATGATGCGCGAAGCCAAAATATCTAGAAGATAGTCTTCGATGAAGAATCATTGATGCATGACTTTTGCTCTGTACTTTTCGAATTTTGGCCACAGTATTCGAAATTGAACCTTATCACCATTATGAATATTGAATATTTCATTTGCCGTATGACCATTAGTTGCTGCCCATAATTGAAATCGTGCATTATTCAATGAACTCGAATGATCGAGAACAATATTCCAAGCAAGTTCATGTCCGGGAAAAATCAATGGTTCACCTTTTTCTTTTTGCACGCTTGCATATATTGCCAAACTCACAGCAAAGTTCATAAAATTTCCTATGAAACACATAGTAGAACAAAGAATTCTTTGCAAAAAATATATCCTCACCTTTCGACACTCCAATAATTAAATTCGGACGCGTAATACTATAATTCCACTTGTTTTTCTGCGCATACTCTTTAATAAGATCTTCTTGACTATAGTAAAAATTCACCCCTTCATGACGAGGTGCGTCCTCAACAAACGGTTGTGTAGGCATATGTTGTGGTCCTTTATGTGCGCCATAGTACTACGATTAGGAAGAATACCATTGAATTCAACAAAACTAGCCATTCATGTTTTTTCTTACTTTATATCCCGTTTGTAATGATACACATTTCACATTTTGACCAGCTATTTTTGCGGTTACATCAAGTGCTTTCTGTAAGAGTACCTTATTAACATGATCCTGTTCGGTTTCATCCATTTTCGAAATATATGCATAATGAAACATATGGGTAATTGTACGTCCGTCGACTTTAATTAACTCATCGACAATATCGTCAATACTAGCTTCCATAACATCAATTGAAATGAAATGAATGCGATCATCTGTAAGATTGATTTGCATTGGTCGTCGAGATATGCATATAATTTTACTAAATTCGCTATAGGACTGATCGATAAGCGTATCGATCATGCCTATACCAGATATCCCGTTGGCGCCCCATACACAAGCAACATTGGTTGTTGATGATGCACTCACACTCATTTGTTAACGATGTCTTGTCCTTATGTCGTGCGTCATCTTGTCGAAATAGAACAAAAAGAGCGCAAGATAAGATAAAAATAACTATACAAAGTAAAACAGAAATTCCACCTGCTAGAGTTATCTTTGAATAAAGAAAATGGAGAATGCCTGGAAGATTTATACTTGCCAATGATCAAGTCCTCCCTCGATAAACACTGCCATCTAAGTGTAATGGAGCAACTAGAGAAAAGAAGTGATAGCACCGAATGTCCATCTACAAAAATCTGCTATGTGTGATAAGCTCATGTTAATGTGAATTGATACAGTCAAAAGAATAAAGGTAGATAAGCACGAACTGATCACACATTTGACATACTGAAATTGTCAGTTAATAATACAAGCGTTAAAGATGTGCAGTAAGCAAGAGAAATTAAGAAAAAGATAGATATGATGAAATTTAGAACAAAATAAACCGTAATCATCGATATAAAGGCACCTATCGGGTACAATGAACAATTTTACTCTTTTGTCTTGCCTTGTTAAATTTCAAAACTAAGTTCGATTATTCCACCATTCAACTTTCCCGAATAATTATTTAAATCCACGTTCAATTTTACTTTCAGTGCCCTTCTCATTTATGATACAACTAAGGTAGGAAATAAGCCCTTTTAACTAATGTATTATGCATAAAAAGATAAATTTTACATAGAGATTATGTCATCATCAATCATAAGCTACATTATACACTTCGTCGGAACTCAGTCGTTGTATAATTGAATCTAACTTCTGACGATCTTGATACGTAATTGTTGTGCATTGTGCATAGATAGTCGATGCTCTCTGGTAATATTCCAGTGCAATCCTATATTGTTTTAAGTATTCGTAACAAGCTCCAATATTAAATAAACTTTTGCCTAAATCTTGATGATTAAACGGAAGACTTTTTTCACGTATAAAGAAACATTTTAATTCATAAACTAATGCAAGTTTATACTCATTTCGTGCGCGTTGTACTTCACTCAAATATGAAAGTGTATCGAGTATTGCTGAATGGTCGGAACTGAAATTAACTTCCCTGATCTGTAACGATTTTTCATAGTACTCGATTGCTTGTTCATAATTCAACTTAATAAAACAAATAAAACCAATCCATTGTAAATAACGTGCAATTTGATTATGATTATTTGGATAATGTTCTTCATAAATGCTCAATGCTCGTTTATACGAGTCAAACGATTCATCATATTTACCTTGACGACTTAAACTACTTCCAATAAAACTAAGTATATTGGCAATGTTTGAATGATGTGATGGATAGTATTTATCGTAAATATCTAACTGTTTACGATAATAATCGACAGCTTCGTCATATCTTCCTTGACTGTTACGAATATTCCCCATATAGTGAAAACTATCAGCGATATTCATATAGCCAAGGGGATAATGCTGTTGTCGAATATCCAACGCGCGTTGTTCATATTCAAATGCTTGATCGTATTTTTCTTGATGGTTCAAGCTCGTACCTATATTACTAAGAATTGTAGCGATGTCGGAGTATCGAAACGATGAATTTGTTTCATAGATATGCAATGCTTTTTTGTAGAAATCAATTGCTTCATTGTATTTGCCTTCGCTACTACGAATATTCCCCATATAGTTCAAACTCAATGCCATATGTGCATTGTCTGAATCGTAATATTTCTTCTGAATCTGCAGAGCTTTCTCGTGATGTTGAAAAGCTTCATCGCATTTGCCGAGACGATATAATATTTTACCAACATCATTGAGACTCGTCGCGTAACTAATGTGTTCCGACGAATGATAGGTTTCATAGATTTTCATAGCACGTCGATGATAATCAAGGGCTTCGCCGTTATTCTTTTGATTACTCAAAATATTGCCAATATTACTTAACGTATGTGCAATATTAACATTATCCGATGAATAATACGTCTTTTGCATGTCCAGTGCTTGTCGATAGTAAACCAGCGCATCAGGAAACTTCCGCTGTTTATTCAAATTATCGCCAATATAATTGAGATTAATAGCTAAATGTCCTGAATATGTGGGATAGTACATTTCTAACATTGTCAAAGCTCGTCGATGATGGTCAAGCGCTTCTTCGTATAAACGTTTTCCTCGAGAGAAGATATAACCAATATTATTCAAAATACAAACGTTATCTAAATGATCAGCTAACTGGTATTTTTCCTGCATGAACAATACTTGCTGATATAACTCTAAAGCTAAATCATAGTTTCCTTGTCCATATGTTATATTTCCAATATTACTCAAACTTGTTGCTATATCGATGTGACCATGTGGATAAAACTTCTTTTGAATTAAAATTGCACGTTGAACTAATTCGAGTGCATCATGATGCTTTTTCTTCAGATAGAGAATATTTCCCATACTATTGTAAGTTAACGCCAGATAGATATGATCGAATGGATAATATTTTTCATAAATCGATTTTGCTTCGTGATGATAAATCAAAGCTTCATCGTATTTACCTTGATCAATCAGAACATACCCAATATTTCTTACATTCGTCGCAATATCAATATGAAACGAATGGAAATATTTTTGACGAATCGCTAATGCTTGTCGAAGATAATTCAATGCTTCATTGTATTTCAATTGTTGATAACGAACAAGACCAAGATTTTCCAAACATGTGGCAATGTGTGGATGATCGAGTGACGGATGAATTTTCTTCCGTATAGCCAATGCATTTTGATGATACTCATAGGCTTGTTCATATTTGCCTTGTAAATGTAATACTTCACCTATATCTGATAGAACACATGCCGATTCGTACGAAGAATTTGGTTGTCTGTTCAGTACTTGGTCATAAAATTTTCTTGCTTGAATCCAATCTCCTTTCCATCGATGAACTTGGCCAAGACAGTGTTGAATTGAAGATGAATCTTCTTGATCAAAGTCATTCAATAAATTTTCAAAATATGCTTGCGCTTGATCCCATTGGCACTGATCGCAAATCAATCGTCCGAAAATAACTGGAATTGATAGATTTTCGAATAAGGCACGTGTATCATAAAGATACTTTTCGATTAATTCTCGTCCATGCTTGACAACATCCATTTCTATTATCCAAACATTGTCCTCTTGAAAAATCTTTTCCAAATGAAATGTTGTATTGAAATGAAACAGGATTTGATTTTCTTTCGATAGGCGGATTTCAGCGAAAGTCGCGTAGTCTTTTGTTTCCTGGATATTACATTGAATTCGGAAAAGAACAGGAATGGAATCATCCAATCTGGAGAACTGCCGGCTTATGAATGGCCGCGAATAGGAGCATATGAGGAATTTTTTCATGGATATTAGTTGGCCTTGATTGTTGATGAATTTATCGAAATCACTTTTCGCTAAATTCATTCGATGATAAACAACTAGGACATCAGTATTCGATTGTACGTACTGCTGATGTCGAGTATCGAGACATTGGATTAAATCACCGAGAAAATATCTTATGGTGTAAAGTTCTTTGGTATTTTGTCCTTGCAGAGCGGTATCAATGAGTTTCCGAAGAAAAAAATTATTTAAATACCAATCTAAAGCGTCATCTGATTGATATTTTCTTTTGAACTCATTTATAAACGCCGATAGACGATACGCATGCAGAAGCTGTTGTTTTGCATACTCGTTTCGTGATAATTGTAAAATCACATCATGTAATAGTTGAATCCAAAGAAAATCACTGGGAAATTTTGATAAATCTTTCGTGGAATATTCGTTGTGATCGAAAAAGGTCCAAACATGAGACAGTCGATGAATAAAACTTAATTGATCGGCAATAGACGCATAGAGTGAATCGGAATCCGTATAAAATCCAATTATTTTCGTATATTGAAGAAACAAATACTCGGATTGATCTTTTTCGGAAGAAAATATAAATATACAATGAATTTGTTCTAATGTATCAAGATAAGGTAGAATATGAAAGGCGTGTGACTTGGAAATAATTAGAAAGAGTTTCTCATCTTTATGCGATTGAATAAAACTTAAACATGTGTCTAATTTCGTTTGAAAAACAACATGATTCGTCAGATAATACAGACGTCTTTTCCATGCTTCAGTTTGATGATCAGAAGAAAAGGAAATAAGTGTAATCTTTGATAGTAATGTTGACATATTACCAAGAACAATTCATGTTAGAAACTAGAAAAAAAGAAATCAAGGACGGGTTCGTTCTTATATTAATTGGATTGTTGATAATTGTTATTCGAACTAATGTTTTGGAAAATACAAGTTAATTTGAGAACGTCTGCTTTTCTAAATGTTGTTGATTTGTTATTTAAATAAATAAAAAATATCGAAGATAAAAAAACAACTTACAAGCAAAATATTGAAGTTACAGATGAGAATATGTATATACTCGATCATCATTTACCTATCTCACCTTGATATAATTGAAAATAAACGTGCTCGATTTTTTTTCTTCATTTCTAATCAACACGTTTAATAACATGCAGAAAGAGAAGCATCACCTTTACATGATAACAACAATATCATACACATAAAAAGAAAATTACGGTTTTTTTCTCATCGTTCTGCTTATATTTATCATCGGTTACTTTGTCGAGATAGTCTGCTGATGATTGAACAAATCATTTGACAAGAAAGACAAATGATTGTGGTTGTAGATCTTACCGCTCGAGCCTAATGGGATCAGTCGTATGTTTGTCTGCGATACGAATTCAAATAAAGCTTTTATCTCGTGTTCTTCATAATCTGGGTCGTCTTCCGTCAGCTGGACGACACAGCCGGCGTCAGGATAGAAACGCTATTTTGGTTGAAGAGTTTATTAATTACCTATCTTATATTCCAATACATAACAGTAATATAGTCTTCTTTTCACCACTCGTGATATCAACTGTGCTTTCATCTCTGCGTTGAATTGTTTGGATACATCTTCTGACTCATCGTCACACTCAGAAGTAACGAGTCTAGTTATAATGTGTCGTAGCGGATTGAGAGAAAATTGAAATGTGAATTTGTCTTTATAGCAATTCAATTTAAGACTATTTTTGCATTTTAATCCTCTTTTCAACATCTAAGCTTCAAAGAGCAAGCAAATTGACATCATGCGATTTCCCTCGCAGAATTGTATACTGCATAAAAAATAAGATTTTTCTCTTCAATGCAATGCGTCGTTCTCTATGAAATCTATCGAATATCGGACGTTTGTTGGTAATCAACGTGTTCAGATACGCAATGATCATGACCGACTCCATGTTTATGTTGTTTCTCAACTAAAAGTACCCTAGTTTCTTCCTTTTATAAACAAAATCCTGATTTTAATCAAGTTCACGGTTGAAAAACCTTTATCTGTTTTCAAAAACAATTTTTTCATCAAAGCAAAACTCAATGCATAAAGCGGTTCACAAACACACACCACTTATACACATACACAAAAGCGCACATTCATCAGTTCATCGTTGCTTTTGTTCAGAATGTCTCCCACGGATACTGCGCTCGTCGCCAAATTCGCTTCACGCTTTATACTTCAGCTGCTTCCAATATGTCGAGCCAAGGTCTTTCGCATGCAACTGACATTTTTTATCAAAACCGCTGCTTGCGCACAAGCAGATCTCCATCGATGGACAATGAGCATGATCTTCACAACATTCGTCTCCATTCAAACAATATCAGTCATTGGCCGAACATCAAAAGCGATCTGCAGAAGGGTGTAGTTGCTGTTCGAACGCGACAAGCAATTCGCATGATAATCATTCGTAATTACATATTCGAATCAAATGAAATTTATTACTATTTGAAGAATATATAAACCATATATTCTAAATATATGCACAAGTAATTTAACAGTTATATTTGAAGAGTCACTGGTGAAAGTCTTGCTTCAATATAGCATCTCCAACAACGGCAGCTTGAACTATATTGAACGTATATGCATAATAGAGTGTACTAATTAACATCGTCATATTTCGGCAAGACTTCACTAATAATAAAATCCTCATAACTGGGCGGTGAATTTTCTTCTTCATCGATGGATAAATGTTCAAGAATCTCGGGAAAAGATTTTAATTCATCCATAATTTTCAACGTTCGCTGATGATCAGTCGTACAAATAGTGGGTAATGTTAAAGTGAAATGACTGTTAAAGAAGCCATGTATGTGGCATTGAACATGTAGTTCATATCGAACATTCTTGTAAGATGATGTAGGCGCCATTACTTGACATTTGTCAAGCGGAATCGATAATTCATAGATATTGTGATGATACTCGTTACTGAATCCTTTGGGCCGAAATCCTGTTAGTATAGTAGAGAATATCGTGAAGTCACTTTCTTCATCTGTAATCGTTCGATACTGTTTGAGTATTGCACGAATTGATTTGATAGTCGTTTTCATTGGATTGCTTATCTCAATCTCTAACATATGACAATGGCCAGGTACAATCAAACCGTTGTTTGAAAGTACACCATGTAGTTTGACACCCTCGTATTGAACATTGCCCTCGATACTATAGTTTTGTAGCAGTTGTTGACAAGCAAGTAACATTGGAGCGGGTGTGAAAACAGTAAAAGGAACTTTTCGAGATAAATTCGAACGATATAAATAAACACGAGCATAATAACAGATGTATGAATCATCTCCATCACAATGTGGTAACGATGAAGGAAGTGAAGAATCCAGGAGACCATCAAATACCCAACGGTAGGTTGAACATTGACTGATTTCCTGAAAAAGAAGTTAGAGAACTATTAGTTACGAACTTTTTCGGCTACGAAAATTCTAACTGTTGGTGAATTGTCAGCTGGGATTTTAATCACTTGCGCTCGTTCGCGAAAAAAAATCTGCACATTATTTAAATTTCTCTGCTGATAAAGGTTTGTTTTAACATCTTTTAATTCTCCAATTAATTCAACATACAATGGGCCGTATCTGAAGTTTAAATCATTGGTTTTATCATTAGTAACAATGTCAATTATACCATGTACTCGATCACCACTCAAATAAAAATCATAGGGTGTTTCACGAGTCAATTTAACTTTGAATGATGACAATACCGATGGAGCGATATTGCCCATAACTTTGGAAATATTCAGATCTGAATAAAATGTCAAAGTAATATTGCAAACTAGCTATATAAAGGGAAAAAAGACACAAGGATTGACGAGAAAGAAACAACAACATCAACAAACTATAGTCGGAACACATGATGATGCTACTTTGCCTAGAAACTTCGACAAAAAATAGAAGCGATGTCCTCACAGAACAGAAGGAAAAGGATAAAAAATGATTCTTCTCTTCATTTAGCGACAGAACGCAAGAAAAACTGGAAAGAACTGAGAAAACGGTCAGAACGCCACAAGATTCTCAAAATAAGTCATTCTCTTTAAGAGAGTAATTGCGCAGTATGGATGAATATGATTGAGTTTCATCATAATGAAACTAAGGCAATGACAGTATTGTCTCAATACAGGTGCGACGATTGGGGGCCATAAATGTATAGTCAAACATGATTTTGATGTGCTTTGTCAACTCTAATTATTATAACTGTTTGAAATGGAAGCATTCAGCCATTAGAGCGTGAGCACAAGACCAAATAAGATAAATAGACAAACCAGAACGACTAAAATAGATATAAAGAAGATGCATCTATGATCTCAAAGCACTGCTAGTCAAAATACATATGGTAATCATATCAAATTAAGTGAAAGAGTGAATTATAACAGGAAAGATCAGTATCTCGACTGAAGGCGTTGATTTGAAGGATCATTTAAGAGCAAAATGTGAGTACATAGCAGTTGTTTATCAATGACAGTTCTCTTCGATCCAGCAAATACTGATAAGTCGATTGCCAATTTAGAGTTCCAATATCGGTACAAACTGTTAGTAAAGCTATCGCATCGATTACAATAAAGTCGAATGCGCTAATTCTACTAATCTTTATATAGTTGCGCACTGCTACTTGAAGAATTTTGCTGATAAACACTGCCTTTTTAAAATAGATCAAAGTATCAAAAACTCTTTTTTTTAGAATTCAAGATAAAATGACTGGCTGACTGTCAAAGACTTCCAGTAGCTAACTCTTGCCTGCAGAATTACGTAAATGACTAATACCACTCTTGAAAAATTAAGCACTGAGAAAAGAAATCTTCTAAATCCACTATACTATTAAAGACAGATCTAACGTTGAAGTAACGCACGTAATCATAAAAACAAAGATTCTATAAATCCATTTGTGATAAAAATTCTTTTGAAATCATCTCTCTATTCATCATTTATAAGAGCAATATTGCATGAAGCTATATTATTTATTGAAATAAAATATAGGTCACTATTCTTTCTTCGTATACGCCGTACATTCGATTTCAACTTTTGCATTGGCTGGCAGCGTTTTCACAGCGAACGTCGTTCTTGCAGGATAATCCTCCATAGAAGAAAAATACGAGGCATAGATAGCATTAACTGCTTGAAAATCATTCATATCAGTTAATAGTACAAGACATCGTGCAACTTGTCTTAAATCCGCTCCAGCAGCATTTAAAACAGCTTGAATATTACGAAAAACTTGTTGTGTTTGATTTCGAACGTCATCCGACACTAATTGACCTGTAGCAGGATTAATACCAATTTGACCGCTCAGAAAGAGAATGTAGTTGATTTGAACTGCTTGATTGTACGGTCCAATTGGTTTAGGAGCATCCTATATAGTTTAAATAAGACACAGCATATGAAAAGTTAAGTCTCCTCTAGATTCACTTTACCGGTGTTGATATAACTTTTTTCTTAACATCGTAGTCGTCTAGTTTTTCTTTGTGAACGATTCCTGTTGACTTGAGTTTAGCAGCCGCCACTCGATGTTGAGCCAAAATGCCGAACAGACAAATAAATAAAATACAGATTTTGCTCATCGTAAACGAGAAAAGATACTGAATGAATCAAGCTACAGTGAAACTATGAAATAAGAAAGAAAATAAAGGTATTTAAATGGACTGATAGTGGTTATACGTTTGTAAACACAACTGAAGAAGAGTCATGTAGAAGAGTTGATCTACTTGTTGCTTATCACGCGCTACAATCATATTTTACACAGGTAGCTTTGCAAAATTTTTACATTGTCGATGTTGCGTTAACATTTTCTCCGTCCTACATATCCTTGCATTTTACGAACTGAAAATTCGTTAACGTAAGCGTCTCCACACATTCAGTGAGATATACTGGTTGAAAAAGCATCGTCACTCTGAATTCATGGAAACCACATTCGATTCCACTTGTTTTTCTTAGCAAAATTTCAGATAGATCGGTCGATATATCCTTTTATTCTGTATTAAAGATGATAACGAACTGCATATTCTGTAGGTCTATTATGATCGTGGTACTGTCCAAATATTTTCCAATTGTTGTGCTTTCTCCCAAAAATCTATGCATTTACCGTTGCCACGACCGATAAAACCGCCCGATGGAGCACATATTTGATGACATTCTCCATCAAAAAGAGGATTAAATCGATCGCAACAGCTACTTGTAGCTAGATAAGTTGTTTTACCACGATATATGTAGCTATCAATACTGATATATGGACTAAGACGAGGCGTAGAGTTGAATCCATCGATCATTTTACGAACACATTTTGGTATTTCAGTTGTTTTAGCTGTTGATGTTGAAAACATCACACTGACAATGCAAACAGTAACAAGAATGACAGTTTTCATATTTGTTTTTTTTACAATGATGATGATGATCTGAAAATTTAAATCTTGAGGACAAAACACTACCTTTTCACATTCGCAATCGATATCAAATTTACGATCAAAAAGAATGCAGTAAAACTGTAGTCGTTATTTTATTTTACGTCGTCGTTATCTTTTTTTTTCGTTTATAACAGCCGTATGCATTTGACTCTCATGATGAATCAAAACGACACAGTGTGAACAAACTCACAATTGCAATCCGAAAGCTTATTTACGTATGCAGATTTCGAAGTAATCGAGTAAAAAAAAAGTACTAATTGATTCTTACAGGTCGCAAATGAAGATATTCTTGTTCTTGGTATACTTTATGTTTATTTCGATGAATACAAGCATGAAAATAATCTGCTATAACTACAGGCAAAATGCATGTGAAATGTTACATGTTGCGGCTTTAAGTTGAATCCAATCAATTTTGGAATTGGTATAGCATTGACAGATGGTTGTACTGATCGAAATAATCTTTTACGTCCATCATTATTGCAGATCACTTGCAATGCTATTACAATGGCATTAAGATATTCAAACAAAGCAACGGATGTTCCGTAACTATTATAAAAAGCCAGAGAACTGTTTTCGAATAAAAACATATCATTGAATCTTCTACAATAACAGAAACTGATCATGGAACAAATTTAGGTTTTACTCATTAGAATGGATATAAAATTGTCATTCGATCAAATACATGTGTGAATAACTATACATTTACCGATGACCATTCATTGACAACCGAGGTAATGGAACGCCCATGTATAAAGCGAGCAGTGGCCATGTTTATGCAAGAGAAAAAGATCATTGGGACATCGTTTGTAGTAATTCTGTTTAAGATTGTGCGATCTCAAACAGAAGCATGCAAAGAAATTCATTCTCGAAACGTCAGAGACTCCAAGTTACACAAATGAATGTTTACTATTTTATTTGTTGAAAATAAAAGTTAACAGGATTTTATTTCCGTTCTTGTAAGTATCCTACTTGAAAGAATAGTATACATTCCTACAGCATATCTATTTTCCAAGCATTACTAATTTTGAAAACTATTTTATCATAAAAAAAACTTCATGCAGTTTACCGTCTTCGACTTCACATCTGAAGTGGTTTTGACTAATATACATTTAATTCTTGACGAATTACAGATTTTGTGTTGAATATATTAAGCAATGTATAGTATCTTGTAATGTATTGAAAAAGTTGATCATATATTTTGATATGATTCATGTTAACTGCGTTGAAACACAGCAAGCACAAAAACGTCATTTTTTGAATCATTATACAAATGCACTGAAGTCAAGTGATAGCGGAAGAACTGTCTTATACCCAGTGTGTTGATTTTTTGTAAAATTTTATCCAATTATATGCTTCACCTATGACGAATAAGTGCATTTTTATCCAATAAAACATGTAGAAAAACGAGATATGATCAACAACATAAATCTTTCGCTTAAATCAAACTTTCGTGTCTTCACCGAAGTGGTAAAGATAACAACAGTAGTCACATTGTTGTGAAAATAAAATAACAATGATATCGGCGAAAGATGTTTGAAAACAGCTTATTGAGTCAAAATCAACGAAGATGATTGAATATTGAATCAATTTGGTGATTTAACACATTTGTAATGTCAAAAGCCACTTTACGTACGAATATATGTGTATGCGTCACTAACGTATAATACGATACTTTATGACTTTTTCTATAACATGAAATCTTTGTTATCACCATAACTCATACTTCCTTTTTTTCCCTTTCAGGACAATTTTCTCTCACAGGATAAATTTCGTTAACCTTATTTCAGTATAATCAAAGCAATCCTGGCGAAATATGTGATAGTACTGTTTATTTAATAATGACAAACGTGCCCTTTCAGGAAATTTTAGATTATTCTGTGAAAAAAGTCATAATCCACTTTCGTTTGACTATAGCTTGGAAAATTCGCAGAAAAGCATACAATGGTATGTTGATATGATGCAAACACGCGCATATATATATACACTTCTTTTCTCATCGTCACACAACCCAATTCTACTCTCTCCTGTTATTTACAAGAACTTCTACACATAAACAATACTAAATTCGGTTACAATGCATCTCAAATTCATAATTTTAATTGCCATAATGATCCCATTTCTAATATTGGAAACCCAAGCTTGGCAATTGAGTTTTATAACACCGTCAAGTAGTAAGATCTTAGATAATTGTCATTCGTCTAAAATCGGTAAGTTTCTTCTCGTTGTAGAGATATCAAAGAACAAGAAAAAATGGAATTATTCATATATGTCTTATCGCAATGGTGAAAAGAAAAGGACGAGGCATGCAAATATCAAATAACGTGATATAGAAATAGATTTAAACAAAGAATACTCATCGATTTTGGTGTAAAACAAAAAATCGAGAGGCGCAAACGAACTGTGTATTGCAATGCAGCTTTAGTGGCCATCGCAGCGGACATTGTCAACCGCACAAAGATCATTTTCGGTGTGTTTGTTCTGGCTGATTAGTTTCAAAATCTTATTAATCTGCATCTTCTCAAAGCAATCTCAGATAATAAATAACCAAGAGTTGACGTTATGAAGCTTAACCCCGTGTGTGTATAGTGTAAATTGTTTGATTTCAATGATTGGCATCCAGTAAGTCCTTCGAACAGAGGGAAGCATATGACTGTGATCAAATAAAGTTGTGTGACTTTCCTGTTACATCGTAAGATGTAATAATAAAAGAAAACTTTTCGTACAAGAATCATGTTTTCTTGTTGTTCCATTCTTATGATTTATTTTGTACCCTTTCTTCTATATGTGGACAGGAATCTGTCTTTATTTTGTTACTATGAATCAAATAAATCATTACTATACAAATGTCTTACTGATTGTGAAATAAGCTTCGATCGAGATGAAAACTGAAACCGTATCCTTGTTTTCGTCAAAGTTTCGCTTTGATTAAGTTTACAAGAAACGAAATGAAGCGATTAAATTATTACACCAATGAACACTCTCTGTACTCATATCGATGACTGATGTAATTTCTACTGACCGTTGTGGATCTGTCGCATAACGGCAGTGTTCAGTTGCCATAAGAAGCAAACTTCATGAGTTTTAAACAACAAAAGTAATAAATGAAACAACGAAAATATTTTCTCAGAAAATTTGCATTATGATATGCTCTTAAAAAGATAACAAATTCAAATCTGATTCGTCAGAACATACTTTTATCTCAAACTAATAAAATGATTCAATGTGATTCAACGAAAGATGGTATGAATGAATACGTCTAAAAGATAATATTCATTCTACATATCGATACAAGTGTTCGTTATATCAGCATGGATTTTTACTTCGATACTCCTCGGCACCAGATTCAGTTACTGTTGCACGCTTTCATCAGAATTTCTGCAAAGCTCATATGAAGTAGATAAGATGATATTTTATATTTGGTTAATACGCTTCATTTGATATTCTGATGAAAGGATTCTAAAATAGATGGTAAGAAGTGTTCATAATGTGTTTTGTCATATAAACACACAGAACCAAAAAATAAAATAGTTTGATTGTCATGAATTTACTGTTTTACCAAACAGTTACCGTTGTCATAATAATCAATTCATTAGGATGTCCTAGATGTTCTTACAAGGAAATAATCTTACTTTGAAAAACAAAGCTAATCGATATATTGGGCAGTATACTCATATACGAGAAAGAGCAGAAAATCAAAGTGTTTTTAATATTCCTTACTATCGAAACGCTAGATGCAAGTTAATCTTCAACTGTGAAAAAGGTCGTCAAGAATGAGTATTTCTCAGAATTGTCATCATTGAAAAGAAACTAAATGTGTTTTTGTTGTTGACATTCTACTCGTCAGCCTCGTTTTGTGAAACTGAGTGTATACGAATCGATATGATTGTATCATTATACAGCTTTTGACATACCAGTAATCTGCTCAATGAGAAAAATCGCGTACAAGGGTGGGTTATGCGAGATTCATATTTGTGTCAGTGCAGTTAGACGTGTATTTAAAGTTGGCTACTATGACTACAACGAGTTGATCTTCACAAATGAGTCACACACGTCTTGACAATACAGTTCATGAATCATTATTCGATGCTTTTCAAGTATCAGTTCGGTCGTAACATTTAGGTGCAAATTCTTATAAAACAGATATTTTTGTCCTTGATTAAGATAGAATGAATCATACAACGACGATTCTTCGTGCCAGTGATAGTACTAGTGATATTCTGACGACGATGCCTTACATAGTTAACATTTTCATTGGTACATTTTTGGTCGTGATGGGAAACATTGGTTGTATTGGTAATGTGATTGTATATCAATCATCAATATTTTACAATCAAGCTTATGCAAAATATCTGTTGGCAGAAACAATCTCCGATTTCTTTGTAATCAACCTTGTACTTCTCACACGAGTGATCGAAAAAGGTTACGGAATTCCAGTATATACTACTCGCTACGATTTTTTATGCAGAATTCGACAGACTGGTTCGTATTATTTTGTTCTGACATCATTTTCATACTATACACTAGCAACACTCGATCGAATTTTATCCGCACAACGTTCCAATTGTAAGTAAATACTACTTTTTATATTCGAAAACAACGGTGAACTGCATAATTGAGATATGTGCACACATAATTACTTGGCCACGTTTTCTATAACTATAAATTAAATATCACCCTTAAAACGTGCGACTCACTCTGTTCATTTTAGGGCTTCGTAAATGGAGCAATCGTATTTCTCTGGCTTATAAGTTAATCGTTGCATGCGCCATCATATGGCTCCTACTCACTGGTCACCGACTTTTCATATATGCATTGGTCCATGGCAAATGTAATCCTCAACTTGCAGTTTATGATCAGATCAACAATTATATAGAAGCGATTGTAATGGAACTTGGCCCACTAGTGATCGTATTTACACTTGCATATCTTTTGAAAAGATCTCTTCGACACATTATTCAGCGGCCAGCTGCTAGCATTACTATTGGAAAACACTCTCGAGTGCGTCAAATCGATTCACAAATTACATTAATGTTACTGCTTCAATCCATAGTAGCAATCATATCTTTTCTCCCATATGGAATAGAAACACTTTACGATCATATAACTGAAACATGGTATAAAACGTCTTTACAACTTGCCATCGAAAAAATCATCGGTCAAATCACGCATACATTATTATATACATTTTCTGCTTCTGGTTTTCACATATCAATTATCTCTAGTCATGGGTTTCGTCGTGAAATTAAACGTATCTTATGCAGGAAAAAGATACATCCTTTGCCAACCATACCGACTTTTACAGCTAGAATACAATAAAAGTTCAGAATATTAATTATTTTGATTCTAAAGAAAATATATCTTCTCATTAGTCTTATTCATTCCGAAAAAAAATAAACAAACTTATGCAGCTTAGCTTAGGAAATAGTTGATTGTCTCTAGATAAAGTAGTATCTTGCAAATAAGCGCAACTATCTTTATATGCTTTAAGATATTCATCAACTGCATCTGATTTAGTCAAGAACAAGCAATCTATGAGAAAATCGGAGCGACGCAATGAAAATGATGAGTATGCGTGCGCCCTACAGTATTTTCTCATTCATATTCACGCTCAAGAAAGTCCTTCACTACATATCCTTCATAAAATGGAAACAACAGCTAATTATAGACACGATAATTTAATCTTTCATGCATCATTGTTAACCATATTGATTTTTCAGAGGTTTTTCCAATGTATATAAATTAGATCATTCACGAGAACAAGGTATGTGCTATTGCACTATTTATGATTTAGACCGCAGGAGAGAACGTACATAGCAGCCATAATCTGGAGTTTTATGGGCCATTCGTCGATGAATGAACAAGTTCAATCAAATTAACGACTCGAATTGTTCTACTTCCACATGAAAAGCACATACTTTGCACAAATATTTCGTGATAATACTAAATGACAAAAACATTGCCGCTTATCCGATATGACTGATATTTAGACTATGTTGTGTCAATATTACTTCCCTTCTATGTTGGAAACTTTGATGAGAGGAGCAGCATCTGTTTATTTCTATATCTGCATACGACGACTACAAACATCATTCGTGTAATACGAAAACAGAAAAAAACGATGTGTGCCTTAGGTAAAGTTAGCAGTACATTTGAGTATTTATTGTCTGGGTTCGCCTGAGAACTTGTGTTGAGTCTAAAAATGATCGCGCTGAACGCTAAATTGAATTATCTATTAAATGATGTCGTTTTCGGCATGGACTATCGAGAAAAAAATCAGTCGCACCCACACTCAGATCCTCGCCTGCGATGATATCCTCGTGACTTACATCATTGGATAGAGAATTCGATTCTGAATATAGCACAGCCAATGTGAGAGGCTCAGGACAGGTTCTTCAGCGAATTCGGACAATAAATACTCGAACGCAGTGTTAACTTCACTTAGGTCGATATGTGATGTATTTCAATATTTTACGTCTATTCTGAGTCATAGACATTTTCATTTCGACGAAATGTGCGATTATTAGGATACCACTATTACGGCTTGTTCCTACGATTATATGATATATCTACAGTAATTGTTGAAAAGACAACGTTGACGAGATCAATGATGTCCAGAAACTCAACACAAGTAAATAATAATTACAGTAAACATATGGAGCATCGTGGTTGTTATTGATCTGCTACATGAGAATTATTCAGATATCGTGTGTTTTCTCTTATTTCTGTCAATTAAGGGCCAGCTGAAATGATTTCGGATTTCTAAAAAAATATTTTCGCATCTAGCTAAACTGATTTGCCGAAAACATCAACTACAAAACTTCATAAACCACCCAAGTTAATGATTTCGACCCTCGGACTCATGGGATTCCAGCAGAAACCTGAATGAGAAGACAACGGCTCCTTTCAATTCTCGGAGAGAACCGGATGAAGTCATGTGCTGGATCCGTTCAGAGAATTCCTACTGTATCAAGTCCGTACTTCTCTACATGTACGTTAGCAACTGACACAAGTTAAAGTTACGATAAAGACCGCTGAGTTCTTTCGCGCGATTCTCGGTTACATTGATCAGAGCTGGAAATTGAATGGTATAGTATTCAGAATGACAATAGTTTTACCAATAACTTACTTGCTAATCAATCTTATCATCCGTGAATACGAATGAATGTTGTGACCGCTTGCATGACCTTGCAATATTCATAAATGTGAACAGAGTTAACTGTATTGCTTCTTGCTGATGTCTGTCTGTCTTACTAAACAGTTCTATAATGCTCACAGGCAATGGTGTTATGTAGAAATATAAAAAATAGAATATCTCGAAATGCTTATGCAGTAAAATGAGAGAAACTCACGTATTGAAACCATAACGAACGTTTGTCCTTTCTTATCGAATTAATGAATAAATCTGCTTGTAGTAGGTAGGTTTTTTCCTTTTTCGAATAGCTGAGAAATAATATCAACAATATGATAAGAAAATCACGTGAATAATCATGACGACAGAATATTTAATTTAAACTGACTTTGCGTGGATGAAACTTTGAGAGTACGGTAGTTTACTTCCTATCCATCCTCTGTGGGAAAGATCAGAAAATTGGCAAGATGCTTCTCCAACAGTATATAAGAGCCGTAGATGCACTCTGAAAAAAAACATTCTATTTGCTACTCAAAACTACAAGAAACCTTCGATATTATCGAAAACAAGTAAGAAATTACTCGAATGACGGATGAAAAAGCTTATTGAAACGAGATTATCTTAAGTGTTTATGAAAAATTCTAAGCAATTTATTTTGGTATGTTTAATTGGTACTCTATTTATGGCAGCGCAAGCTATGAACCAACTCAATGCACACGCAGATCACAGTAAGAATGGAGAGTTTTAATAAACGCAAACCAGGATGATGTATGACTGTATAGAAATGAACATGGGAAATGACATACAATTGGACCTTCCGATTAAGTACTGTAAAAGTATGAGTCATCTGGAGGATAGCAAATGCAGTCACTGGTGTGTATGGCACAAGCATAGGTTCGGCAGATGTGAAGAATATAAAAATAAGATCATATGTGTTTGTGCTTAATTAATCGACGATAATCGCTATTGTCCAATTAATCGAGAAATTGTATAAAAATATTTTTCCATGCCGTTGTTTAACCAACTAATAAAGGTTTTCTCTTACAAATTTCTACGAATATATGCACTGGATTTTCTGGTATATGACAGAGAAAATCATATGCTCAAATTTATGGATGATTCCATGTGAACATATAATATATTCTCGCAGACGTCAAAGTCGAACGAGAGCAAGATAATTACTAATTATATAATGAAAAAAGAATATACAGAAGTAGAGATTGAAGCGTGTGTAGAATATGATGTGGACTAAAAAAATTACGATTTGCAGGTATTTCTTCTCTCTTTATTAATATAAAGATACCGGCTTTTCAAACTCATTTCGGTTTGAAGTGTGAGGGTGGATGAAGGTGGAGGGTGAGGGTGAGGACGAGATAATTTTAATTTTTGGTGTTGAAAAGCTTTTCCCCTAATTTTATAGAGAAAAAGGTTTTTCGAGATTTTTGCTTTCGAAATTTTTGTTTTCGAGATTTTGTCAGCAATTCCACCTAACATATGAATCCTAATTTCGACTTAGTGTACTGGCGTAGCCTAGCCTTGACTTGTATGTATGTGCATTCTCTCTCACAACGATGTCAACCAACGGAATTACGTGATATTCTACCGCATCATCAATGTCCTCGAAACTCTTCAATCAATGCAAACATAAACAGTAGCTCGTGACCATTGTTCCATTTTGAGCACACACACATTCGATGAGAACGTTTGTCAGTACCTATCAGGCAATCAAATTCATTGTTCTTCTCATTCTCTAACATTTTTTCATCGTTACTCTCACAAAGACAACATTTTCCTCTTGTTCTCTCTCTCTCTCATCAATTGCAAAAAGTCGTTACTATCATCTTCGGTTTCTCCCACACTTAATCTTTTGCGGTTAACTATATGCACACTGCATAACGACGCCTACATTGAAGACAAAGATGATCATCGGAGAAGTTAAAGAAATATTTGAGGTTTATTCGCTGATTTTCTTTCGGTTGGCATTGACGACATGCCAGCTGAACATGTACAACAACCGAGAAATCGTTGGTGGCAATGCACTGGCATACGATTGTCTGGATTATCATGGTCAACATCGAACAAAGCTAGCTAATCAAGATTTATATGATATGACTATTGAGCTAATCTCGTTCTGTATCCGTCCGGTGCGTCCAGATGATGAGCCAATGGACACGTTCGTTCATCCACTTGCTCGTCGTCTGTCATTTGAACGAGTGAGTGACATGGGTGTCACCGTTGAACAACTGTTGTCATGGTCAATTCCAACGGTGATAGTTGAGCGTTATCAGCGCTATCTGAGCAGTCACAAGATGGCATCATTGAACGAGCAATTCTACAACTGCACTTCTGCACGGTTCGGTATTCGCTGTCAATATTCGTTTGGATCTCGTTTCATGCAAGGAATGTCTTTTGATGATTTGATCGATGACACATTTAACAGCAAACAATCGTATGCCACGTCATGGGATGATATGACGACGTTAGCAGCGCCTATCCCATGCTATGTCCTGATCAAATGTCATCGCAATGGGATCGAGTGGTGTCTTGATTGGCGTGAGATATGTGATGGAGTGATAGATTGTTTTGACGAAGGCACCGATGAAGAACACTGTTTTGTACTGGAAATTAATAAATGCAAGGCGGACGAATATCGATGCCACAATGGCATGTGCATTGCAGAAGATCTATGGCAAGATGGCGAAGACGGAAGCGAAGTGGATTGTCTTGATCGGTCTGACGAGGGTCAAGATGAAGCTTCTTTGACGATGTGCTATCGGGACGTGTCATTCCGATGTGAACAGCAGGCATGTCGACCAGATGAACTTCGATTCTCATGCGGCGATGGTGAGTGTGTTGGGAGATTTGCGCCTTGTCATAGTGGTCGACATCAGTTGTTGATTGAATCGTTGATGCAAGAAGGCGACCTGAATAAAGAGTGTTGGATGACAATGGTTTGTTTGACTAAGCTTGTTAAGCAACTGAATGGAACACCATGTGATGTATGGTTGTTAGACGATTCCATCAGTGCACATCTCGCACAATGTCCTCACCTGTTTCAGTTTCCAACAACTGCAGTCCACTCAAATCACGTTCTCTTTTTTTACGCCAATGTTGAGACTCGCAAAAATCTGACGGATGATTTTATGCCTGACTACGTGTGTTACAATGAAGAACTCTGCGAGTTTCATTCCGTGCATTGGCTTTCTGATGTTAATATGACTTGCTTGAGCAAATGGGATATTTGGATCGAATGGGATAATACGGTTAAAGATCCATGGAGTCAATTAGTATGGTTGATTGAGCGAGAATTTCGTTCTTGTATGGTGTCCACAAATGATGTTTTTCGCAATCAGATGCTCGATTCAAATGATTCTACCTTGTATCAGTGTTCGAACTCATCAAAAGTCATTTCTTCGCACCGTATTAAAGATGCCTTGTACGATTGTATTGAGAATGACGACGAAAACCGTGCAAACAGTTGTTCGTTCAACGATCGACATCGAGCAAGATGCGAGCATGAAAAAGAGTGTTGGTCGCCGTTAATAAAACAATCCGTCTGCAGGATCAGTGATGAGCAAAGTGAAGATATTCTACCATTCGCAAGCTTTTGTGATGGCATTTCACAGTACTATTATCATAGCACGAACAGAGAAAAGCGAGACGATGAAGATGGTTGTGATATGAATGCACTGTGTGACAATATGTATTCACGTTGTGATGGCTTCTGGGCATGCCCAGATGGTCGCGATGAATGGAACTGTAGTAATCACTCGCTATGTCCAGTCTCAAGTCATGCTTGCATATCTCCTTATAACTACACAGTGTCGTGTTTGTCTGCTAATCGTGTCAATGATGGAGTCGCTGACTGTCTGGGAGCTACTGATGAACAAGAGAAATGTCGCTTTACTTTCCGTTTGCATCACGATCTTCGTCCTTTGGGTTGTCTAGGAAGTGACGAATGCTTACGATCGTCCCAGTTTTGTGACAACAGAGTTGATTGTTCGCAGCATCCAGATGATGAACAGTTTTGCCAAGATCGACCGTTCACATGCAATCAGACTGTATCACGCGAACGAAATCAACTCGAGCACATTCTTTGTAGTCTAAACGAAGAGAATGAACGTCGGATCAAATTCTTTTCGGTGATTACATCGACACTTTACCCTGCGTCAACCGAATTGTCCGATCGTCATGATCACGCGCAGTCCCGGCGAGTCCAAAAGAATAACGAGTCGGAAGATGCAACGAAACTGATGGTGACACGAACGTTCACACGAGAAGATAAACGTTGGTCACACTATTGCAACCGTGGCATTATGGTCGAAAAACAGTCGAAGAATCTTACTTCCTTCGACTGCTTGTGTTCAGCAAGTTATTACGGTGATCGATGCCAGTATCAAAGTCAGCGAGTTAGTTTATCATTGCAGCTAACTTCAACAAGCCGATATGAAATCTATGCTGTCATCATCCTGCTAGTTGACGACCAACGCAATGAAATCACAGCATTCAGTCAATTCAAGTACATTGCAAAAGATAGTTGTGCAATGAAATGGCATGGAGTCCTTCTGTATCCGACGAGACCAATGAATAGTTCCACAAATTACAGTGTTCGAATCGATGTAATTGAGAAGAACTCGATGGATTACGTTGGCCATTGGTATTATTCGATTCCATTTGCGTTTTTACCTGTAAACCAGCTGAGTGTTGCATTGAACTTATCATCAAGTGCTATTGTCGGAAAAGTCGAGTGTAGCATGACATGTTTAGATGGAAAACAAGAATGTATGGTATATGTCAATGTGAGAAACAAGTCATTTTGTCGATGGAAACCATCTGAAACAACTGACGATGAATGTTCGAGTGGGTCTGTGTTTATTGGCTGGACACAAAATCGGCGACCGATCTGCGTGTGTCCATTCTTTCGGCATGGACCAACTTGTGCGTTGATGTCACCGCAATGTTCGCCGAATCTTTGTCAAAATCAAGGCCAATGTGTTGAACACGATGAGAGCTTGTTTGATAGAAAGTACACATGTGTTTGCACTAGCAAGTATTACGGTCTGAACTGTGAATACGAGAAATGGCAACTAGAGGTGTCGTTCGAAGGCATTGATGTGTCGTCGTATGTCATTGGACATTTCTACACTATCTCGAATGATTCGCAACCGCAAAAAACAATCCTTCTTCGAAAACTGACACTGTTCCAACATGTCGTGGCATTTCATATTTCGATTCCATTTCACTTAGCTTTCATTCAGATCAACGAACGTGACTTTTATCTCGTTTATCTTCAACATTCACCGTCGATGTATGCATTCTCTCAGCTCAGTGACAAACAGCGATGTCATTCGATGAGTAATTATGTCAATTCCACAGTATTGAATCTGCATCGATATGAACGAATAGCTCATTTTCATCGCGTCTGTTTGCAAAATTGGCATGTAGTGTGTTTCGTTGATGAAATGTATTTGTGTTTATGTACGAATGATCATCATGCGAATTGTTTGCCGTTCGAGCAGCAACTGTACTCTTCTGCAGATCGCTTTCGATGTTCGGCCAATGATCAGTATTGTTCGAACGGAGGCGAGTGTTATCAAGATCATGCTCATTGTCCATCGACGAAGATCTGCTTATGCGCAAGCTGCTTTTTTGGTCAACAGTGTCAATTGTATGCGAAAGGGCTTGGCTCGACATTAGACGAAATCTTGGGCTATGAATTCGTTGCAAAGCGAAGTCTAACCTCTCAGTCCGTGTCAATTAAGCTGAGTGCTGGAATAACCATGGTGATTTTTGTTGTAGGAATTATCAATGTCATCTTAGCATTGATGACATTTTCGCAGCCGAAAATCCGTGAAGTCGGCTGTGGACTGTATTTATTAGCATCATCGGTTACTTCATTGTCGACAATGATATTCTTCACACTGAAGTTTTGGCTGCTGCATTTCTCTTATCAGAATGTGTCCAATGCTGGAATCATTCTGACGATCAATTGTCGATTTGTGGAAGTGATGTTAAAGTTGTCTTTATTCATCGACAACTGGCTGAATGCATGTATTGCCATGGAGAAAACTAATTCAGTCATTCAAGGTTTGCAGTTCAACAAGAGAAGTAGTCGACAGCTAGCAAGACGGGTAACTCCATTTGTGTTTGTTGCCAACGTTGCAATGCTCGTTCCACAGATGCTCAATCTTCATGTGTTCGAAGATAAGATGGAAGGACGAAGTTGGTGTGTGATTCATTACAAGCCATGGTTGAAAAGATACATCGTTGGTCTGATGTTCTTCAATTATTTTGGCCCATTCGTTGTTCAGATTGGATCAATAATCCTGATTATTATAGGCACAGCTTATCAGAAACTGTTAATACAATCGAACGAGAAACGTATTTGGAGCCATCTTAGATGGAAGATTGTCAAATACAGACGACTTATGATTAGTCAAATGATTATAACATTGTTGACATTGCCTCACTTGATCATTTCGCTAAAATTAGAATGCAGACGATCGTCTGATTTGCTTTGGTTTTTTCTGGCTGGTTATTTCGTATCATTCCTTCCGGCAGCAAGTATTGTTATCATATTTGTGACCCCATCTCCATTGTATCGAAAGCAACTGAAGCAAGGTGTGAAGCGAATTTGGCAACGAGCACAGTATCAGTGGGAGACGTTCCGAACAAAAGCAATGATGAACTGATGAATGTGCGTTTTTGTGTATGTGTGTTTGTGAGCCGCTTTATGCATTGAGTTTTGCGTTAGTGAAAGATAGCTTGTATTAATATTGTTGAAGCTAACGCTTACCAGATGAAACCTAACAACTTCTGCTAGCAGACAGTCAGAGTGTATTTGACATAAAGAATGAAATAAGGTATGTGGTCGATGTTTGCATTAATTTTTTCTAATAAACGACATACACTAACGTTTGATTTCTTCGGAAGAACTGTAAGTCTTTGTTCATTATACCATATACACGATAGTGTCTTTCGAAATTCGTACAAGTTTCACACAGATTCTACTGGAATTTGTTAATTACACTGTGACCACCATCAATTATAGCGTACTATATGGAATGTGTTAATTAATCGCTAACTAGGAGGGTGTATAGTCGATAAAAATTAACTGAAACAATCCAAATCAGGTAATAAGTGTTTGGAAATTGATTGATCATTTATTAGAATAATACATTTAGTTAAGGTCACATAGAATCACAGATCACATGCTATTATGATAAAACTGTTGAAATCAATGAAATTGATATTCCGGGTTAATATCATTTCTTAGTTTATTGATTCTTCTATTGCGTCTAATACACGGCAAAATATAATCACCATCTTGCATGGCTAGTGAATGAGATTTAATGAATTCACAAAGCTATCTTGTATAGTAGATCAGAGACTACACTAGAGCGTCCGACATTCGGTTCTAGGCTTCGAAAAAGTGTACATTTGGTGTACTATATAAACAACGAGCAAATGATTTACCTTGATGAACTGCAAAGCTGGAATGGCTGATAGAATGGCATATGCTTTGTTCAGTACTAATATATATATATATATATAGCATAAAGAATGAAAATAATCGATAGAATATGTTATAGAAGTAACTAGAAATTGATACCTTGGGAAATCTTGCACCATGACTTGTGAAGTGAGACACAATTCTGTATGTGAGCTCACAATTTGTTTTACATACGTTAATCCGGAAAATGATACTATTTGTGATTGTTGTTTATTTAAACTTACAGACAAAAGAAAAAACAAAGCAAACTGTGACAATATTGTCACAAATTAAAATTTATACTAACTGCTTGACATGCAGAGATTACTCTAAGAAATAGGTACTCTTAGGCTTATAGTAAAAAGCATTCAGTACTGTTTCATACGGCAATTGAAAAACAATACATATCACTTCCTCATTGGAAAATAATCATGAAGATGTATAATCATCTTTTGCTTTCTAATTCACATGACTTTGTCGATATCGACACGAGTAATATCGAATGTTAATTGATCATACGCGTGTGCATGTGATGCTCACGCGACTATACATAAAGGTTCGAGTTATATCAGAACGTGCTACAAAGACTTAAATCTTTCAATAGTATATTAATCGTAACATGTGAATTATTTCAATGCTGATAATCACATGTTTCAGTCAACCATAAAATCAATATTGCATTAAATACACAAAGAATCACAAAGGTTGTGCATTATTCAGAGGGAAAAGAGAAGGAAACAGCGTGTTTTTTACTTTTTATTGCATTTGCTTTTTTCAAACAAGATAGTGCAATGTATCGCAATAGAAACGAAACGTATCTGCGTCGGAATCAGTTTTCACGTTTGGCCATCATTACAGTGATGTTCAATCCTGTTCGATATCAAACTCGTTACCAACGATATCGACAATTTGCATATCATATGGCACGTTCAGGTGTCAATCTCTTTACTATCGAATGTATCTTCGAATCAGCAACACGATACGGTTTGCCACCACAACGATTCGAAGTCACACAGCCAAATAATCCACAACATTTTCAAGTCATAGCTCCATCCATCATATGGATGAAAGAAAATCTCATCAATATCGTTGTGCAACAACTACCACCTCACATTGATCGAATCGCATGGATCGATGCAGATGTTGAATTCGAAGTGAGACATCGTGATGTGTTTTTCTACACATCCTCACCACAGTTTCAGATGACAACTGTTTTGTTTCTTCTATTGTGTATATAGCGTCTAGATTGGCCGCAGTTAACAATGGCTGCTCTTGATCGATATCCTATAGTTCAAATGTTCAAAGTTGCTTTCATGACTGGTGCTGGTGGTAAACGTGAAGTGTTAAAAAGAAAGTATTCAGTTGGGTATGCCATTCGTCATGGTAAAGCGATTGAAGCAAATTATCCATATGGACATGTTCATCCAGGTCTGGCTTGGGCAATGCATCGAAGTACTTTTAGTGCAATTGGTGGTCTCATGGATTTCTGTATTGTTGGATCAGATGATTTGCATTTTGCCTTTGCTTTATTAGGTCGAATCAGGGAGACATATCCAAGTAATATAAATCGAGATTATGCTATGTTAGCGAAGAGCTGGAGTGATCGAGTTGGTGCGATAGCTGGATATGGTGGCAATGTTGGTTATGTGGATGTGAATGTTTATCATCGACGGTCTGGAAGTCGAAACAGTCGAAGTTATTTCGGAAGATGGTACGAAAGGACTGCTTTGTAGAAGTATTTGATAGACTGTAGTATTATTTTGTGTGTTTGCTATAGGTTAATCTTATCACACTATGGGTTTTCTCCAGCAAAAGACTTGGCGAGAGACGAGCAGTCGGGTGTGATTTATTTGACAAACAAACGTCGATTTGATTTGGATTTGGGAGCACGTCGAATCGAAGCGATTCAACGAGGTGTTGTAAATTACTTTTTATCCCATGATGAAGATAATCAAAGAATAATGATGATGAGACAAATGGCACGAATGGGTCGATATGGTCATGGCGCAGTTGCTACTCCTCGTCGACCCCGATCCGCTTCTCCAAATGCGATGATGAGGATGCCTCGACAGTTTGTTGCTCCTCGTCGCGCCTATCTTCAGGGCTTTTATTAAACTCTTTTTTTTACACCGAAGCAGAAAGTATGATATAACATTTTGTGGAAATTCTACTGAACGAGAAGGATAATTCTTACTCGATTTCAACTTTAAAAAGGACATTAACATGTCCACATACTAAACGCTGGCAGAACTAAAATACCGACAGACGCGGGAAGGTTTGTGAAGAAATAAATTTGCAATGAACTCCGCTGTTTTCAGTTTGCAAGTTACTAGACAAGAACAAATGTTGAACAACGTCTTTCCTCGTATAGCTGTGCTAACTCTGGCAACTTTTAAGGGATCGAGGGGATCACAAAGTATATTTTCAGACTGTGAGGTTAGCGTAAGAGTGAGTCATGCATTATTTTTTTTGTCTAATAGCTGTGCCTTTTAAGCATCCTTGAACTTTTTCACTAAGGAAACATTTCTATATACAATTCTGTGTGCTATACTAGCTCAAAACGCATACACAGCATGGTATTATCTTGTGCTCCTATCAAGATTTCGCTGCACATATGCAGAATGCACTCAAATCACAAAACTGAGCCCTATATGTAAAGACTTTCCGGTCACCACAAAGCAATTACGAAATCTATTTTCTCACACATCCAAATAAGTCATCGGGTACCATCGATACCATATTTCTAAAATAGGCCGTTGAAGATCTGCGCCTGTTAATCCAGATGAAACAAATATTTTCTAACAGCAATATCTTCCTCAATATCCATGCATTGAAACAAACGGATCTGGGGATAGAAATGGTCGTTGGCATGCTCTAAACTAGTAATAGAAAATGAGTTACCATGTTCAATATGTTCAACAAGCAATGAAACTATTATTTTTGAGACCTAAAAGTATTTATCACCGGCATATTAGTCATCAACATCTGCGTACAAAGATACTTCATCTTGTTCATGAGACACTTTATGGTAACTAGCCATAAAGTATTATAATGTGCACATTTAACTTTTTCTTTCTAAATAATTTAATCCAGGTCAAAGCAGGATTCCAGGCTGGAATCACCCGGCTAAAATCCGTTTGTTTCTACTCGCATCCGAACGGAAGAGCTTGGACTCCGCCGGAAAAACACTCCGACAAATTACATCCAGATCCCTATATACGGAAGCCGGTCGGAAACTAACAGATCGGACAGCAACTTTCTTGACAAAAGGAATCCTAGTGTTGCGCCAAACTCGCATTCTTTTATATCAATTTTCTAAGCCTTCGAAAAACGGCTCAGTACCAAAAAACACTAGACTTAACAGCTCGTCACCTTCCCGCCGTCCGCCACTTGCCCAGACACATAACAGTACACTAGAACCATCCCCGAACTGAATTTGCGAGTCGATGAAAATCGAAATTTTAATCCTAACGAAAAGGTGGCGATTGTCGTGTTAGATCAGTTTTAAGACAATATGGTTTTATTATGAACAAAACGAATCTCACTACTAATGATCTTTTTGCCGAAATATATCGAGTTTACATAGAGCTACCAGACTTAGAGAATATTAACGATACTTGGAAACAATATGACGTACAAGGAAAAAAAGAGAGCAGACGATGAACATATGTCATGACGCCCTGTAGAACATACGAAGATATGTAGGACAATTCCGTATCATGCTGAATTGGTAATTCTTCATAACATCAAGATTTAAAACTTTTTGGTGTGGTCATGTGTAAAGAAATAAAACCTGATTTCAATCCTCTCGATTTTTCTCTGTTTTTTGCACGTTAGTGATTTGTATAGGTTCTTGCATCATGGTTTTGGTGGACTGATGCGTATAGTCTAGAGCCATGGATAATATCCGAGTATCACCGGTGATTTCGTTAATGAAGAATGTTATTTGTGATAGAATTTCTGTGGATGCCAGTGAAATGTTTTGAAGCCGGTAGGAATTGAATAGTATAAGTTGGATATGATAGCTAGGATTCTTCTGTCGAAGTTCGTGACAGGATCCGTGCATAATGCGTTTGAAGAAATCAGAATTGGGCGGAATGGGATGGAAAAGTTCGACTGATCGGATTTCGATAGTCCTGTTTATTTTCCAGACAGTTTTTCGTTGGAATAAGATCGGTTGGGTCTCCGATGATAAGTTAA